TAATTCATATCGACGTTTGCAGATTGTCGATCTTTGTGAGAATTTTCATTTTCCATTTTAGTTTTCTTTTGTTTTTGTTAATTTCTTAAGATGCAATATTCTTTTATCATTGTAATTTGATTTACCTACACAAAACAAATCACCGAAACGAATTTTAAGTTTCCCAGATATTTTGACTCAAAATTTTGACATTGATATTCCTTTTCAGGCAAATTTTCAGTTTCGGCTTTCCGGATATATATACAAAGACAAATATAACATGCTGAACTTGTTAATTTAATTTAACTTGTAACATGTATGCCTTTGTATCTATGATATCTTAATTCAAATGTTTTAAATAATTAGCAATTAAAAATGTATTTAACTTGTATTAATTATATATTAATAAATTTTGTTTTATTCTTTTTATATTATACCAGATTGAGTTATAAAAATGATGTTTTAGACAACTCAGTAACCGTCCCTGTGGCGCAGAGGATAGCGCGTTGGACTTCTAATCCAAAGGTCGTGGGTTCGATCCCCACCAGGGATGTCATTAAATCATTTTTTTTATTTCTAAAAAATATATTTTGAGAATTTTCTCGTATGTCATTTTTCTATAATATCTTTAATTACTATTATTTCGTTTTTGTGCTATTTTTCTGCAAAAACTACAACGTTTAAGTTTATATACGTACATAATTATCATAATATGGAGATTATAAACTAATAAAATAACTAAATTAATAATGTATAAATTTGTTTACATGTTAAAAAACCTTAGTTAACTTTGCTAAGTATAGCATTGTTTAAAAAAGGAAAATGAAATATAATATATCTCTGAAGAAAAATACAAAATATTATGTGTTTTCATATTTAACACCGTTAAAAAACTTCAAAAATATATATATTTGAAATATAAATTTATTATGTACATATAGTTTTTAAGAAGTAATAATTACCGAAATGTTAGGCATGCAATTGATAAAAATTGCGTGATTACTAATTTTTTTTGCCTTTGCTGTTGAATAATTTATATATAAAACCAATTTCCATTTTCTTATTTATATATGCTAAATGTTGTTAAATTTTGTATTCTAGAAGAGATAATTGAAAAACATTGACTCTTAAATATTATTTGTTGTATTAAAAATATTTTTTTTTTTCAATTTAATTGATATACGCCATCTATCGTAGCGAGGCAGTAACGCCCACAGAGACAGACATACTATGCAAACGCTAGTAACGCATGTATAAACCTATTATACCGAGGTACCTGAACTTGGTCCTACTTGGATTTTTTATTTCTAATTTATGAGTTTTTTTTTTATTTTTAATTAATAGTTAGTGGTTTGTTCGTTATTTTACGAACATAAAAATGGTTTGTTCTTCTTTTAATTTTATAACTTATTAAACAAATTTCATCCTTAGGTTGGCCCCCCTTAATGATTGAACAATAATCAATAGCGATTGAACAAACGATATTTAGTAAAAATTAATTAGGCAATTTAAGAGATAAAAGTTAAGATTTACTATAAGGGGGCAACCTTAAGGATAAAATTTGTTAAATTAATTATAAATAATTAAAAGGCGAACAAACAATTTTTATGTTCGAACAAACGACGAACAATTAATTAAAATTGAAATAAAACTCAAAAATCAAAACAAAAAAACCAAGTAAGACCAGGTTCAGGTACCTGTCGCCGTGGTATCCACTATTTGTACAAGCTTGACTGCTTGACTGGTTTGACTTCCGTTTATGTATACAATATAAACCCTACATTTTTGGTAGTGATTCGATTCGAAGATTCGGTTTTGGTTTCGGTTTCGGCAAAAAATCTAGTTTCGGTAATAGTTTCGGTTTCAGCAAAAAAACTGCCGAACCTTCGGCGGCACCGAAACTTATTGTTCCTGGATTATCGTGCGTCGTTCGGATGAGTTCGTGACTCGTGTATTACTCATAATTATATGAGTTTAATGCTCTCATCGAATAATAAATTTATAATGGTCTTCCCTACCTCCTATTTTACTAGACTGCACTCAAATCCCTTACAGTAACAAGGTTAAAAACCTGGGGTTGTATCTCGACTCTTGCATGTCTTGGACCTCACAGGTTAATGAGGTCAGTAGAAAAATCTTTGCTGCTTTAAGCTCTGTTACGTAGATTAAGTAATTTTCTTCCCACAGTAACTAAAGTTACGCTCGCGCAGTCTCAGTCCAGACATCACCGAAAAGCTGCTGCTCTGCGCTAATAAGCTTGAGCGCATTGAAAATTTATGTATTAGATTTATATTTAGGCTTCACATATATGATCATATATCTGAATTTCGCAAACAGCTCAAATGGCTCCCGATCCGCCTTCGCAGTAATACTCACATTCTCTCCGCTTTGTATGGCGTACTGTTTAATCCTTCCTCTCCTCATTATTTAAAAGACCGTTTCCAATATCTTTCCCTTACCCATAATCGGTTCCTTCGATCCTCTGTCAATCTTTCTCTCTCTCTACTCCTTTGCACTCTTCCTACTTTTTTAAGAAATCCTTTACTGTAACTGCTGTACGTTTGTGGAACTCTTTACCTCTCCACATTCGTCGTGCTTAATCTCTTACTTAGAATGCTATTAGATAAATTAATTTTCCTTTTTCGTACACTTTTTCTATTATATGGTATTATACATAATCTTCACTTATCTTTATTAATATGTAGATTCATATTTTTTATTTTTTATTTTGTACGTCCCCTCTATTTTTAACTATTGTTTGCATCAGTTCTAGACGCTATGGTTGTCTGGAAGAGATCACTTTTAGAGTGATAAGACCGCCTGTTGTACATATTCTACTTTAGATTTAACTGTACTCGTTATTTTGTATTTTGGTGTACAATAAAGAGTAAATAAATAAATAAAAATAAATATATTTATTAGTTTTAATAATATTGTGAACACAATAAAATGTTTTCTCAATTAGCGAGTAACTTTTTATGAATGTAAGTGTTGGTTTTTTACAAAATTTACTTAAAAAGTATTTCTTAACGTTAAATTTCTGAATTTTAACTTTAAAATAAATAAATATATTGCTACACGACTATTGCATACAATTACTATTTTTCATAAACAGGCATTACCTATCTGTATATGTGAGCATTTCTCTACTAATGAGGGCATCCACGATTTTTCTGCCACCAGAGCGGCGCCACTGGAAAGTGAGGTATGGTGAGGTATAATATTTGACAGATTTCATAGTGAGGAAGTTAATTTGTTCGGAAAATGTAAAAGTTATTGTTTCTTTTTGTACTATTAGCTAAATTTTATATTAATAACATTAAAAATAAATAAACCTAACCACAGATATTCATAAAAGTAGAAAAATTAAATAAAAAGTTAAAAATGTGCAAAAAATTAAAAAGCAGACCACTGACGCATTGTTTTGTATATTAATATAAATACTCTAGAAACTTATAAACTTTTATTAAATAACAACTTCTCAATTAAATTACATTGCGTAACAAAAAACTTTACCTCTGCGTCAACTAGCGACATCTGGTGAGCAGAAAATTATTAGCCCTCATTGAAAAATCGCTCTGCAAGGCAATTTTTTTAAATAGATCTAATTATTGCTGAGTTCAATGTATTAATAACTACAATATATTATTCTTGACACACCATAGCCCAAAATAGTAATATAATATTAGAATATCCAATTAATTACACTTCAAACACCTCAATTAACAGTCCCCTGTCGTGTCCCATTCCCAAAATTACAAGTCTTAATAACAAATAATAATTTTCAGCATGATTATTTCCGGAATAAATATTAATAAATATTACTAGGATAAAGTACACATCTAGAAAAAATACAATCATATTTTTAAAATAACAATTTAATTAAAAAAAAAAGAACAGTACCCTGTCACAATTTGAAAATTACGCTAAAATCACACTATGCATTGGCGAGGTCATTTATAACGAGAACAGGAAAGCAATCGGTGTGAAGTTAGTTCAGTTGCAGAGTTAAGCGGGCTGACGTCATTTTGTGTGTTCTTTTAACATTGTTTTATATTTTGGCATCAAGGCTTCATATAGAGGTCCCAAGTATATAAAGATTTTTCTGGAATTTCTCAGAAAATGAAGAAAGCAAGAGTGCTGCTGATGGGCTTGGCGCTGCATGTAAGAGAACTGCAGATGCTATCGTTACAACAAATACTATAATACACAAGCAAACACAAGCACACACACGCGCGCGCGTGCACACACACACGCACGCATGCACGCACACGCACACGCACACGCACACGCACACGCACACGCACACGCACACACACACACACACACACACACATACACACACACACACACACACACACACACACACACACACCACGCACACGTACACGCGCGCACACACGTTTAATGTTTATTATCTTATAAGTATCAACAAAAAATTAATTTAATAATAATTTAAATTATCGTAATTTTTCCTTTCCACCGTCATTATTTATTTATCTATGAGCTAGTGTTTTGGCGGGAACTTGACTGGTGCCGGAATGATGCTGCTGTATTATAGATTAAATAATGGTATGAAGTGAATTTTGATATGTAAAAGTGGAAACGGTAAAACTAATGCTCTGATGGTGATGTGATTCTCAAGATAAGGTGTCTCTCTATTTAGGCGCCTTGAGATACCATCACCAACTGTCAGCTGTCTGCTGGCTCAAGTTGCCGTCAAAATCTCCCAAGGGCTGCACCATGTGACGCTGACGCATCAACATATTGTAAAGCAGTGTACTATGAATATGAAGGATAATAATTATACGTTGTAACTTCAGGTTCGGAAGGGCTAGAACCCAGAGCCGTAAAGCCAGTTAAAAATATCAATGTTGTCCTAGAATAATAATATTAATACCTATATAGATTTGTTTGTTTTCTTTTTCTAGTGTTTTTCTACTAGTAAATGATAAATTGTGAATAACTGAATTACGCTAAATTATAGTTATACTATTTAATTTAATAATAGACATAACAAAATGAGGAGGCGAGCGGGAGTTGGAGCTATACAAAAACAAAAACTAGAACAAGAAAAGTATAAGGAAAAAGGCTCTGAAATACAAGAAAATCAGTTTCAACAGATGTGTAAACAATTAGAAGTGTTTAGAGAGAACCTTGAAGATTTTGCTTCTAAGCACAAGAATGAAATAAAAAAGAATGCCCAGTTTAGAAGACAATTCCAAGAAATGTGTGCTGCTATTGGTGTTGACCCACTGGCTTCCGGAAAAGGCTTTTGGTCGGTATTAGGTAAGACTTTGTGTCATTATTATTCAAAAATATGCAGTGGCCGCAATTGTATCAAGTTTCGAATAGCTTTGTTTTATAATGGGTGACTCGTGTATTATAAAATATTTAATAAGGACTTTTGATATAAGCATTATATTTTTTGTGGATATTACTAACATAAAACTAATATTTTCATAGTTAAGTGTGATATGGTAGTTGGACAGGTCCTGCCTTATTAGGAAAACTATTTAATGATTATTAGCATAATTTTACTATCACTACAGTCTCTCCCATAGATTGCATCAAACTACAGCAAAATGTTCAAAATATACTCTGAGCCACAAAATATGACTTTAACTTAGGGTAGTCAACCCCAAATTTAAAAAACTAGGATGTGAAGTTGGAAAAACCAGGACAATTCAGTTTAAAAACAGGATGCAGTAAAGGCCTTTTCAAATATAATTGTGAACCAAACCGAACCAAAAATGTGGCGAATGTATGTGCTATGTATGCAGGCATTGGTTCATTGTCACTTTTAATATGTGACTAGATTCAAACAAATACAATATATAACAAAATAAAAACGCTTCACTTTAGTTCTATTTGACTCGGTTCCCTGTCTATTTGACTCGGGCTTAATAGAGTTGCAATAGTTAAATTAATATGTAGTGAAAACAGGTTAAGGTGGAAGCGCCAGGGTAGCCCGCAAAATTCAAATTTTCTTACGTTTCTTGCAATTTGCAGGTCAGTGTCAGATTGTATGTTTAACAAAGTATGATTCGTTACCGTAACGAGTATGTATTTACAGAATTATAATTACTATAATCATCAACACAACCGTCTGTATTCGTATAATTCCAATGTATGGCTATTTCCAGAAAAACTCATTCAAAAGGATGTTATAGATAGTTTTGATGATTGCAACTACTGTTGTTAGCAGTAATTGATTTCTTTCTTTTGACCACTGTGAATTTATGAGAGAAAAGACATTCTTGACATTTAAAATACAAAGGCAAACTTTAAAATACATGACCTTAAAAACTATCCAGGACATCCCAGGACACTACAAAAATTAGGACATGTCCTGAGAAAACAGGACGGTTGGCAATCCTACTTTAAGTTAATATTATTTTCTCCTTTGATTGGTTTGCTGAATTAAAAAGAAGATAGGGAAGGTAGATTGGTTGCCAAAATTGACCACCAAAGAAAGTATTTGAGCAGTTTAATCACGATACAGAAAACTACAAATTACATGTAATGTATCTATTTGCCACTATACAGGGACATATATACAGACGATATGCCTAAGTGAATGCTGTAGACTCTATTAACAGTTTCCCTGTCCGCAATATATACACAATAGTTAAACAATCAAAATGTTCATATATAATTCATGGGACAGGGAAAGGTTAAGAATTAAAATGCCTTTGTTACCCCTGAGAATTAAGATGGAATACTTCATTATGATTAAAAACAATTTTGGTTCTCTTTATTCACAATACAAAACACAATATCATTAAACACTATTTCACACTGATATTGTGGTATGAATAACTTTAATTTTCTGCTATATCACTAGTAAACTCGTAGAGTTTACTAAATTAAATTTTTTTATGACTTAAATGACTTTCAATAAGAATTACACATGTGATCTATATTGAATAAAAAAATATTCTATTCTATTCTAGTGCATGTGGTAGGGCCATGCTGCAGCTATATTAGTAGTATATAGTTGTAGCACAAATGGGCCGGCTCGACCGGGGAAGGAATACGCTCTCTCAGAATACCAGCGTAAACTAGCAGCTTAACACTGCTGTGTTAGTATGGTGAGTGTAGAGAACCGGAGACCCTATTTACTGGAAAAGAGGCATTCCATCTCAGTCTTCAAGGCTGACAACGCATTTGCATTTTGATTCACAAACAAGGATAGATGTAGATGTCCATGGGCCTCAGCAACCACTTACCTTCAGGTGGAATGTGTGCTCGTTTGTCGCCCTATTTTTATTAAAAAAAAACCATTCCATATCATTAGGTCTTATACTCCATAATGTAAATTGCAGATACTGGTCTTTGCATATTTCCATGTGTGGTCATTTTAAAACTCATCAAGCATCAGCAGTTGTAGGACCTTCCTTTTGTTCTCATAATACACTCTATTTTAGGTATTGGTGACTTTTATTATGAACTGGGCGTGCAAATTGTAGAAGTGTGTTTAGCTACGAATTACAAGAATGGTGGTCTCATCACCTTGGATGAACTGAGGAGCAAGTTGATAGCGGCGCGAGGAAAGGCCAAAAAACACCAGGATATTACGAATGAGGATTTATTGGCCGCTGTGAAGAAACTTAGGATATTTGGCAATGGGTAAGATTGTATTGTTCATATAAGCTAAATTTATGACGAAATGAAATTTATACTTTATCATATTCCAACTGTGATATTAAAAAAATTGTCCCCATATTCCATATGAAGAAGGGCATGGTAATGATGTCGAAACAACTTATATAGTGAAAACTATAATTATACTATCCTAAGAATTTTGTTTATATTAACTCCATATTTCTTATTTTACAGATTTACAGTTATCCCCATAGGCAAAGGAAAATGGCTTGTACAGTCTGTGCCAGGAGAACTGAATCTAGATCAGACTTTGGTCCTGCAGAAAGCAAGTGCTTTGGGTACCGCTTGGGTGTCTGCTAGCATACTCACTGGAGATCTACGGTGAGTTATTTTTAAACACTATCACTAGTATTATTAAAGTAATAATCTAATACGATTATATTTTGACCCTTACTGTGGACTAAGGCATATATATCACAAGCTCAAAACTTAATGAATTAGGATCATTAAAATCAGTTCATCGACAAAGATATCACATACCATACATACTGTTACGAACTTGGGGTTCGAGACAGTTAAAAACTGCCGAGTGAATTACCAAAATTGACAATAACAGAACACTAATTACGACTCAAAGCCACACTAATACCAAAACACAATTATTCTACTGATCACAATAGTTTGCAGATGTATCTATTCAAAGTATTTGCTTGTATCTCCAATTCAATACTGATCCCGGTCGCGGTCTATACCGGCCTTATATAGGGCCTCAGATAGTTTCCAGACCTTCTACTGTAGAAACTTCTAGAATGTTCGAGTACATATCGGTCTAGATTGACTTGAAGGCGTCTATAGTTCTAGGAAGTTCTTCCATGGAAATTTATACAAGGATCTTGACACTTCTAGTTCTGTTACTCGATACTAGAGGGCGCTAGTGGTAACTAGTGTTGCCATGTACCATGCATTAATTGTGGCGCGCAACAATATAAAAAACATGCAGTCGAATTGAGAGGCTCTTCTTTTTTGAAGTCTGTTAAAAATTCAAATATAATGAAGTCTTTACCACATCTTAAATATAAGAAAAGGACACATAAAAAATCCCTGTGCTGCAGCATGAAACTACGAAATGGACGGGTCTCTGTAATGTCGGTACTGTGTGCAAGCATGGTCCTTTCCCACTGTGCTTTCGCAGTGAATATTAAATTCCTTGTAGTAAAAGTACCATGTAGTGGCTGTGTAAGAATGTCCACTACCCTACGTCGTCCTGTGGGTATCGTGAGACAGACAGAGACAAACAAATCAGGAGTGGGCAGCGATGTTTCCTAATAACAACTAAAAATAGTTAACTGCGGTTGCCAACCCATCTGCCAAGTGTGACAACTATGGCAAATTGATATTTGCCCATAAATTGCCCCTATGTGGTGAGGTGTGGGGAGGTCTATGCTAGTAGTGGACTTTTAATAGTCTGTAACGGTGATGGTATTTAAAACATCATACTCTATGTTGCAGTTGGAATGAAACAAGAGCACAAAATGCTCTCAACCACATGGTCAAAGAAGGGCTCGCGTGGGTTGACACACAAGACACAAGTGAAACGCTGTATTGGTTCCCCAGTATGTTTGCAGAATGCGTGTCGGCGTGATTTTGCATTTTATATTTACGTCATTAGGTTGTTTTTAAATTAACTGAATATAACATAAAAATAAATTATTTATTGTTGAATTTGTTGTTATTATTTTGCCGTGTAGTGGCATACTTTAAACACTAGGAACAAGCATAAGCTTGTAATACCAGTTACTAGACTCCACAGAATTAGTACCTAATTCATTTATGGGGCAATGTATACGCTTTTACAATAAAATCCAAGAAAATGTACAAAATTTGTCAATAAACAAGTTTAAATGTTTTATTAAAGAAAAATTGTACAAAAAGAGTTATTATAATATCAAAGAATACATAAATGAAAATAACCCTCGGGAATGAGGTGATCGCCATCATGCTAGTTCTATTTAAAAATTGTACAAACAAAATTATTGTAAAGTGAAATATGTTTTAAGAAAGTCCCGCTGGGTTTCTCGCTGGTTCTTCCCAGGACAGAGGTATTTTCCGAACCAATGGTAATTAAAAAAAATGACTTTCAATAAGTATTATGTAATAATATATATTGAATAAAAATTATTCTATTAACAATTCTATTCATTTTGCTTCCCTTCACTTCTACTTCTACTAGGTGGTAGGACTCCTTTTCTGCCTAGGAACGTCTGGAATCTGGATAGGTACCACACTCTTACCTATTTCTGCCGCCAAGTAGCAGTGTGTGCACCGCTTTATCCCGATCTGAAGGGTATAGAGCCAGTGTAATTACAGTGTGTACATGGGTTGCAGTGACTACTTACTATTAGGCATTGAGTTATATGTACTACGTACTAGAGAAGCCATTCCAAACAAAAATTGTGTCCTACTCTATGTCCTCGCGCATGCGCGGGAGTAGTAGTCGCGCATGAGCGAAGACTTTAATTTGGTATAAAATAAGATATTAATATAAAATAAATATAAGAATTTAATATAAATATCTTATTTTAATCTAAACATACATATTTCTAAATAAAATGTAATTATAATTATCTTATGGAATTCACAAATCTTCAATTTACGCAATATTTAGTTTGTACGGATTGCAGTACAGTTCAGTTGAACATAGTCAATGTTCGGAAGGGCTTCTCTAGTACGTAGTACATGTAACTCAATGCTATTAGGTCAACTGTAAGTTTATATGTCAATTTAATTTAAAAAAATCTTCATTTAATGAAGCGTGGTATTCGTAGCTCAGTGGATAAGTCTTAAAATTTCATAGTACGTGAGCAGACAGATTTCAGGCACTAAAAGATTTGTTAGTTGCAGTTTTTAATGCTGATATACATGCCCAGCGTGTGAAGAAAATCACGAGAAGGAATGAGGAAACCAGCATCTCTACAAAATTATAAAACACTAGCTGATACTCGCGACTTCGTCTGCGTTGTTTACACACATCGCTGAACACGTAGTGCTTATAAAAAGCGTTGTTTCTTAAAATTTTAAAAACTTATATTAAATGAAGATATCGCAATATTTTTTATTTAAGGCCCAAGTGTCTAAGAAATAAAACTTAAAAAATGTAAAAGAAATCTATCCAGTAGTTTTTCCGTGATGCGGGCACAACTGCAAACCTCTATCATTTTATTGCATGCCTTAAGCGCGAAGCGCGCCGGTATGTTCTGATAGAGCCTAAAAATTAAGATTCCAACGTTTTGTCCCATGAAATCGTATCTAGCAATCATATTATATATATGATATAAAATGCACATTGTCAGAAAGATAAATTATTGTTGAACTTATTAATATTTTTTTTAAATCAATTAATTACTAATTTTACATAAAAATGCATGATGTAAAGATATGTATCGATATTTTTATAAAAAATATCGATACATATTTTTACATCATGTTCATAATATATCGATATTTCGATATATTGATATTATTTGCCTAAGTCTACTTTATTCACTTCGGACCACAGAATACTTTTGCTCCTACCGGAGACTCCGGGCCCGGGCTCAAATGCTGTCGTGAGTGATCGTATGTTACAGCGGCTATTGTAGAAAAATATCGATCGCCGTAGAAATACAAAATAATTCCAAAAACCAAATTTGATACATACTTGACCAAGGTAAGATATTATTATTATTTTTTTAATCACAGATTTTTATTACAATATTTTGTTTCACTAAAAGCACGCAGGATTTATATATAAATATACTTATACGTCTTGGACTTTATAGAACTGAAGGTGAGTCGGTATCTGCTACTGGAACTAATCGACGAGGAGAACTAGATGTGCCGAGTTTGAGCTCGTTTTGTTAGTTATGATCAGACCTTACCTCCGGACTTGATAGAGTGACTTGAAAGTGTACTTTGATGACTACTGCTGGAACTCATCGACGAGGAGAACTAGATGTGCCGAGATTAGCTTCGTTTTGTTAGTAATATAATAGACCTTACCCCCGGACTTGACGGACTGACTTCAAGGCGTACTTCGTTGACTGCGACTTATTTTATTTTATTGAATAAGGTACACAAACAGACAGTAGTTATATACAGTTCTTAAATTAAAAATATTATGGTGTTGATCTAAACTACAATCCAAAAAAAAAAAGTGTACACAGCATAGTAATATAACTTCAGTAGAATAACAAAAATAAACAAGTTAAAAAAATACATTAAAAATTAAGAGCAACACGTAAATTTCTTTTAAATCTAACAAGGCTACTATCAAATATATCTAGATGTATGTTACTACGCTTAATCTCGTCGTAATCACGGCACATTTTGACAACAGGGTTGAAAAAGGAAGTGTTATTTCTGTGTACGTCTAACCTAAATATTCTTTGAACACGTTGTCGTATACCGGAATTGAAGTTAATTAGCCTTAGTAACTCTGGGTAATCTATATGAGAATGTACAATCTTGTGCAAGAAAACTTGTTCGGCAAATTGTCTCCTCAAAGACAATCGTTGGACATTAAAAAACTTTAGTCGAGAGTCGTATGATGGTAGACGACGCAAGTGACCATATCTGCCACAAATACTGCGTAGGAAACTTCTCTGCACCCTCTAGATGCTGTCAGAATGTACCATATAAAAGGGTGACCATACAGTGGAAGCGTACTCTAGTACAGAACGAACCAAATTATAAAATAATCGAAGTGATGCGAGAGGTTTGGAGAAATCATTTGTTACACGAATTATAAACCCAAAGGTTCTGAAAGTTTTTTGCGTAATATAATCATAATGTGGACGGAACGAAAATTTTGAGTCGAAATATACTCCCAAATCCTTAACAATCTCCTTGCGTGTCAGAGGCTGGCTATTGACATTGTACTTAAATTCCAGGTGATTGTGTTTAGTAGTGAATGTGATAACTAAGCACTTACTGATATTTAATGACATAAAATTAGCGGAACACCAATCTTGAACTGCGTCTATGTCTTTTTGAAATGCAATACAGTCATTCACGTCACTTATCACTCGATATATCTTCATATCGTCAGCATAAAGTAAGCAGTGATTGTGGATTACGTCAACTAAATCATTTATAAAAACAATGAAAAACAATGGCCCTAAGTGGGATCCTTGGGGAACACCAGACGTGACCGCTGCTGGAGCAGAGTTATAACCTTTAACCGCAACAATCTGGCTCCTCCTGGATATATACGATCTGACCCAACGAAGTAAATTACCATGAATACCATAGGCCTCTAATTTTGCACACAGTAACTCGTGATTGACCTTGTCAAATGCCTTGGAGAATTCAGTGTAAATTGAGTCCACCTGACGACGATTAGCAATAGCCGAGCTGATGTGATTTCTATAAATAAGCAGATTGCTTATCGTAGACCGACCTGATACGAAGCCATGCTGCATACATGAAATTTTTTACTTAACATGACTGTATATGTGAGAATATATTAATGTTTCAAAAACCTTAGCCATGCAGGAAAGTATGCTTATGGGTCTATAATTACTACATATTGTTTTATCACCGGATTTGTAAATGGGTATTACAAACGCATTTTTCCAAATTTTCGGGAAAGTACCCGTAATTAGTGACTTATTGAAAATAATAGACAATGGCAAATTAAGCTCTTTTGCACACGTCTTTACAAATATAGCAGGAATTCCATCCGGCCCTGGGGCCTTTGAAGCATCCAATTTACAACAAGTTTGACGCACTAACTCAGTTGAAATACGTACATCAGATAAAGTAAGATGATGTTTTGATGGAATGGTAAACGACGCAGGTTTATTGCTATCCGGTTTATCGTACACAGATGAAAAATATGTAGAGAAGAGTTCGCAGATGTCATTCGGTTTGTTTGCGGTGTGAGATCCATAAGTCATCGATTCAGGTATATTCCCACTTACTCTTTTTCTTTTGACATATTTCCAGAACGCTTTCATATTATCGTTCAAACCGCTTTCCACATTCTGTAGTAAGTTTTTATAACACTCTTCTATTAATTTTTTACTTCTTTTTCTCAATAAATTAAACGTGTCGTAATCTCTTGGATTGCCAAATTTCTTATACAGTTTATGAAATCTTAGTTTCTCTTTAATGCAACGAATCAAAGAAGGACTGTACCAGTATGGATAAAGAAGGATAGCTTTGTTTAATTCAGGGTAAAATATTTCAACTACATCATCTACATTCGCCTCGGCCAAAAGATGTTGCCAATTTGTATTAAGTAAATGATTTTTTATCTTTATAAAGTTGCATTTGTGAAAATTTGGTTTCAACGTGCCTGGGTTCTGCCTGATGGACTTAAATGCTTGCTGGTGTTCAATAGATATGTTCAAGCAAGGGTGATGTCTATCGGGTTTGATTATAGGGAGTGTCGAAATTTGCCAAAATTAAGTCGAGCGTCCGGTCATTACAGTTTTTTAGGAAATTAAACTGAAAAACTGCTACTGAAACTCATTAACGGATAGAACTACAATTTACATTTTTTTTTAATTTTTGCACTATCATTGGGTATTGTGAGGCGTGCACTTTTGGATTTTACAAACTTTTTTTAATTGAAGTTTGTCATAAAGATATCAGAAAATTGGAAGTATAGTTATAAGGTTATTAGTGAAAACTTGTGTGTATTTAAACTACTTAAAAATTAAGTATAATCATGTTAACTGGATGAAAAAGTGACCCTAAAAAGTGACAAATGCATACATCTATAGGAGTTATATAGCCTGCGTGAGAATGAAAAAGAATAAGTAGTAAGCGACATTAGCATATTGGCAGTGTGCGCACCCCGAACCCAAAAGGTTGTGGGTTTGAATCCGCCATTCGATTATTATTAAATTTACCAATAGTGGTTAAAGGGAATTTTAGTAATGTTAATAGCATTGCTAGCATATTTAAAAAATAGTGTTTCCTATTAGTTAGGTCTCCTCTTTGTGCGATGCTTTAAAGGTGGCTAATATACATTTTAACTGTTAAAATAAACAGTTAAAAAATTAACAAATTTATTAAATTAATAAAATTAACCTTAACGAATAAAATTATCATAATAACCAATTTATTCATAACAATCCTCGATTTTATAGCTTACCGATTCATATTAAATTATTCGTGTTTATGACTTATTTTTTTTTTGCGCCCAGAAGCTATTGGAAAGGGCTACCACGATACGTGAGGAAGTGGAGAATGCTTTATGCATACCACGACAGCCGGTCTGTCGTGGTTATGTGGGACTCACTGTGATTACCTACTGGGGAACCTAAGTGATACCCACTAAACTCCACTTTGGGGACTGGCAATTGGCTGATTAAGCCTCTTTGCCGGATCGGAAGCGACCCTCTTTTGGGAGAAGAGGGCGCAGGCGGCTACAAAGAGCCGCTAAGGGTGAGCCTACTTACGCAAATTTAAGAAGAATCGGCCTGAGCCGCCAGAAGGCAGTTCAGGTCGGTTGAAATTTTATTTGGCGGGTCCGAGAGAGAGTTTCTCGGCCTGCGGACTCGATAGAGGGGGTGGGGCTGCATAAGTAGCTGCCTCACGAATGAAATGATTGGAATGAGACTCTGAAGCTTTGAAGAAGTTCTCAGAGAGTGTTTTTAGAAATTGTTGGATTGTAGGGAGCTCTAAGTCCCGATGGAGGTCGGCATTACGGACGTACCAAGGTGCGTTCGTAGCTCGACGACAGAAGAGGTTTTGAACTACATGGATTTCATTAATAATTTTACGGTCAGCGTGGGCAAAAACAGGGCCCGCGTAGGACATGACTGCTCGTATACAGACCTTATAAAGGGTTCGCTTGTTTCTGAGGGACATTTACTGTGTCGGCCCAACATACTGTTGAGCCTACTCAGGTAAAAACGTGCGTGACGGGTTACTCTTTTGACATGGGGCTCGAAGGTGAGCCTCGCCGGTAAATGACCGGTCATTTACCGGCGGTGGAGCTTGCCTACTGAGGCGTGGATGAGGTGCGCAAGGGCAGCCTCTATAGTTTGCCGGGTGGCCTGTTTGTTGACACAGGACGCACGCGGATGAGGATTCGGCGTCTTTGGGCTGAGGACACTCTTTCGAGTGATGTGGATCAAGGCACTTAACGCACCTCGGTGGGGCGGAGCAGTTGACCGCCGCGTGCCCGTAAAGCAGGCAGCGGTGGCACTGCGCCGGGAAACCGCGCCTATGTGGGGGCTGCCGGAAGATGGTTTTTGCCTCCGGCACGTTAGATAAGATAACGAGGGCAAGCGGGAACCTCTTGCCCGTATTCTGCTGTGCATTTTGTGCACGGCCCTCGAGGATGTCTTCGTTGGAGAGTTCGAAGGGGACGCCGCGGATGACGGCCCTGACTTTACGCTCTTCCGGAAGAGCGTACGTGTGATAAGAGACTCGTTCGGCTGTGAATAGCCTGGTGAGACGACGGAAGTCATCGATAGATTTTGGGATGATTTTAATGGCTTCACCCATGTTTGTGGCCTGGTCATATTTAATGCCTGTGTCGTAACAGTTTTTGGACAATTGGGTAAATTTAGCCTTGTCTCTTAAGAAGACAGGAGGCGGGACTTGCTTTTTGGCAAGGACTGGAACACAGCGAGAGGCTGGCTTGGACTGCGCGGGGGGTGTCTAAAGACATAAGGGGGATCGAAGCAGCGACGAGGGCTGCGGAGGCTGAGGTGGCTGCGGGAGCTGCGGGGGATGAGGCAGTGGCTTGAGCTGCGGGAGCGGCAGGGGCCCCTGGGACGGGGGGGGGGGTGCGTTTTTTGGCAGCGCGTTTACCGCCGCGCTTGGAGTTCACCGTGGTGAACGAAGAATCCCCGGTTCCGTCGGAGTCAGAGGACTCCGATGAACCCGTGCCAGATTTGGTGGCGGGCCTCTTCCGGGAGGCCGACGCAGAGGACTCGGAGTCGGAGCATGCGTACTCCATATCTAGGGGAGTGAAAGAGTTTCTAGACTCTAGAAAGGCCGCGACAACGGGCTGCGGTTGGAGTGCCTGAGGGGCAGGGGGAGTGACAAAGGCGGCGACGGCGGTGAAGGCCGTCTCATCAAGATTTAGGCCCAGACCAAGAGTTTAGTTTAGGGCGGCGACGAGTGACCTAATTTGATTAAGGGTGGACATGTTGGGGGACTGTGTTCTATCGTGTAAACAGTAAGGACGGGACGGGTCCCTGTCCTCAAAAGAACAGGGACTTGAACACGAGACCTAACAATACAAGAAAAACAACAAGAGAAATAACAAAAAATCAACAATAAAAAATAACAATAAGAAGCAGAGGTCAGTCAAACCTCTCCGCCCGAAGACAGGGGGGCAAGTACTGAAGTTAGCGGAAAAACCTCACCGGCGTCGGCGCAGTACAGCGCGAACAGGACAGCGGAGGCGCGAGAGAGCGAGAGGGCACTAACGTCCGGGGACGAAAGCGCGGACTACTTGTAAACGTCCGCTCGAGGAGGCGGCGCAAGCGGTATCGTGTTCTCTATTTAGTCTGTGATCGTGTGTATGCCAACTAGCGCATTGCTTATATACCACTTGAGAGTCAATCAAGTTTTGTTCGATAAAATGACTTTACATATAGAATGAGGTAGGTGACGCTACTACAAAGCAAGTTTACTCTAAATAAATTATATTGATTTATGACACTAAGATTAAGTCTAAAAATAGGTATTGTGTCATTTATTTGCTACAAAATGAAACTTTTATTTTATGCCGCACTTGTGGTTGATGATCATATTAAATAAATAATTTGCTGTGAAATATTTTTATTTTATATTTAATTTAATTTGAAGGTTTCATTTCTGTGGCTTGTAAACTGCACATATGTTTCTTTATAATTATAGAATGTGCATCATAAGAGTCTGAATGTATTTCCGATGTTAGCATAATAATAATCATTACGTCAATTACGGATAGGTTACATCGAGTGAAACACTTTATTTCATATGCATATCCTATAATGTCACCAATTATTAAAGGATACTTATATAAAAAAAGTTATCCCCATTGTACTGTTGTAAATAGCCTCCACGATACAGGAGAACATTTTATATATGTATATATATATATATATATATATATATATATATATATATATATATACATATATATAAATCAGTTTAGTCAACTTCTAACATAATATTGCGTTGCTTCTCTTAAAATAAAACACAATCGAATTGATAATCTCCTTCTTTTTTGAAGTTCGTCGAAAATCGGTCAAAAGAACTTCGTTTTATGATCAAAAGCACGAAATGAAACTACAAGTTATAAACGAAATATATTATATTATAATTAAACAATAAATCTTAACTAAAACAGATTATATTGCACTATTGGTTATATTTGTTTAGCTATGAACTACTCGAACTATGTTCATGTTTCGGTGAAGCTATGCGAGGGAGATTCAATTTAGATCTCAATTCGTTGTTCTCTTTATATAAGGCTTCCAAATTCTTCTTTAACTTATCCGTCATGTCTAAGTAAGATTCTTTCCATCTGAAAAAATTAAAACTGGCATGAAATATTGCGTGTCGTCGAAACATTGATATAAAGCCGTAGACGTAGTGATACTGATCTTTATAGACTTGCACAGCTGCTCGCACAAATAAAAAACATTGAAGTAACACTTAATAGTCGAAATGTTAGGGAATCCATCAGCCCCGTCGAGTTTGTGTTACGAGATGGGAAATGCCACGCAGATTACTTTTTGTTAGATCGTAAACAGAGAGTCTTTCAGTTATACCTTGCACCATTTCTCCTAATATATAAAATTTTACATATACCTACATTAATCGTTCATTAAGAATCAAAGTGCACATGTATTGCCATCTCTTAGGGATACATTCGAATACCACTTTACCTCAATACCCTTAAAAAATCTCTGTTATTCAACGGTCACAATTACAAACATAATGCCCTCCTAACCAAATTTCGACAGGATCATAGTGTACGAGTGTGTGTGCCAAGCTATGTAGACTCTTTATTGCTTCACTTTTATACATACTCCGATGAAATGAAGATTAAAGGAATGAAAATGATTTTTTGAATGAATGAATGATTGGCGACCCGCCAATCCGATACGACCGGAGAGAGATAGGACCGCCGGCTTTTCAAGCTTTCAGAGACACGGGGATGAAACGGCTGTTTTCTTGACCACGGTCTGCTACTGAGTTGACAAAAAAACCCAATAACTAATTTTGTTCCGATTCGGGATTCGAAACCAGGATGTCGTAATTAATCATCAGTCGGACTTACGACCACTAGATCAACGAGGCAGTCGATATAAGAAGTACAGCATTTTACTGCAGTTTTTGCTCTTTTGTATTTTTTTATAGCATAAGGTGACAAACGAGCACACAGTCCACCTGATGGTAAGTGGTTGCTGTGGCCTATAGACATCTACATCTATCTTCGTTTGCGAATCAAAATGCAAATGCGTTGTTACCCGTGAGGACTAAGATGGAATGCCTCTTTTCCAGTAAAAAGGGTCTCCGGTTCTCTACACTCACCAAACGAAACACAGCAGTGTTAAGCTGCTATTTTACGCTGGTATTCTGTGAGAGCGTGGTCTTTCTTTCTTTCTTTCTTTCTTTCCCCGGTCGAGCCGACCCATTCGTGCTACAACTATATACTACTAATATAGCTGCAGCATGGTTCTACCACGTATTCAGTGAGAGCGTAGTTCTTTCTCGTTCGCGCCAACCAATGAGGGCATCCACGACTTTGTCTGCCACTAGGGCGCCGCCACTTAAAAGTTAGGTATAATATTTGACAGATTGCATAGCGGGGCAGTTAATTTATTCGAAAAATATACATGTTAATGTTTCTTTCTCTACTATTGGCCATATTTATATTAATTAGATTAAAAATAAATAAGCCAAACAACAGATATTCATATATGTAGATATTTGTTAAAGTCTTTTTTTTAATTTAAGAGCAAATCATTTTGAGGCATCGTTTTATGTATTAAGGGTGCGTTTGCAAATCGGGCCAAATTATGCTGTTTTTCGGTACATTTTGTGACAAAACTAAACCAAATCCAATATAACTAATAACTGCAACGTATAGAATGGTTCTTTATCTTCAAATAGTGGTAACTTTTTTGTTGAAAATAATAGTTTTTTACATTGTAAAAAGGATCTTCCCTAGCCATTTACTACAAAATTAACGATACCGGCTCATATTTCGGTACATTTTTTGTTCTATTATCAACATATATTAAGATATCTAAAAATACTGTAAGTAGGCAGACATATTCAATAAAAAATGCTGGTGATTACTTTTTATCAAAATGTCACAAATGGTCGTAAAAAAAATAAAAACTGATGCTTATTTTTTGACATATTTTGCTGATACGGATGAATCCTAATGTATTGCAATAAGGGTTATTTTATTTTAGTGTCTGTTTTGATTTGTTGTACAAAAATTTCGATGAAACCACAGTCGGCGCATAGATAAGAGTGTATATACGGAAAAGTCGGCGCTCGGCCGCTATCGCGGGTGGTCGCTGTATCGCCTGCAGCAGCTGAAAAAGATCGCTGTATAAACACAAAATATTCGAATTTGATACATAGGTACATGACCTGACAAAGTAAAATAATACATACATAATATAAATATTTTTATAATCCCAAATTCTTATTATAATGTTTTGTTTCGCTAAAAGCAAGTGGGATTTATAATATATAAATCCTATTCGTCTTGGACTTTATGGAGTGATCTGAAAGTATACGGTGAATGCTACTAGAACTCCTCGACGAGTTGAACTAGGTGTGCCGAGTTAGGGCTCATTATGTTAGTTATGACGAGACCTTACCTCCGGACTTGAAGGAATGACCTGAAGGTGTACTTCGGTAACTGCTAGTGGAACTCCTGGACGAGTAGAACTAGGTATGCCAAGTTTGGGCTCGTTTTGTTAGTTACGACGAGACCTTACCTCCGGACTTGACAGAATGACCTGATGGTGTACGTTGGTGACTACTACTGCAACTCCTGGACGAGTAGAACTAGGTGTGCCGTGTTTGGGCTCGTTTTGTTAGTTATGACGAGACCTTACCTCCGGACTTGACAGAATGACCTGATGGTGTACGTTGGTGACTACTACTGCAACTCCTGGACGAGTAGAACTAGGTGTGCCGTGTTTGGGCTCGTTTTGTTAGTTATGACGAGATCTTACCTCCGGACTTGACAGAATGACCTGATGGTGTACGTTGGTGACTACTACTGCAACTCCTGGACGAGTAGAAGTAGGTGTGCCGTGTTTGGGCTCGTTTTGTTAGTTATGACGATACCTTACCTCCGAACTTGATGAGAGACCTGATGGTGTACTTCGTAACTCCTGGAAGAGTAGAACTGGGTGTGCCGAGTTTAGGCACGTCGGAGAAAATATAAATGGTATTACCAAATTCAAGGGCAACCGCGCATCATAACTAACAAACTCGACACACCTAGTTCTACTCGTCCAGGAGTTGCAGTAGTAGTCACCAACGTACACCATCAGGTCATTCTATCAAGTCCGGAGGTAAGGTCACGTCGTAACTAACAAAACGAGCCCAAACTTGGCATACCTAGTTCTACTCGTCTAGGAGTTCCAATAGTAGTCACTAAATTACACCATCAGGTCTCTCCATTAAGTCCGGAGGTAAGGTTTCGTCATAACTAACATAATGAGCCCTAACTCTGCACACCTACTTCTATTCGTCCAGGAGATGCAGTAGTAGTCACCAATGTACACCATCAGGTCATTCTGTCAAGTCCGGAGGTAAGGCCTCATCGTAACTAACAAAACGAGCCCAAACTACGCATACCTAGTTTTACTCGTCCAGGAGTTGTAGTAGTAGTCACCAACGTACACCATCAGGTCATTCTGTCAAGTCCGGAGGTAAGGTCTCATCGTAACTAACAAAACGAGCCCAAACTACGCATACCTAGTTTTACTCGTCCAGGAGTTGTAGTAGTAGTCACCAACGTACACCATCAGGTCATTCTGTCAAGTCCGGAGGTAAGGTCTCATCGTAACTAACAAAACGAGCCCAAACTACGCATACCTAGTTTTACTCGTCCAGGAGTTGCAGTAGTAGTCACCAACGTACACCATCAGGTCATTCTGTCAAGTCCGGAGGTAAGGTTTCATCGTAACTAACAAAACGAGCCCAAACTTGGCAAACCTAGTTCTACTCGTCCAGGAGTTCCACTAGCAGTTACCGAAGTACACCTTCAGGTCATACCATCAAGTGAGGAGGTAAGGTCTCATCGTAACTAACAAAACGAGCCCAAACTACGCATACCTAGTTTTACTCGTCCAGGAGTTGCAGTAGTAGTCACCAACGTACACCATCAGGTCATTCTGTCAAGTCCGGAGGTAAGGTCTCATCGTAACTAACAAAACGAGCCCAAACTTGGCAAACCTAGTTCTACTCGTCCAGGAGTTCCACTAGCAGTTACCGAAGTACACCTTCAGGTCATACCATCAAGTGAGGAGGTAAGGTCTCATCGTAACTAACAAAACGAGCCCAAACTACGCATACCTAGTTTTACTCGTCCAGGAGTTGCAGTAGTAGTCACCAACGTACACCATCAGGTCATTCTGTCAAGTCCGGAGGTAAGGTCTCATCGTAACTAACAAAACGAGCCCAAACTACGCATACCTAGTTTTACTCGTCCAGGAGTTGCAGTAGTAGTCACCAACGTACACCATCAGGTCATTCTGTCAAGTCCGGAGGTAAGGTTTCATCGTAACTAACAAAACGAGCCCAAACTTGGCAAACCTAGTTCTACTCGTCCAGGAGTTCCACTAGCAGTTACCGAAGTACACCTTCAGGTCATACCATCAAGTGAGGAGGTAAGGTCTCATCGTAACTAACAAAACGAGCCCAAACTACGCATACCTAGTTTTACTCGTCCAGGAGTTGCAGTAGTAGTCACCAACGTACACCATCAGGTCATTCTGTCAAGTCCGGAGGTAAGGTTTCATCGTAACTAACAAAACGAGCCCAAACTTGGCAAACCTAGTTCTACTCGTCCAGGAGTTCCACTAGCAGTTACCGAAGTACACCTTCAGGTCATTCCATCAAGTGAGGAGGTAAGGTCTCATCGTAACTAACAAAACGAGCCCAAACTTGGCATACCTAGTTTTACTCGTCCAGGAGTTGCAGTAGTAGTCACCAACGTACACCATCAGGTCATTCTGTCAAGTCCGGAGGTAAGGTCTCATCGTAACTAACAAAACGAGCCCAAACTACGCATACCTAGTTTTACTCGTCCAGGAGTTGCAGTAGCAGTCACCCAAGTATACCTTCAAGTCACTTCACCAAGTTCGGAGCTGAATTTATCATAACTAACAAAACCAGCTCAAAGTCCACAGCCAACATCTCACTCCCTGTAGATGGCTTCTAGTACCTAGCTGTCTCTGGAGCAGCCATTTATATTTCGTATCTAAGTATATTTTTGTAGGTAATAAGAAATATGAAAAAAAAAAATCTTTCAAATTATCAAAATGTTTATACTTGATTGCGATTCCCGCAGCTAACCGTGCGTACACTTGTGTGTGTGACCAGTGTCAATGTAATAGTTCGATTCTATACCTATCAATTTTGTAAACTATAATACTCTAGAAACTAGTAATTTTAAAAAAAAAACTAACTTCTCAATTAAATTACATTGTGTAACAAAAAAAAAACGTCATTTTCGGTCAATTTCGGTCATTGGGCGGTTTGTAATCGGTAAGTACTTTTAAATACATTTGATTGTATTGTAAGCATATATTTCACGTTGTACCGGCTCTGCACGATCACGTTCAGGTGTAGTTCGGTGTAAGAATATCTACATATCGTTCAGTGGGTGTTATAAGAGATGACAAAGGCAAACTAACTAAGAGATGGGCAAAAGGCTTTTCCTAAATAAAATTAGAAAAAAATTGCGGTTGCCATCCCCAATTATGAAGTAACCTATGGGGAAATCTATGTTCAGCTGTGGACTTTGATATGAATGATTAAATATTGTTAACGCATTGTTGATGTAGCTTTAAAAATAAATACACCCTAATATGCCTCTTCCTCAGTAGGGTTAGCTAAAATCACCACGTTTAGCAGGTTGGTTGGTGAACTCAGTATAAGACTTTTTGCTCCATTGCATTGTCGTTGCTCCACTTCGCCTTTCGTAATTATACGATATAAACATCTCATACAATACACCAGATGTAGAATACATACCTCAATCAGTTACGGCTGGTGTTACGATCAAAAACTTGCGTACCAAGCGTTGCGATTACTCAAAATCCTACTAAAACAGGCATATATCCAGAATTGGACTCTTTCGAGTTGATAGTAAAGAAGAAAGACGTAACTGACAGGCTATAAGCTGCCTATTTAACCTTTTTGTTTTTAGGCGGCTACTGGACGGCAAATAAAATTCACTCGACCTGATTTTGAAAAATCAAATTCACTCACTTTTTATTTAGTTCCATTTGGTTTTCCAAATGTTTATTGAGTTCTAACAGTTCCTCTTCTTTCGTTGATACCATTCTGTGAACAATTGTGGCTTGTGTTATGTACTTGTGTACTATGTTATGGTGGTAGCACAAATAGATCGTATCGACCGGGGAAGGATACCTCACCCTCTCCCTCTGAGATAATACCAGTGTAAAATAGGCCCTTTTTAATGGAAACGAGGCATACCGTCTTAGTACTCAGGGATGACAACGCATCTGCATTTTGAATCTTAATCGAGGATTGATGTAGATCTCTATGGGCCACAGCATCCACTTGCCATCAGGTGGACTGTGTGTTCGTTTGTCACCATTATTCTATAAAAACAAAACTAAAATAACAAGAATGAACTAGTAGATAAGAACTAAAATGCACACGCTTTGTCACCCCTGACCATTGAAGTAATATGTACGTACATACGTAGTACACAATAGCTCAATGGTTTCATGAGGGATTTGAAGCAATCACTGCCATACAAGGCCGTAGAAGTACATCGATATAGTACTTTTGTCCTTATTCATAAGATTTTGCTTTGTACTTTAAGCCAATTTGTCATTAACTAATTTGACAAATTATTTCAGATTGTTTTTATTTCTCGATATTTCGAGTGTGTATTGGGAGGGAGGGGGGGGGGTGTTTATCATTAGTTTATTGAATACAGACTTATTTTAACATACTTGTGACTGAGTTCAGTTCTCGATGAGAGCATACTTTGCAACCTGGTTATCATACCGTGAGTTTCGTTCAGTGATTTTTGTAGGTGGTCCACCTGAAGTCTGAAAAGAAAACACTGGTGCTATATAAATGTTACTGTAAAAGCTAGAGCTACGGTAAATTCTAAGATTTTAGCAGTAAAACTTAAGATTTACCAAGTCCATAAGGTAAAAGTCCGAAGTATTCTATGGTAATCGTTTATTTCGGTCTTTTACAAGCATTCACTCAGTAAATCTTAGTTTTTACCTCTAAGACACGGTAAATGTTGAAAAATAGTCATGCCTAGACGTGTTCGGTGCATTATCGTTCTTGTGAACAGTGTGCAGCCCTCTCCGCTACCTGTGCCACCCTCTGTTTTTATTTTGAGACTGCAACGTCTCCGGCGCTGCGGGAAGAGCAGCCTCTACGCCTTTGCGTAACAAATCGCTGGCATCCCTCCTCGCCTGCTCCGGCTCGTCCGATGCCTACGATTTGTTACAGGAGGCGAAGGCTGCTCCCCCTACGCGCCTCCGGCTCTATAAAAACACTCCAGGGGTAGGACAGACTCGTACCAGGTGGAGTCGGGGTCAATCAATTCGGTTCTTTGACATAATTTATTAATCAATTTTACACACATATTGTATTGCTTTAATTAATTCTTTGAAAACATCTTCTTCGGAAAGAATCGACATCCCTACTAACGATGACAATGACAATACAAAATAGCGTTAGTTTTACGAGTACGGTAGGAATTGACATAAATATTGCAAAAATAATTGATTTTCAATAATTATTTTTCTGAAAAAATATCCGTTTCCGCATGTTGAAACTTTGCGTGTGTGTTTATAATAATGTAACCATGATGTAAAATAAATATCAACCCCCAACTCGACGGACATCAATGGAAAGCTAAGCCTCTTTATTTTTCTATATTGTACTTTCAAAAATCACCATAAAAATGTTTTAAAATTATATAGGTAATATGATTCAATATTTAATAAATACTTTCTACTTATATTAACATATTGTTTCATTTCCAAAAACAACACTTACTGATAGTCTTTGGTTAAACCTAGAATGTACCAAACTCTAACGGTAAAAGCGCGAACAATCGTCTCATTTCATATCAATCCTTACATTTACCAGCTCATGTTGGTAGATCCTAGGATTTAAAAGTAAAACCTAAGATTCACCAAAATTCGGGCTTTTACAGTAACATAAACATAAACAGAACGATTCCGTGAGAATGATTATCTTTTTTATAATTTAAATTAAATAATTGCTTTATGATAGTGGCGTAAACAATCTGTGAGTTTCATAAAAGTCAACTAATAATAGGTCAAGAAATTTGTAGCCACTGATCGAGTGTACGTGGTGATTTTATAATTTATTTTCTTCTTCATCAGTCAGTATATTATAGTATTAGTAGTTTCGCTGCTAGCCGTATGAGGAAGCTCAATATCGCTCAGCGAGCTATGGAGAGGGCTATACTCGGGGTTTCTCTGCGTGATAAAGTTAGATATCCACAGTAGAACCAGAGTAACCGACATAGCCCAACGGATTAGTTAACTGAAGTGGCAATGGGCCGGCAATATAGCTCGAAGAACCGACAACCGATGGGGAAGAAAGGTACTCGAGTGGCGGCCTCGTACCGGCAGGCGAAGTGTAGGGCGTCCACCCACTAGATGGAGTGACGACCTGGTAAGACCTGTAGGAAGTCAATGGATGCAGGTGGCTTGGGACCGTGCTTTGTGGCATTCTTTGGGTGAGGCCTATGTTCAGCAGTGAAGGGCTGTAACGATGATGATGATCATCATCAGTTAGTAAAAGTCCACTGCTGCGCATATACTTTATAAGATGGATCTGCTTTAATCACCACACTTGCCATGCAAATTAGCGATCGCAGTACCTAATGTTTCGTACCTCTGACGCTGTTTTTCGTCTCTGGTCTGAGTATTTTACGGTCTGACAGAAACGGTATGGTTTACAACCACCTGTCAATAACCATATTATTTATAATCTTTCTGTTATTTCTGTAAGTCGCTTCTGACGATACACCGTCACGCACGGTTTTAACGGAAAGGACAAAAATATGCGAGACAAACGTTACTAGCCTGTCTGTGATCTCTTCTGTCGCCTCTTACGACACTGAAAGAGAACATAGATAGAAATTTAAACAGGAAATGAGCAGCAGCGTCTTCTTGATTACAACTCAAAATAATAAATAAGCGTTCACCACGCTCACGTCGTGGTAAAAGTAAGAAAAGAACTCTAACAAGTATTTTTTTATAATCTGTGTGGAATCAAATCAAATCCATAGTGACCAAGATAAGGCACGTTTTCTAGCTGTTTCGATTAAGGAATCTAGTCACCGGTTACACGCTTTACCATCAAGTAATCTCGGCACATTACTTGATGGGAAAAGCTTGCGCATTGCCGTAGGAATCCGACTGGGAGCGGCGTTTTGTCAACCGCATTAATGCCCCTGCGGTAGCAGCGTCGACAAGTTTGGGCTCCACGGACTTTCATGTAAGAAAAGCACTGGTAGGTTTTCAAGACACAGTTCTTTAAACGATGTCATCCGAAGGGCTCTTGTCTCTATAAATGTTCCCTCGGTTTTAGAGCCTTGTGGAATATTTAGAGACGATGGCAGGAGACCTGACTTAGCCTTTGAGCGAGAAAAGAACCAGCCCTCTTATCACCAGCAGCAACGACCAGCCGCGGATGGAGTTCCTTTAGGAACTTCACCGCACGTGGACCCCACGGACCGATAGTCTCTACAGCAAATGGCACAAATATGTAGTCATCTATCAAATATGTAGGCAGCTGAACTGAGTAAGTGGCACAAATATGAGTCTCTGAGAGATGACTACATATTTGTGCCATTTGCTGCAGAGACTATCGGTCCGTGGGGTCCACGTGCGGTGAAGTTCCTAAAGGAACTCCATCCGCGGCTGGTCGTTGCTGCTGGTGATAAGAGGGCTGGTTCTTTTCTCGCTCAAAGGCTAAGTATAGCCATTCAGCGGGGAAACGCAGCCAGCGTTCTTGGCACGATACCGCGGGGAGTAGGACTATATGATAATTAAGTTTCTAGTTTTAGTTTTTTTTAAATTATTATAGTTTTTAATATTGTAAAAAAATTTAGTAATATTATATTTTTTGTTATTTTAATAAATTGTACTATAATAAAAAAATCAAATTATTTTATTTATTTCTTATGCTTACTTAAGTTCTTCCCGCTGCGTTTTAAGTAAACCTTCCTCCCAATCCCTACGCTTTGTCTCTCTGTTGTGAATGTCTTGTATTCTCTGAATGTCAATTGCTAGGCATTGTTTCTCGCACACCAGTTGAATATTGCGACGTTCCGATGCAACCTATAGATATAAATAAAAATAAATTGGGAGGTATCCGTTATTTACTGCGTTTTGTTGACAAGAGTGGAGCGGCCCCCCATTAGATGAAGTGAAGACCTGGTAAGACATGTAGGAAGTCAATGGATGCAGGTGGCTCGGGACCGTGCTTTACGGCATTCCTTGGTGGAGGCCTATGTTCAGCAGTGGAAATTTAAAGGGCTGTAATGATGATGGTGATGATTGACAAAAGTGAGTAAAATTGACGCGGAACTAAGGCCGTCACCAACGGAACCAATGGAATTATTAGTTACAATTTTAAGTACCGACCTCATGCTCGGCGATGTAGGAAAACATCGTGAAGAACTCTGCTTTTTTGTATAAAACTGAAGTCAGCTGCCCATCTCCCGTTTCGTTTCCATCCGTCGCCTCTTACCACATCCACGGGATGATATGAGGACTACCTCATTCTCACTCTCACCCCACCGTGTAGTGGCGGCATGTATCGCAATAAACTAAGTATATTTGGTTTTGAGCTGTGTACAATTTTCGTTGGTTTGCGCGGATTAATTTTTATTTCCATTTAAGATACGGATCGGGTTAAGACGTTAGTCGGCTCCGTGGCGCAGTGACTTAGTAATGAGTTACTGTGCTGAGGGTCGCGGTTTGGGATCCTGCACGGAACAAGTATTTGTATGACCTGCAAGTAATTGTACCGGGTCTGGATGTTTGTCCTGGTGCAATTTATGTTTTTAAACTGCTTCCACGATACAGGAGAAAATCCTAGAGTGATAACGTTTAAAAAAAAAACAAAAAAAATTAGAGGCATAAATAACGGCTGACAATAAGATCTGATATGAAATTGTTAAATGTGCAGAAACATAATGCACAAAGTATCAGCCATTTTTCCTTTACTGAACAGGCTTAAACATAGTAGGTAATCGAAATCTTTCAGTGTTTTTTTTTTCTAAGAATAGCCACAGTATATTGCCATATGTTTTAGCATATAGACTTTACTGGTATTTTGTTCAGAAGAGTATCTATGTATAAAATCTACGACTCACCAGTTCCTGGAACATCGCCTCGATTCTCTGTTCGGCGAGCGCTAGTTTTGGATCGACCGAGTTAAGATTCTCTTTATGCTGTTTAATATAGTTTTCGTTTGTTTCCTGTAAAATTTTGTTCTCCCTAAAATGTGAAAGAATTACTTATTCACCATTAACTGGTAAAAACTTTTTTCTATCCTGAGGTTTCTTTCTCTTCCTCTCTTTTTAATCCCCACATCTGGGTAATTGGCGCAAATCGCTACGTAGGCGTATTGGCATGCCGTTCCGTAGGTCACAGGGTCGTGCATCCATCAATCTGTTTAGGTTTGAAAGTTAAGAGAGCTACTATAATAATTATCTGGCACTTCATCTCAGTACTCAGAGGGTGTTAACACATTTGTGTTTTTGAAGTCCGTTGACCGTTAGTTTGTTTGTCAGTACTAGGTACTATTTTTGGTCTTGTTGGGATTCATAAATACTTATAGAATACTAGGTGGCCAGGCAGACGTCATTCTGTCTGTTCCGACGACCCTTTGTCCTATAAAAAAATCCTTAAATTCGCAATAAAAATATTGAAATTATTGGGATAAAAAATATCCTGACTCTCAAATTGAAGCAAGCAAGACACATTTACATAATTTCATTGAAATCAGTTCAGTAGTTTAGGAGTTCATCGCGGACAAACAATGTAACAACACAAACAAAAAACAAACGTAATTTTTATAAGTAAAGAAGATATTTTGTACTACAAACATAAATAAAATAATATAAAGTATGGCGGGTGGAAGGAAAAGGGGAGATCTCCCGCCGGGCAAGGTGTTCTGATCGGGGAGCGGCCAACGCTCCGAGTGGTACTTCGAAGCTATTTTGTATATACTTCTTTAACTTCGGAACTTTGTTAGCGCGATTTAGGCTTCGATATGTTTCGCTTGTGGCGCGACGACAGCGCCGCCACAAAAGTATTAAAAGAATATATAAAATAAAATATAAAATAAATAGACAAAGCCAAATCAATCAAGCACCTTCTGCATTTGAGCCAGGTGGTCTCAGATGACCCGAGAGGCTAAACAGGATTAACCTGTTAGCAGAAACAACTATTGCAATAATTTCGGTCGGCACACCAGCCCATATGTTAGTCACCAAGTGTGCCAGGTCCAGATGTTTTGTTTACTTATCTCATTTATCTGTTTCGGCTTTCGCACGAGGTTCTCGTTATACGGAATGGTAATGTCGACCAAAAATATTCTTGACTGTGCCCGGTCCACCAACACACAAAATACCGCATTTATAGTCTAGTATGTGATGATTGCCCGTCCCAGTAGAGCCTGGTGCGGTTAATTTCGAGCACGGTTTCTGGCAAGTACTTAGACGGCAGTTTCCGATCCACGAACCTTACTTTAGACCGAGCTCTTGGTCCTTCCTTCTATGTTGTGTCTGTGCTAATACTCAGAGTTAGAAAGCGCTGAACAACCAAAGATGACACCCCTAAGTGCTATATTATTTTTATTATTGTTTTTATTCTATATTTTCTTATTTTTCTTTTATTTAATCCTAGCAACCAGCTGAGACTTCGCCTCGATAGGATCTAATAATGTGAAGTTATTACATTTAAGATGATCAAAGACCATTTAATTAATTTTTCGTTATCTAAAAATCTGCAGCCGGAACCATGACTCCCCCGGCCCCTCGTGCTACGCCACTGACGGTCACATCGACATCAATGCAGCTATAAAAGCCACAAGACTTATAGCAAGATCTTCATCGCCTACCCATACTAGATCAGGCAAATACGGCTCAAGCCAGACGTGCACTGCTGCTGGCTTTTAGTCATAAAACCAGGACTACTTACCTCAACGTTTTATTTAGAAGCATTCCCTTTTCTATCAACTCTGAATCTAAATTTCTTATATGTTCCAACATGTCCGTCACTTTTTCGTTATACTTCTCTTTTATTTCATCTAACTCCGCTCTGAAACACCTTTCTGTTTCTTGCTTCACTTTGGATAGAGATTGTTGTAACTCAGATATTACACCTGGAAATAATCTTAAGTAATTATGATGATAATTAATAACATGTTCGTCAATGATTGAGCAAATTGTGAGGAAACTTGCATGTCAGGAGATTAATTCTTTATTATACGTCAAAATATAAACATGAAGAAGAGAAAAAAATAAGCAGTGTTGGAGCGGGCGGAAGGTCTTTTTAGCAATAAGACTGTGTAAGATTCACGCTGTAAAATTTCTTCCAGTCAACGTACGGAAAGACGTGCTTGCAAGAGAGCAAAAATTTTGTTTGGTTTAGGCATTGAGCTATTATGTACTACGAACAGTACATATTACTTCAATGGGTTTAGGCCATTCGAATACATGATTTTCATAAATTTTCTGTTTTCCCATCTTTCACAAGGTGGCACTCTCTTTTTTTACAACACCTACGGATTGAAAGGGGTGACGGATTCTAACCGGGTAGTGGCGGTGTAAGAATATCCACTAACGCGTATCATCCCGAGGGTATCGTAAGAGGCGACATAGGAAAACAAATCAAAATGGCAACAATGGCAAAATGAGGCCCATGTTCAGCAGTGAAATAAAAGTCCAAAAGCCTGTAATGGATGGACTCTCTAACCCCACAACCACACGGAAAATCATTACCAGTAAATCAGACGCGTGATCAAGTCGTATAAGTTAATAGACATGAGTACACGAGATGAAGGGACGCGCGGAAGTGACATATTGTGTACATACCTGTTAGTTCTGCTATCTTCCGGTAAGCTTCGTTCTTTTGAGCCGATACTACATCGAAAAGTTGTAGAGCTTCAGCAACCTAAAAATTTACACATGCTCGTATGTTTTGCTATAGTTCACATCAGCTAGCAGTGATAAGAAATTAGCAAGATACTTTATAAGTTACATTAACATTTTTTTTATAGAATAAGGGTAACAAACGAGCACACAGTCCACCTTACGGTAAGTGGATGTTGTGGCCCATAAACATCTACATCTATCCTCGATTAAAAATCTAGATATTTTTTTTATTTTTTTTTCTTTCAAATACGTTACCCCCACACTAGGATTTTCTCCTGTGTCGTGGAGGCAGTTTACAAACATAAATTGCACAAGGACAAACATCCAGACCCGGAACAATTATTTGTAGGCCATACAAATACTTGTTCCGTGCGGGATTCGAACCCGCGGCCCCCAGCGCAACAACTGATTGCTAAGCCACTACGCCACGGAGCCGTAAAACGGCTTTTGGCGACTTCAAGGAGTATTTGATGTTGATGTTGATGTAACGATAATGTGATCACTGAACACAGTATTATCCCACTCCCTCGAGATTATAAAATAAATAATCCCCCCCCCCCCTTTTATAGCTCACGGCGTTTCAGGCCGCGAGCTCTAGAGTTCGATGAAACTGTAAGAGCCGCTTAGGCCAACAGCATGTTAATGCTGACACAGAAACTAGAATTATTTTCATTTCCGTTCAATGTTATCTTGCTAGTCTGTCATTTTTTGAAAAAATTGAGGTTCGCCCCTTTGCGGCATTAGCAACAAATTGTGCAATTGGATCACCAGCTTTCTTGCAGATCGAAGCATCAAGGTCGTTATTCGCTCGATTAAAAATCTAGATATAAATGCGTTGTCACCCCTGAGGACTAAGATGGAATGCGTCGTTTCCAGTAAAAAGTTATACTATGATTGTAGCACGAATGGGTCGGCTCGACCGGGGAAGGAATATCAGCATAAAATAGCAGCTCGTTGCTGCTGTGTTTCGTATGATGAGTGTATAGAACCGGAGAACAATTTTACTGGAAACGACACATTCCATCTTAGTCCTCAGGGGTGACAACGCATTTATATCTAGATTTTTAAACGAGCAAAAAACGACCTTGATGCTTCCATCTGCAAGAAAGCTGGTGATCCAATTGCACAATTTGTTGCTAATGTCGCAAAGGGGCGAACCTCAATTTTTCAAAAAATTACAGGAGAGCAAGAAAACATTTATTATTTCCCGATTACTACTTTTTTTCATCAGAAAATTAATCTTATTTGTAGTTTTCCATTAAGTCTAATATATTTAAAGAAAAGATGAAAAATAGTAATCGAGGAATAATAAATTTTATTTTGCTATCCTGTAATTTTTTGAAAAATTGAGGATCGCCCCTTTGCATCGTCAACGACGAACTACAATGAACCCCCCCCCCCCTCTCCGAACGGGTTCCCGCCTGGTGGGGGGTGGGGCTTCGTAGTCGTGGCGGGAGGGTTTGGTAGCCGTGGCTTGGTCACCCGCGGTGAACAAAGAGGAACTCCTTGGCTGGCCCGTGGTGTAGGGCCGGCCCGAGGTGGTCACTCCGAGTGGCCTTGGCAAGCCCACTTCGGATGTGTGTCGATGGGCTGCAGCTGTAGGGGGAGAGGGGTGTCCTCTCCCCTAACGGTTCAGGAGGAAGAGGAGTGTTGGTATGGCGATGCGCCACTCGCCCTATCCTCCGCGACTCTGAACGTGGTGGGGCTAGGAGATTCGGTGTTGCAAGGGGCCGCTCTCCCTACCCTCCACGGCCGAAACGTGGTTGGCGGCGGAGCCAGAGACCAGATCCGCCATTGGGGTCGGGAAAGCGGGTGCTACTAAACGCTCGATTTTCCTGGCTCCATGGCCTCAGCGTATCAGACTCGGGGGGGTCCGATACGCAGGTGGAGTTAGAAGCCGTGGAGGGGGGCATGCCTTGTGTTCCTGGTGCGCCTTGCCTGAGACGGAGAATGTGGAGGAGAGGTCCTCCCCCGAGAAGGGGCTGTCATGGGGCGGCCGGCGCTGGTAGGGCCGCGGATGTGTGCGAAAGCGTTCCTGTGGTCCTGCCAATATGTGGCGAAGGTAGAACACCATGGGGTTTTAGTCGGTGCGAGTCCCACATAACCCGACCTGGCATGCCTACACATATCCGAGGCGAGTATGCGTAGGCATTTCCCCATGTAAAAAAAATACTTAAGAATGAGAAATGAAGTTGAACTCGAAAAAATATAAAAGAAAAAGAAAGAAAAGGGGTAATTTTGTGCCTAACAGATGACGGTGGTTTACTCAAATAGGGCCAAAATATTTGTTGAAAACAGTTTGTTGAGTAAAAAAGTTACCTACTTGCAGTAAGTTGTTTTACTCAATAAACTGTTTTAAAATGTTGTCTTTGTTAACATCGTCGTTGTAGCCCATTACAAGTCCACTGAACCTTGACTCCAAACAGTTCCGATCCTGAGCATATCTCATCAGATCGTCATTCCATCTAGTAATGTAGGGATATTCAGGGGCAGGTCTTACACTGTACTTTATGGTACGAAGATGAAAATCGAGAAAATGCTCCTATTGGTTATTGATTCATCGAGTTATATGGCTAGTCTACTGTTGCTTCAGCTAACTATTATTATACCATGATCATGATGATGATCATCATCATTACAGCCCATCATCGTTATGTTCAGCTGTGGGCTTGTGCATAGCTGAACATAGGCCACACCCTAGTAATACCACAAAAAAGGTCCTGAACCACGTACAACCATCGACTTCCTGCATGTCTTATCAGGTTATCGTTTCACCACGTGGGGGCCGCTCGCATCGCAGACACTTCGCTCACTGGTACGAAACCGGTCGGATCTTGGAACTATATGCCCGGCCTATTGCCACTTCAGCTCACTGATCCGTTGGGCTATGTCGGTTACTCTTAGTTAGTTTTACTGAGAATATCTTCATTACGAATTCTATCACGCAGAGATACTTCGAGCATAGCTTTCTCCATAGCTCGTCGAGTGACCATGGACTTCCTTATACAGCCTTATATGCGTGTCTTTTTTTTATAAAGTTATGAGGGCCTCCCGAATGCTATTATCTACACTTATCTACACTTTTTTTTTAATAATATAAAGAGGAAAGATTTGTTTGTTTGTTTGAATTGAATAGGCTCCGAAACTACTGGACCGATTTGAAAAATTCTTTCACCATTAAAATCCTACATTATCCCTGATGAACATAGGCGATAGAATATTTTCAAAAAAGTTAGGGATCCGTATGAAAACTTCTTTAATGTAGCTTAAGGTGTGAAAAAATACCAAAAAGAATCCTTATATCGCGTACGCTGCGGAAACTATTGATAATAGAGTAAAGTGATGTGCTACAATTTTATACAGGACATCAATATCTACAAAAAAGTCCGCGATACCATGTGTCTAACTATTACAGTTATGTCACAATAACTACTTTTCCATGTTAAAGTATGCAATAGTAATGCCGGTACAAACTAGGCCACATTATTTGTACCTAGGTATTAGTCCTTATATCAGTTTGTATTCAAGGCTATATCCGTACCTGCACCATGAATAACCACCAATTACGTAAACCATGTAATATGAGCAACATTTTTCACTTTTTACATCTTTTCTTAATTCAGCAACCATCCGTAGTGATGTCTCTTTCGAAGTTCGCATGTTGCGAGGCGTAGATGCGTGATATACGCGGGTGAAACCGCGCGGTACAGCTAGTTATATAATATATTACTACTTATTATTCAGCTTACTATTATTATTATATAATACACAGAATAAGTAGTACTACGTTAATAGTATTTTTTGGGTCATGTCCTGTACTATTGTTTTACTGCTCTTCATTATGTCATTATAAAACGCATAAACACAGAGCACAGTCGTAGATACTAGTCAAACTATTGCGTAAGTACCGACCTTTGATTTGGCTTCTACTCCCTTCTTCACTTTATCTACACTTTCCTTCTGACACGCTATCAATTGTTGCCTTATATTTTCGTTGTTTTTCTTTTCTGCTGCCAGAGTTATTTTGTATTCTTCCAAGTTTTTTTCTAGTGTAACTATTTTTGTTTCTAACTCCTTACCTCTTTCTTTGTAAGTTTGTATTTCTTTCTCTTTACTCTTTAGTTCAGTTTGTAGCACACCATAGTCTTTTTCTAGTTTTTTATACTTTGTTTCTAATTCCACGTAATCAGTTAGTGATGTTTCTAGTTTTAGTTCCAAATTTCTTCTTCCATCTGTATTATTCTGCCAAGAAAAAAATTCTGTTTTCGCTAAATGAGATACACATTCACAGACTGATGTTGGAGAGCAGTATCACAAGTGCGAGAGCGCCTGCCTTTTCTTTTAAATTAAAGTAACAAACGAACTTACACAATTTACCTTCTTTATACCTTTCAGACCGGAACATGCGGTGCACGCACTGCTGTTTGGCGACAGAAGAGGTAAGAGGATAACACCAACCCCGACGAACTCGTAGGCACATAAAGAGACCAACTAGTAAATCTATCCAATGTGTTAAATATAGGCGAGTTTTTCAAGCCTTGCAGCCAAGTGGGTGCAATTTTGCAAAGAACTATCCAACAGAGGATTGTTGGAAGCTTATTAAAAAATGAGAAACATGAAAAAGTCATCGTCTCATTCCCAATAAGATTAATTTTGAAAGCTTTCACTCACAAATTATGCGCACAATATACTAACTATTTTAAATTATTTATTTTAAAAGGTTTATTTTATATGCAAACCAAACGGTTCGCTTCTTCGTTTGTAATGCATATAGCAAAGGAGTGGAATAATTAGATAGCATTTGTCTTTCCATCCGATTAATTACAATATGTGTGTCTTGAAAGCAAGAGTAAATGGGCTAAGTCAGCGTATGCTTTGTCATCTTCAACTGCATCATTACTTATTGTCAAATGCGATAGTTGTCAAGGACTAGATTACAGTAGTAAATAAGCTTTTCCTTTTTGTTTATTTTCTTGTTAATGAAAGTCAACACTTACTTCTATGTTTCTTCTATTGTTGTAAACTTGATAAGTTTTTAATTCTTTGTCGAGTGCTTCAATTGTTTTCTGAGAAGTTTGCCATAAAACGTGTAGAGAATCTCTTTCCTGTAAGAGGTATAATTAATTATAAATCAAATGAAAAGGTTTTTAAAAGAAGTAAGCAGAAACAATTTGAGTTCATTAGAAGAGATGATGGTGGACTAACTATTGTCGTCTCTTATTTTTTAATCAACTTCACAAAAAGGAAGATGTACTCAATTCGACTGTACTTTTTTATGTGTGTTACCTCATAATTTTTTTCTGGGTGAACCGATTTCGATGATTCTATTTTATTTGAAAGCTGGTGCTTCTCATGTAATCTCATATAAATTTAATCAAGATCTAACCAGTAGCTTTTGAGTTATCCTTAATAATGCGTTTTTAATGGACTTCGACTACATTGATGACGTTCTCATTTTATTTACTTTGAAGTCGGTTGTACAAAATTTTTAATTTTACCATTTGTTAGTTTCTAAACATTCTAAAAGTCAGATTTTTCGACAATACTTAGTTGGAAATTTTATAAAACAAGATGGTAATTAAATGACCTATGCCAGCTTCGATCATGATGACAAACGAGCACGCAGTCCATCTGATAGTAAGTGAATGCCGTGGCAAATAGACATCTACATCTATCCTCGATTAAGAATCAAAATACAGATGCGTTGTCACCTCTGAGGACTAAGATTTACCTAATGTAATGCCTCGTTTCTTGTAAAAAGACTCCCCTGTTCTTTACACTTACCAAACGAAACACAGCAGCGTTATTAAGTTGATATTTTACGTTGGTATTCTGTGGGGTGTAGCACTTCTCCGGTCGAGCCGATCCATTCGTGCTACAACTGTAATATACCTAGCTGTAGCATGACTCTACCACGTATAAAATGACTACCACGTATGAATAGGTTGGTCCCTGTTAATTGGGGAAGACTTCGCGAAATCTCGGGGAAGAATCTCTCAAAGGGTGCAGCGTAAAATAGCAACATAATGTTGCTGTGGCATGCTGTGTGTGTTTGACCTTAGTCCTCAGGGGTGACAACGCAATTTAATTTTGATTCTAATAAATCTCTTATAACATAACGTATTTTTTTTAATAAGAGTAGGAAAAAATCGCACAATAATTCTGATGGGCCTATTTTTTATTAACGATAGATATCAATAATCCTATACTAGTCTATCGATATCTATTCTTGGTGATATTATGTGTGTTATTCCAGTGGTTCTCATCACTCACATAAAATCATACGAGTAGAACACAGTAGTATTACGTCATTAATTTTATAACATAACTTAAAATTCCATTCTAATCTTTTAGGGACACAGAAACAATTACAATTTGTCTGCCCGCATTTTGCCATCGGCACGGCACGGCATATTCAAAGACTATCACTTTTACACACAGGTCTAAACAGTGACACTTTATAAGGTCGAATGAGAATAATTTTGTTATAATTTCTTGGCGAAAACCAGGCTAGTTATAAACGAGACTTTAGTTCAATTTTAATAGCAACTTCAACCAATAGGCCTTTTTTTTGAATAAGGTAAAACGATAATTCAAGTGTTTTCGTTAACTTATTTTTTATTTTTATACAGTCACCTAAATTTAGAGCAGACAATAAAAGGACTTATGCCTTATTACCGTAAGTCAATAAGTTCATTCTGCCATTCAAACCTAGAAGAGAAAGAAAGAAGAACGCAAGCAAGGAACTTGAATCACAGCTACAAAATTATTCAAAGATATGAAATGTAGGTGTGAGCAATTAACATTAACGAAATAAATAATCACTGATAGTAAGTGATTTTTCCGGACCGATACGACTTAGGGACCTTCAAGAAAAGAGCGTACTCCTTTTTAAAAGGCCAGCAACGCATCTGCTATTCCCCTGGTTCCCCTGGTGTTGCAGTTGTTCATGGGCGGCGGTAGTCTCTTAATATCAGGTGAGCCGCATGCTCGTTTGCCCCCTCTCCTATAAAAAAGTGGCTACTGCATTCCATGGATAACTGCAACCAACTGCCATCAAACAAAACTATAAGTGCGTTGTCTTTTCTGAGGCCTAAGATGGAATGCCTCAGACCCTGTCTCTCTATACCTTTAAGACAAGAACACAAGAAAGAAGAAACATGGCGGATAAATGGGTAAGAGAGTGGTACTTATCCAGGTGGACTCCTGGGCAGAAAAGAAGTCTTACCACAGACAAAATTGTTAAAATCAGTCCCTTATCTCGCGGTATTTTTTTTACTTAAAGGCTCAGTCAGGTGGTAAGCGGTGATGAAGCCTTAGGTGCTTAAACGCGTAATAATACCCTGTTCACTCTTGCCTTAAAGATTTATTAGTTGTTAAGTCATATTTTAAGACTGATTTGGTTGTAAGTTTGCGGACTATTTATTTTCAATGGAGTTTGCTGTGTGCCGTACGATAGTACAGTAGTGTAACCGCTTCATTAAAAGTAGTGTAAGCTTATTGGGATAATTCTGATAAATCACATGTACATCATAGGTTAATGGCGCCCCTTCCAAGTGACCACGAAACTGCACACTATTCGATATGTCGACGCCGAAGATTCCGATGCTAGCTGAGGCAGCAAGGGGAGTGCCTTGAAACTGAGGAGATACGACAAAAGGGTTCTTTTAGCGGTAAACGCGCAAACTTGTGTCTTCTGAGGATTGAACTGGACTAGATTTAGTCGCCCCCAATACGAGACTTTGTTCAGCAAAAACTCTATTTCAGACACAAGTTTGTCTCGGTACTCGGCGACGTTTTCCCGAGAAATATTGGCACGGCCAGGTCTCTAACGCGACCGTTAGATATACGTTCAGTTATTTTGATGATTGAGTGTATAATATATTAGTTTCTGTGAATATCGAGTGCCTTTGTGTTTAGTTATAGCCTATACTAGTATCACTGTTGGGCATACGCTTCCTCTCATTTCTGAGAGGTTTAAAGAACAGTTACTACGCCGTGCTGCTTCAGTGCATGTTAATGGACTCCACATGTCTTCGGAATAACTTTATTTTTGAGATATGTAGGTTTTCTTACGATGTTTTCCTTCACCGCCGAGCACGTGGTAAATGACCACTTAAAATTGCAATTAATAATATTATTGGTTCGATGGGGATCGAACTTGATTTGCTTTTACGACAGCTGGCAAGAGACTGCCGCGCTGTCCTTTTGTCTGGTGAAGGACGGTCTCCGAGGATGTTCCGAGGATTTTTTTCTTCAGCGTTGAGTACAAAATAAATCGGCACTTACAATTACGAATCAGATTTTCAGTAGGCATCAGCGAGGTTATAACGACTATTTGACGGCATAAAATCCTTTTAAAAACGCTGATCCCAAATTTTACAGACATTGTGACAGGTGATCATCAAAGCGCTGCTGACTTGTAAAAGATTCTTGTAAACCAGTGGACATAGCATAGATATATTAATATAATCGGGACATAGAAAGGTTTGAGGTTAAGTAAAAGGGTTGGGTTTAGAATCAATTCGCTTGAATTTGAGGAGTCTGTCACTCTGGGTGAGTGGGGGTGGGGGGGTGGGGTTTGAGGGGCTTGTCCCATGCAATTTTAGCTGCCGGAGCTGTGTCGAAATATTTAAAATAATTTTCTAAAAATATTCATAAATCACTAATTAATACCTGAAACGGAACTTAAATTACATTATAAAAAAGATTAAAACATTTTTAATCTTCAACATTTAATATAAAAAAATTTGTACGTCCGGCGGGGGTAGAAGGTAGAGGGTGAATTGACCCCTCCCCCCAAGCCTTTCCGCTCGCCCCCGCCCCCCCTATTAAGGTCACTTGATTATAAACCTTAACCAAGTAAAATGAATAAAAACATTTACCTTAGCGAGTAAGATAACCTGCTTTCTCAAATCTTCAACTTCTTTATCATGATTGTTATCTTGCTGTGCAATTTGAAGTTTTTCTTTTAAAAGGTTACCAACTTGTTGAGAAAGTTTTTGATTATCTGCAATCAGCGTTTTAATTTCTTGTTCCACGATGACTTGATTTTGCTAAAAAGATATTTAGTAAAGTCGAAACTATTTATGACATTATATTTTCAAGCTAGTCTTATAAAAATTACCCGGTAGAATTCAATTTCAGTTTGCAGATCTTCACATGTGTTATTTTCCATTTTTATATCTTTAAAGATGTATGTGAAAATAGGGTTTGATAAAAAAATTGTATATTGCACACATATCTGGTAAATAAATTAAAAGTTTGCAACGTTAATACATAATTTAATAGGTTAGTACCCAACGAAACCAAGTTATCATTTTGTTTACATTTCCCGCGAGGAAATGTCATTTTTCGTTGCTATGCAACGGCATTTTATAATTTCTACTATTATAAACGTAGTGATTCTCTTTGATTTCTACGTTGCAATTATAATACAGTACGTATTTATATAGGTACTTAATTACTCTGAGGCTGCAATCAATGAGATTTAAAACCTTTTACACTTTTCAATGTAGCGTGGATTAGAGCATACTCAAAATTTTGGTCAGAAATAAATATTGTCGTAGTATAAAAAAAATGCTAACCCGTTTGCCAAGCTTTCCGTACATACACTCTTATCTATGTGCCAAGCGTGGCGGCCAAAGAGTATAGTAACTGTCCTATACAGGAAAAGAGAGCCCACTCGCGCGAAATCTGTCAACCGAGGAGTACTAGCGCTGTCTGGTGTCGTTTCGCCACAATATTGTGAGAATGTGTGCGTGCGTATAACACATGCACCTCTACATATACACCTCTGTTCATGGTAATTCATTACGGTTTATGTACTAGGATTAATTATCAACAACCAACTGTGAATTAAACATTTGAAACATTTTTAAAAGATAACTGCATAGTAACTAAATGCTTCAAATGTTTAATTTAATAGTCGGTTGTTAATAATAAATCCTAATACATAAAGTGTGCTTCATAATTTGTAAATAGGAATTAAGTATAATATGTTTTAACGTGAATGAAATTAAACACAAATAATTGGTACATTATTCTATATTTTTTGAACTTAATGAAAATAAGGAGATTGATAAAGATTTAACATAGTTTTGACAATACAACACATAAAACTAATATTTTTATTCGAATGTTTATATCATTAATAGATTAATAACACAGCTAGTGTCTATACAAAAATAGTAAATTTTATTATTTTAATAAATGAATGAGTTTATTATAATAAATGAATCATAACATTACAAAATGTTACGCTAATATCATAAGGGTAAATTTAAACGTCTATGAATCAATCCAAAGCTGTGACCACGCTTGGCAAGTGGGTTGGCGACTGCAGTTATTAGGAAGATCAGTCCACCTACTGATGTGTTTCCCTCTTTCACCTCTTACGATGAAACCCACGGAATGATAATATGGAGTTGTGGATATTCTGAGACTGTCACTACACGGTAATCCACTATTTTTTTACAATAAATGATTCGAAATACAGCTTTATTATAACAAGATATAAAAACTAATGTCTTTAACAATAAATTTTCACAAACAAAATATGAAAATAACATTTTTTAACAATAAATTATTCATAAACACAGCTTTGATATAACAAAATATTAAACTGAAAAAATATTAAATGCTTTGGTATATGGTCTGACACAACTGGTTACTTCGCCTACGCGGATTCCAGATGTGGATGATCATACACCTTCCCTGTTGGACTTTCTGCTAACCTCTCATCCGGACGGATATTAGGTTGGCGGTCCACCACTGTGCGATTTAGAAGTTTTCTTCCTCGCACAACTTCCTTGTGGAATCAATTACCACCAACGAATTTTCCGGACCGATACGACTTAGGAACCTTCAAGAAAAGAGCTTACACCTTTCTAAAAGGCCAGCAACGCATCTGCAATTCCCCTGGTGTTGCGGTTGTTCATGGGCGGCGGTAGTCACTTACCATCAGGTGAGCCGCATGCTCGTTTGCCCCTTCTTCTATAAAAAAAAAGGTTTCCGTCGATGCCCCTCGTGGCTCTTCACACCGATGATTGGCGGTCCACCACTGTGCGATTTAGAAGATGTTTTCTTCCTCGCACAACTTCCTTGTTGAATCGATTACCACCAGCGATTTTTCCGGACCGATACGACTTAGGGACCTTCAAGAAAACAGCCTACTCCTTTTTAAAAAGCCGGCAACTAATAATCTAACTGGCGAAAAGATAAAAAGAGGGCTTGGCCTCTTGTTATTCATAACAGCTTTGACTATAGAAAATATGAAACAATATTTGTTTAATTAAATAAGTGATTCATCAGAACACAGCTTCGACAATCGCCTCATAGAAGAGATATTTACCATAGTTGCAACGCTTGGCAAGCAGCTTGCCAACCGCAGCTTTTAAATTTAGTCGTTATTAGGAAGGAACTGCTGTCCATCTTCTGATTTGTTTCCCTCTGTCGCCTCTAATGACACTCACGGGATGATATGGACTGGTGGATATTCTTACTGCGCCACACACAAACTAAGATTTTTACAATAAACGATTCATATAACACAGCATTCACAATACAAAGTATGAAACTAATATTTTAACAATGAATAATTCTTAACAGCTTAGACAATACAAATTATGAAATCAATATGTCTATAATAAGTTATTCTTAACAGCTTTCACAATACAAACTAAGAAAATATTTTTTATGAGATACAATTCTTAACAGCTATAACAAAACAAAGTACAAAGATAATATTTTTTAAACAGCTATAACAAAACTAGGCATAAAAATAATATTTTATACAATACATGATTCTCAACAGCTCTAACAAAACAAAGCATAAAAATAATATTTTTTACAATAAAATCGTTTATTGTAAAAAAATAAACAGTTTTGACAATACAAAATATGAAACATATTTTTACAATAAATGATTCTAAACAGCTATAACAAAACCTTCGCTGCAAATGTCATCTTTTTGGCGATCTTCTCAAATGCTACTTGATTACTCATGTATTCTGCATTTGATAGACGAGTCCTAAAATCTTTTATAGTTTTTCTAGACTTTTTTAATTAAAATGTAAGTTTTCTCGCATGCTTTTGTAACAACTTCTAATTCTTAGGGTAGTATCATATTTCGTCGGTTTATCTGAAAATGTTTAATTTATACATTAGTTTTTCCAAATTGGAATTTACAATGCAGAAATGTGCAATAAATGTTGTAAAATTATATATTTTAGTATAAGATATTCAGATACTAGACTATATTTGCTTCTCAACTAAGCAAATTGTTAGAAAATATTGTTAGCTACTAAAATATAAGGAATATTATATTTGATAAGTTTGATAGTTTTTTTTTTTTTAAATGTTACCCCCACACTAGGATTTTTTCCTGTATTGTGGGGTCAGTTTATATACATAAAATTCACAAGGACAAACATCCAGACCTGGGATAATTATTTATAGGCCATACAAATACTTGTTCCGTGAGGGATTCGAACTCTCGGCCCTTAGCGTTGTGACTTATTGCTAAGCCACTGCACCACGGAGCCGCCAAAAACCTTATACAAAAAAATTTTTGTAATTATAAAACAAAAAAAAATTATTTAATGTATGTACACAAGAACAAACATAGTTTTATGTAAAAATAGTGATGTATATTCTGTAAATACTAGAAACAAGCACAAGTTAGTTATATCCTCGAGTCCAAAGAGCCAGTAATTCCATCATGGGGCAATTAAGCCTCAGAAAATATGCAGGCCTTATCTATCAAAAAGTTTAAAATTTTTACTAATCAAAAATTGTTTAATAAAGAATTATCATGCTACTAAAGTGTACATGATTAAATAAATAATCCCTGGCAATGAGGTGATCACTACCATGCTGTTTCTGTTTTCATACTAATTGTTTACAATACTTCAAAAAAAAGTTCCACAGGGTTTCTTGCTGGTTCCCCCAGGACAAAGGTTTTGTAGTCTATGTGTTAAAAATGATTCTATGGTATTCTATTCTTATATACTATAACTTCATTAACATTTGTCTGTGATGTTGAAGGTTGGTCATATGGATGCAGACGGGGCAGTCAGTCAGGAAAGGGGGTTTTGAGAAAATGGTAATACACTTAAATAGCTACGTAAAACAGTAGTTAATACAATACTGCCCTTTCATTAAGGTTTTAATTTTTTTAATTATTTCATTGCACAGTAAAGGATGTTATTGCTTTTAAAAGTAGCATTTTAATATTTTTGTTAGAACATGATGAGCAGTATGCATTAAATAGTTGAGAAAAGTACAAAAATGTAGTTAACTTACATGTTTTATTTATAAAACTTTATCAGTGAGATCAAAAATCACATATTGGTTCTTATTATTTGCCATAACAATTTTTAAAAATAGAAAACTTCTCTAAAAATATACTTCTTAGCAAAACTTAAAGACATAGAGATCAAAAATTATAATGTTTATAATTATAGCGTTATTTGGCACAAAATTATTCTCATTAACTTACAAACAACATGAAAAAGCTTTTTAACATGCCAAAAAGCACCTTAATGAAAAACAATACTTAAATATAATTAAGAATCACTGATAAGTCAACTTTTAGAATCAGTGTTACCTGGAAGATTATACCAACTTATTCTGTTTCAAAAACTAGCTTACATTTTATCACATTCACTGATCGTATCTATTATCATTTAATTACAGTGTTTAATTTTCTGTGCCTTATTCCTGGTTTGCTAAATTTTCAACATTATTATTAACACACAAATTTTAAACGGACACAGATTTTGAATTATGTTTTTCCTTTTGTCCATAATGCCTCTTTCAGAAAATCTAGTACAAGGTTAAGGTATTTCTTTTAATTTGAGGATTTTACTGGTAAAAAAATTTTACTGGACATATTCCCTTTGTGGCAAATTTTATACAGAAGCACAGAAGAACACATTGGGCATAGAAAATTCACTCCATAAAATCATTTAAATAAATGGCGACTCTTGCTATGAGGTGAGAAAACACCAGCTTCCAAATAAAAAAGAATCATCAAAATCTGTCCTCCTAAAAAACAGTTCTAAGGTAACTGTCAAAAAGTTACCTTAGAAGTTGGTTGAAAAAAGAAATATCTGACATACTGCTCTCTCGGTTACCACGGCAGTATAGGCTGTAATAAATGATATATCTAATAATTGTCTGTCTGATAACCATCAGCAAGCTTACTCTTGAATCCAATAACAATTTCGATCCAATGTCAATTTCAGTTATTAATATTGCTGTTTTTCCAAATAATACAACAACAATAGCATTACTGTAATTTAAAATAAATAAGACATCAAATTTTATCAATGTTTCCATGTTATTTTAAATTGATTTGTTTTCTTTTAATTTCTGTTGTAAAAGAAACTAATTTTTGGTTTATTATAAATATAGTTTCACTGTTATATAAAAAAAATTATTATTAATTTAAGAACAGATACATACTAATGATGATAGATTAATTAAAATATTTCTTTATTAAATAAATGGTTAAACATTGTATCATAGTTTTATTAATAAATCCTTATTAAAATTACATTAGCTATATCATTTTATTTTTAATACTTATAAAATTATACATTTAATGTAACTTAACATTATATTCATACTTCCTACATGAGAAATCTGCAAATAAACCCCTCAGAAATGACAATAGACCTTTGCCCAGCAGTGGGACATATAAAGGCTGTAAATTAATTTTTTTAGGCTAATATTGATTAACAGTACTTCATTCGTAATATGTCTTCTGAGAAGATTCTTCTCCTCGGAGGTTGCATATTTAGATTTTTATTCATGGCTTAATATATAAGTCACTAATAATACAATAATTAGCCCTAAAATCATCATCCCTGATAGAAAAGTCTTTAAGTCTTTAAAATGCATTATCGAAGCTCATTTCGTCTTTATTTTAATTGTAATGCACAATTACGGCGTAGAATATTAAACACAAAACTTAAACATGCCATTATTTTATCACAATGAATAAGATAATTGCAGAAAACAAACAATTAATATGAACACTTCATAAGGTTATTGTTTTTCTATTGCCTAAATTTCAATTCCAACTCAATACAAACACAATACGCAGCTGTCAACTAACTGTCAAAACTGTGTCAAGAGTACCGATTTTGCTTACAATCGGATTGGATAAATTCTAATCTCAATAATTAGTTCACACTCACCACACAATATTAAACTAATTTAGCGATTGAGTGGCTATCAAGAGTATGAAATATTATAATTTCAATTCCGATTGATCGGAATTGTTTTCAAGAGTAAGATTGCAGGTTTTTTTAAGGCAAAAAGGGGGCAAATGAGCATACAGTTTACCTAATAATAGGTTAGTAGTTAGTAAAGCAGTTATCAAGTTTATAAATCCTTAAGAACATTTTGTACACTTATTATATTGTATAAGATATAATATGATTTAAGTGGCCACCCCAAGTATATACTCAATTCCAAATTACCACCCTATAGACATTATAAAAAAACAGTTTGAATCATTTCCCCCCACATACACATTCAATGAATGTGACACCTACATACAGTATCTAATTCTACCATTTAAACATATACATGTTAATTATATTGTTTTTAATTTAAAACTCACCTTCAAGATACAAAGTTGGAACAGCTGTTAAGATTAAATGATGACCTGTACTTATGTAATTTGATTCAAAGTGGTAATCACATATCTTTAGTAGTGAAAATTTTCATTGGTTCTATTCTAATCTATTTCCAACTATCGACATCCAAATATGGAACATCTTTATAGGATGAGGGAACCTATGTATAGATGCACCTGAAAATAAACGTTCTATTAGTATAACAGTGTGAAATTGTAATTCCAAGTAACCTTTCCACAATTTGTTTTGATTGTTTTAAAAAGGTTGACCGCACCCGTTGAATTATCAATATGTTTAAGTGATAGGTTTTCAAACATTTCTTACCTTATTCGTCGCATCCAAAAACATAAATCTTTTTTCGTGGCATCGTAAGAACAAAATAACAGCAATGAATACAATGTAACTAAAAGATTAATAAGAACAAAGAAAATTATTAGGTTAACAAACTAAATCTCGTGAACGTGATCACAGAATACTTTACTCCTAGCGGAGACGTGATGAATACGAACGTGATGCATAATGGCGCTCATAGAAAATGGCGATGTTGACAATAGAGTAGGGATGTGAAAAAATAATCGATTTTTATATTAATCGATTATTTTTTTGTTATAATCGATTTTTCGAAGTCGATTTTTTTTATAATAAAAATCGATTTTTAATAAATCGATTTTTATGTAAATTATGCGTTTCAATCGATTTTTGTAATCAGAGTCATCTGTGCGATGGATGTAAAAACGTGAAGTAAGCTCAATGAATAAGTCAATCAAAAGACGGCGCCACCTTTATGTATGTATGTATATATGTATGTATGTACTTTCAACAGGCTTCTTCCTCCGCTAGGAGTAAAAGTATTCTGTGGTTTTCTTTCTTTCTTTGGTTAGTGTAAACAATTATATATAAACAATAAAAATGTCTTGTGAAACGCGTAGAAGTGACTGACAGAAGTATTTTATAATGAAAAAATGATAGCGGCTAACACGTCAATAGGCAAAAATACTGAATTGGATCTATATATTGCGGCACCACTATCAAATCTCAAGGCAGATAGATGCCCTCAATATATGGAGAAGCTCTGAAGGAACTTTCCCTAAACTAACCGAATTGGCTTTTAAACACCTCTCAGTGATGGCCAGTTCCGCGCCAGCCGAAAGATTATTTTTGAAAGCGGGAAATATAGTCAGGAAAAAACGAAACCGTATTTTGGGAAAGAGACGAAGAAGAATTTTGGTGAAATGATTGTTTTTAAAGTCTTTAACTGAAAATTCATGGCAATATTTTTTTTTACTTTTTTGGTTTACACTAGTGTAAAAAAAGATTTGTCGTTTATTTTAGTTTTGAGATCAAAAGGTTGTCGTCGGATTATTTATAATTATATTTTTATTTTATTTTCATTCTAATCCAATGTAAATGATACTGAACATTAGTGGCATATTGATATTTAGACTTTTTGTTAGTTCAAACTTAGTTTAAAAAAAAATCTATCGTTTACTAAAATTATGCTTTCTTAATGATTTCTTATATTTACGCGAAGACTACACATTAAATGAAATTAATTTTTACGGATTTGATCACGCTTAATTTAACTTTTTAATTCCTGACGTTTCGGGTGCTTCACAGCACCCATGGTCACGGGGGGAACTGAGGTCTTTGACGTCCAGATGTCATAGTTAGCCTGGCTAAATTCAGTTTTTGAATATTAATTTTTGGTCCGATCTACGCAGAATGAGCTTACAGTATCTTGAAGTCTTACAGTGGCATGCTTGGGTTTGGATTTAATTTTATTAATTATAGGATGCCAAGCAGATGGCAGCACCCATCAATCTTCTCTATTGAAATTAGGATGTTTTTTAATTTCGATAGCCTAGCGAATCATCCTTGGTAGGAATCGGTGTTCTTTTGCGAGGATTTGTGGTTCAACTATGACATAGGGACGTCAAACACCTCAGTCCCCTCTGTGACCATGCGTGCTGTAAAGCACCTGAAATGTGGGGAATTAAAAAGTTAAATCAAACGCGATAAAATCCGTAAAACTTAGTTTAATTTATCGTTTCTGTTTATTTTGGTTGTAATAAATTGTTAAATGGCACTGAACATTTGTGGCAGTAAGTATTTTTAGTTTTTTATTGTTCAGTTATATGTTAAAAAATTGTTCTGTAGTTTATTTCTAAAACCAGAAGATTATTTTTCGAATAAAATTTTTTTTTCGCAAAAATCGATTATTTTTTTATAAAAAAATCGATTTTTCTTAAATCGATTATTATCACAAAGCAAAAAATCGATTTTTTATTAATCGATTTTTTTTCACTCAATGTCACATCCGTACAATAGAGTACCTGTTGACATTTTATTAAAAATGGCGCCAAACTTTTTTCGCGAAACGTCTTAAGAGGGAGCCTGTTTCCATACATTTTAGACTTCAAATTTTTACTACCAACTTTCCTCCCCCTGGTGGCGGCTTTGGCAAATATAAGATTGCCTTATAGGGGGGACACAATCTATGGGGAGGCCAGGGGAGGCCTATGTTAAGCAGTGGACTTTAAAAGGCTGTAATGAATGAATGAATGAATAAAGAAGGAAATAATTTTTTCATGCCTAGTTTCGGAACGATACAGTTGACAGCTGTTATAAATGTTTTTTTTTCTTCCATTTCTTGGCCTGCACGGTTTGTGCGTCAGCCATGTCTTCCATTTTTCAATGTATAATAATTATCCTTCATAGTACAAATGTATCCTTCATAGTACACTGCTTCACAATATGTTGATGCGTCACATTGTGAAGTCTTTGGGAGATTTTGACGGCAACTTGAGCTAGCAGACAGTTGGCGATGGTATCTCAAGGCGCCTAAGCAGACACCTTATCTTGAGAATCACATCACCATTAGAGCACTTGTTTCACCGTTTCCACTAATAGTTCACATGCGTAGACACTTAATACATAAAATCGCACCACTTTTACATATCAAAGCCCACTTCAAACCATTATTTAAACAATAATACAGGAGCAGCAAACCGCCGCTGGTCAAGTTCCCGCCAAAACTCCCCTATAAATGTTAGCTTTTCAACTTTTTGCTCCAAATGTCATTGTCAATGTCAAACAAAAGTGCCAATTTTCGCTAAACTGTAAATAAAGTAAAAATTACTGTTTAGAAATCGGAAAAACTTATTTATCATCTCAATAATGGTCCTTAGTAAATAATTGTTTTTAAATATGACTAGGTACGTAAACTTTTAAATTTAAACATTATCATCAGTCAGAAAAATACGTACATACACTGCATTATTTGAAACAAGAATCATTTTACTTTTTGCAGTCTTTATTTTGATATTAGAGAGGATCAGTGGCCGCTTGTGTATGATGACAAATATAATGTGTCAGTTATGGGCCTTGAGAAGTTCCATGTATTCGACGCCAAAAAATGGCGCAACATAATACAGGTTTGCCTTACAAGTGTTTATAATTTTATAATAACGCTATTAACTCCCTCTGTAAATGTGGGTTAGATAAGGGAACCATCAACCACATTTTATTAACTGTCTCAAATTGTCTTGTTTACTCTAATCTACTCTCTCTTGACATCCATCGTCTTATAAATTATAACTCGTTTTTAACCTACTAATATATTATTTTCACTTGTTTTAATTCTTTGATACATATGTCGATATAATGGAGATCATTTTATTTTTTTTTTGTTTTTAAACTCAGTTCTTATTTTTTTTTCAATACTTGAATTACTTCATCTGAGCTTGAAATTCAAGCTGTAGCTTTATTGTTGTAGCACAAATGAGTCGGCTTGATCGGGGAAGGACCACACTCACAGAATACCAGTGTAAAGTAGTCACTTAGTATTTAGTTTGCTGATGTGTTTCATATGGTAAGTGTAGAGAACTGGAGACCTTTTTACTGGAAACGTAGCATTCCATCTTAGTCCTCAGGGGTGATTCTTAATTGAGTATAAATGTTGATATTTATGGGCTACAGCAACCTCTTACCATCAGGTGGTCTGTGTGCTTGTTTGTTACCCTTATTCTGTAAACAAATTCTGACAAGTCATTGTAAGTATTAGAGAATATTTTTAAAATTGGCAGTAAAGAAAGAATTGATGTTGATGTAATTTTCTTATAAATTGTTGCTTTCAGCATTTACAAGATGCCAACCTTATCACTAAAGAATGTCTGGTTCAACCTTTGGAAGCTAAGAAACAAGATCTCCTTGTAGTACACACAAAGAAGTATCTGAGGTCACTTAAGGTAAAGTTGCTTCTAGTTTTTATGAGCAGTAATTTTATAGTTTAAACAAAGGATTTTTTTATACCAGATATTTGCTTACAAGTACTCCAGCCAGATGCATGCCTGAAATACCTCTCTGATTTGAAAGTGTTTTACAAAGGAAATTACATGGAACTGAGGGAAAGCTATGCTCAAAATTTCTCTGTGTTGTAAAATTCTTAATAAATATGTCCAGAGTAATTGACATAATCCAAAGGATCAGTAAACTGAAGTGGCAATGGGCCAGCCTATTGTTGTTGAACTGACAGCAGATGATTTGGATGAAAAGTTCTCGAGTGGCATTACCATATTGTTAAGCAGAGTGTAGTGTGCCCCCCTCCCCCCAGATGATGTAAAAGAGGAATGAGTTTCGTTGCATTTCTTGGGGTAGGCGTACATGTTTAGCTGTGGACTTATGGACTATATATATTATTTGTGGACAAGGGCTGTATTAATGATGATGATGATAACGTTAAGGAATTTATCTTATGCTAAGTTTAGGTATTTTTTTTAATTAAATGAGGTCAATTTATTTTTTGGAATTTTATTTGGTGTGAGATGTAATGTAAATTTTAAATTGCAGTGGAGCACAAAGGTAGCCATTATTGCAGAGGTGCCAGTAGTGGCATGTTTGCCAAACATAATTGTACAATATGCATATCTGAAGCCAATGAGGTAAGCTTTTATATTTATTAAGTATCTTTAGGAGACATCTGAAAACATTGTCTCAATCTAAGAAATTAAAAAAATATTTTGAGCAAAAGAAGTGGGATGTAAAAAGGCTGTTAAGTTGGTTACTGTTACTGTTTATCAAAAGTCCACCGCTGAACATGGCTTAGCCACCAGGTATTACCTCATACGGAGATATTTGCTACAGTTGCTATGCTTAGTGGTCAAGTTGGCAACTATGGTTTTTTTATTTTCTAGTCTTTATTAGGAACTGCTGCCCATCTGATTTGTTTTCCTCTGTCGCCTTTTACGACACCTACAAGACGATATAGGAGAAATTTTGTAACTTTTAGCTAGTGGGAAGTAGAGTTCTATCTATACAAAAGAAGAGTTCTACCTTCCCTAAATAGTGTTATGTCTATATTCTATATATTATATTTTTAGGTTAAGGTATATATTGCTATGGGCCAATGTTCTTAATGTTTAAGTCTTTGATGCCTGAAATAAAGTTATATTGTATGTATTGTAGAAGCCATTAGAAAATTTAATTAATTTTATACATACAAAATAAGCTGTATTTGATAATGATTCGAATTAAATATATTAAATTGATATTAATATTTTATTAATAAACTTATATAAATATTTTATGATTCGTCTTCATCATCCATGTCACTGTCATTTTCCAGAAGATTTCTTGAACTCCACATTAACAAATAAATTATTTTGCACAAGACAATGAAATGGGGTGACAGAATGTAATAATCAGCGACACGACAATAATCTTTACAGAGACTAGCTATCTGTACATCAGGACAGGACTATAGTGCCCATGTGTGCAAGCACAGGTGCATTCTCTATTTCCTCATTCCCATAGTTTCAATGGGTCGTCATTCAGACACAACTGGAGAGAGATCAGGCTTTATGTGCTTTCCGAGACACGAGGGTGAAACACTGCCAATATTCCTAACTCTTGAGAATTTCTTGATAAAAAAACTCAACACCTGATTTTTGTCAGCTCGACCCGGAGTTCGAACCCGGAACTTCATGATCAGCAGTCGCGTTTACGACTACTACACCAACGGGGTGGTCGACAGAAAGTTATAGCAATACTGTGGGGTAATCTTTATTAGATTAGGTATAGTGAATTTGTTGGGAAGCACCAAAATGTATAACTGATGTTTTTCAGTTGGTTGTCACTTGCTGGTGTGTAATAATGACTAAAGAGCCTTTTATAACTATTACATGATATTGCAGTGATGGGGGATATGTCCATACTTATTGATTTCTGAGAAGTTTGTAGTTTTCTATGGGATATAGACTTTTTTAATTTTTTATATTATGTATACAGATTACAGACAGGTGGTTCCATTTTGGCTGGGAAGTTAGCTTTAGAAAGAGGCTGGGCAATAAACGTTGGTGGTGGATTCCATCACTGCAGCTCGGACAAAGGAGGTGGCTTTTGTCCCTACGCTGATATAACACTGCTTGTTCGCTTCCTCGTGAAAAATCAAATGATACAGAATGCGATGATTGTTGATTTAGATGCACATCAGGTAATATTAATAATATAAATATAATATATAATAGCCTTGTTGTCTATATATTGTTTGTCTTCGGGTTTAGATTTATTGCAATTGTGCCTTGTTCTTGTACGTGACACTGTGTCAACCCATCATATCAGCACTAGTGTAATAGTGTTTTTATTGGTAATTTAATATGAGTGAGTTCTGTATTTCATTCAATTCGAATGTTGCTTAAAATGTTACAAAAAAAAACTTAATTTTCCATTCTTCCACCATTAGGGATGGAATTTTTTTAAAAACTTAAATGGGACCACCCCTGAGGAATCATTGTAATCGACTCAGTCCTTTCAGAGAAATCGGTAAACAAACACAAAAATACATACGCGTCGAATCGTCAAATAAAGATTTTTGCATAATAGTTTTCTTTGTAGGGTAATGGGTACCAGCGCGACTTTCTCGGTGTACCCGAGGTTTATATAATGGACATGTACAATCGGAATATATATCCAAGAGACAAGCAGGCTAAACAGGCTATACGTAGGAAGGTGGAACTTGATAACAGGGTTGAGGATTCAGAGTACTTGGCCAAGTTAAGAAAGTGAGTATGGTCGGTATGATATCACAGTACACTGTCCGGCAAGTTTTAACGAAGACTAGGATCTGCGCAGGACAGGAATAGTATAGTGAACAAGTGTATACGCAAGCAAAGGTGCACTCTCTCCACCGGCACCAATTAAATTGTGAATTGAAGTTTAAAGTGCTGATTTACCACGTGCTTGGTGGTAAAGGAAAACATCTTGAGGAAACTTGTATGTCTGAGCAATTAAAAAAAAAAATTGCTCGAAGACGTGTGAAGTCCATCAACACGTATTGCGGCAGCGCGGTGGAAATTTTGTTGCCTTAAAAAACCCCTCAGAAATGAGAGGACATCTGTGTCCAGGAGTGGGACGTTCTCGTACTATAGGCTCTTACTTTTTACTTCGGGGCGTGCTCGGAGAAGTTATAATTGACCGCATTTAGCGTAGAGCGGCTCGAATCGTCAAAGATCGAGGTCTTTCTGATCGGCTCGATTCACTGACGTTGCGAAGAGATGTTGCATCCCTTTGCATTTTCTATCGGGGCGTGCTCTGAGGAATTGTTCGGATTAGTTCCCGCCGCCAAATTTCACGAACGCACATCGCGACAAAACTCACGATACCATCTACACCATCTGCATGTTTGGCGGTTCACCACTGTGTTTTACTAGGAGTTTCCTTCCTCGTACGACCTTTTTGTGTAATCGTTTACTACTAGCGATTTTTCGTGACCGATAGGACTTACGGATCTTCAAGAAAAGTGCTTACTCCTTTCTAAAAGTTCGTCAACGTACTTGCAATTCTCCTGGTGTTGGAGTTGTTCATGGGCGGCGGTAGTCACTTACCATCAAGGGAGGCGCATGCTCGTTTGTCCTATCTTCTATAAAAAATAACATATAACATGACTTTATTTTGTGCAATAATTATATTTTACAAAATGTAGTGCAACGCCGCCTTTAGATTTATAAAGAAAGCGTAACGCGTAATGTAATGTTGCGACCCTTTTTTTTTGGCTAATTTTAGAAAGATTTCCATTAACGCATTTGTAATAATTACATTTTTTTTGTATTTTTTATAATATTAGGGTAATAAACGAGACGTAAGTCTAACTGGTGGTAAGACAAGACTATGAACGCTTGCAATCAACTTCAAACAAGAATGCTACAGATGCGTTGTTACCTCTGAATAATAAGATAAATTGTCTCAATATTACCCAAACCGAAACAGGAGCTAAGCGTTGATAAGAGTCAATAATTTAAAATTAAAAAGTTTGTACAACGGACTTCAATATAAATTATTAGGAACAACTCAAAAGCTATTGCTTAGATCTTGATCAAGTTTATATGGGACCACATGAGAAGCACCAGCTTTCAAATAAAAAAAGAATCATCGAAATCGGTTCACCCATAAAAAAGTTATGAGGTAACACACATAAAAAAAGAAATATACAGTCGAATTGAGTAGCGTCTCTTTTTTGAGGTCGGTAGAAAATAGACAAGAGGGTGAACTCTTATTGCAAAAGTTTAAATTTTTTAGACATGCAGTTTTCCTCATTGTATTTTCCCCACAACTCTCAGAAACGGTCCCTAAATGGTGCTTGTTTTTTTTTTAGGAATTTAATCGCTGCACTGAATGATTTCAAGCCAGATATCTTGGTATATAACGCTGGTACTGACATTCTTGATTCTGATCCCCTTGGTCATTTGAAGATAAGTGAAGATGTGAGTATGTTTGTCGCTCGGTACCTAAAGAAGAAAATTATATTTTTTTTTATAAAAATGAAATGACAAACGAACTTGCAGTTCACCTTAATATGGTAAATGCCTACTGCAATCCATGGACACCTTTTTTTTATTTTATTTTTTTTTTATTTTTGGGGAAATGCCTACGCATACCCGCCTCGCGGGGGCAAGGACGGGTTATGTCGGACTCGCACCGACTAAAACCCCATGGTGTTCCACCCTCGCCGCATATTGGCAGGGCCACGGGAACGCTTTCGCACACATCCGCGGCCATGGCGGTCCCTCCTCGGGAGAGGACTGCTCCTCCCCCATCTCCCTCTCAGGTAAGGCGCACCAGAACACATTGCGCGCCCTCCTCCTCGGCCTCCAATTTCACATGCGCAACGGACGCCCCCGTGTCCGATGTGCGAAGGCCATGGGGCCAGGAAAAACTAGCACTCAGAAGCACCAGCCTTCCTGACCCCAGCGGCGGATCTGGTCTATGGCTCCGCCGCCAACCAAGATTCGGCTGCGGAGGGTAGGGAGAGCGGCGCCTCGCAATACCGACACTCCTCTCCCCCCGCAGCCCCACCACCACCGCATCATTTAACGGTGCGGCCCCGTCTGAGTCGCGGATAGGGTAGGGCGAGTGGCGCATCGCCATACCAGCACGCCTCTTCCTCCGCGACTCCACCTCGGCTGCAGCGATAGAGGGAGCGGACACCCCTCTCGCAGCATCCCACCGACACACATCCGAAGTGGGCTTCCCAAGCCCATTCGGAGTGCCCACCTCGGGCCGGCCCTACACCACGGGCCAGCCAAGGGGTTCCTCTTTGTTCACCGCGGGTGACCAAGCCACGGCTACTAAGCCCCCCCATCACGACAAGGCGGGAACCCGTTCGGGGGGGAATCCATGGACACCTACGCCTCTGAGGACTGAGGTGGAATGCTTCACAGCCTGTAATTAATTATATTGGCTCCCTTCAGAGGAACATACTATACATTACATTAAAGTAAAGATATTTTTTTTCTTTTATAAGCCCATGGCATGATTACTATACCACCGGATCGTGTGTGGTGATTCATCACAATTCAGCGGCCTTCAGGCCGAGATGGTATGATATATAATGATGGATGACTTTTCCTTTTATTTTTTTTACCTTTGTTGTATCTACAAAGATTAGATTTTTTTTATAAGAGTGGGCAAACGAGCATACGGCTTATCTGATGGTAAGTGACTACCGCCGTCCATAAACAACTGTAAAACCAGGGGAATTGCAGATGCGTTGCCGGCCTTTTAAAAAAAGAGTAGGCTCTTTTCTTGAAGATCCCTAAGTCGTATCGGTCCGGAAGATGCATTGAATTCATGTTATAAAATATTAATACCGGGTGTATTATGTGAACATATTCACAGTTTCAATATTAAAATTTATTGTAACAATTTCAAAGATCTGTAGAAACATTAGCATTTTGTCTAGTGTTAGAATTTTTCATATTTATAAAAGGTCGAGGAAAAAGTTTCTCTGTATTTTACAAATTTAAGACATTTAAAAAAAGTTTAATTACATTTAATTATAATATATATGTGTCATTTTGTTCGATAACTTGTTGCCATCTTGTAGGTATAGACGTCATGTGTAGCTGTAGAAATCTTGGGATTTTTGATCTAAAAATGCGACAAGTAGTTTGACAGCTACTCTCTTGATGTTAACCTAACACTACCCAAAGAATTCTGAAGAGACCGAAACAGGTGAAAATCTGAGGTTGCAAGATCAGGACTATATGGTGGATGCATTAACATTTCCCAACTAAGCTCTCTCAATTTTACTGAGTGAACAAATATGTGTGTGGTCTAGTGTACCATGACGAAAGACCACTCCTTATCTGTTGATTGATTCTGGCCGTTTTTTCTCAATTTCTTGCTTGAGTCTCATTAGTTGTTGGCAGTAGAGATCTGAAATGATGGTTTTGCCCGGCGGTAAAAGCTCATAATAAACGATGCCCTTCCAATCCCACCATACACACAGCATCACCTTATTGCGTGTTAATCCGGGTTTCGCTTCAGTCTGTGGAGCTTGACTACCCTTAGACCATGATATTTTTCGCAGGTTCTTGTCGTAGGTGATCCACTTTTCATCACCAGTGATCTAACTTTTCAAAAATCGCTCGGTTTCAATAGAGAATCGCAAATGAGAACACGATTCATTAGGTTTCTTTCAGTGAGCTGATGTGGTACGTAAATATCGAGCTTTTTTGTGTAGCCAGACTTTTAAATGGGCTAGAATAGTTTTGTGGTCAATCCTCAATTCCTCGGCTATGTCATAACTATTAATATGCCGATCTTGCTCCACTTTTTCTTTCAAAAATTACATCGACTTTATCCGTATGAGGGCGACCAGAGCGAGATGCATGTTTGATATTAAAATTCCCGGACTGAAAACGCTTCAACCAACTTTGTGCTACTCGCACTGACACTGCATTAGGTCCCAAACAAAAACACAAACGCTTGAGTCGCATTTTTCCCCTTTTTTATAATAAAACTTCAGAACGTGTCGAATTTATTCGTTAGATTCACTCATTTTGGCAAACAGGAAAACAATTGAAAAATGGCGGGAAAGTGTTTTTTTCTCTTTTTTTCTTTTTATTAATGTCCTATATGTATTAATATTAAAATCAGCCAGATACAAACAGTACAACCAAAGATATTTTTCTTCAATTTTATACAAATAAAATACGAAGAAGCTTTTTCCCTGACCTGTTATTTTTTCAGGGTATCATTAAAAGGGACGAATTTGTATTCGAACAGTGCAAACAGAACAACATTCCAATAGTCATGCTGACAAGCGGAGGCTATCTACGAAAGACTGCAAAAATAATAGCGGATTCAATAATTAACTTGGAGAGAAAGGGTCTGATAAAAGGCGGGAAAATGACTGAAATAAACGAATAACGTACTACTAAGTGAAGATGAATGAATACATGAAATTAGAGATTCTAGGTAGTCAAGGGGCCCATTACCCATTATCAAGAGCTCGTGCATAGACATGCTAAATTAAAAGTTACTTTTTTAAAAGTAGCCATAGAATATTTTGATTTCATGTTGCCAAGTTTAGTCAATTGCAAAAAGATTTGCAAATTTTAGAATAATTTTAATGTATTTTTTTTCTAGTCATTTATGTTCGTTGTATGTTATAAGATATATATTTTATGTTGATGTTTTACAGAAATAAATATTTTTATTTAACTTTTTTGTTTTATTTTCATTTACTAACCATCAGCTCTTGCTTACTTAAGGTGTTAATTATTTTTTTAACTAAGTATAGCCATTCAGCGGGGAAACGCAGCCAGCGTTCTTGGCATGATACCGTGGGGAGTAGGACTATATGATAATTTTCTAGTTTCAGTTTTTTTTAAATTATTATTATAGTTTTTAATATTGTAAAAATATAAATATAAATTCTGTAATATTTAAAAAAAATTAAACTTTATCTACAATAAACTACGGCTTAGAAATTACAGTAAACTTATTTCACCAATATCTTATAGCATAAGAGTCACCTCAGATACTGTTTCGGTTGAATGAGTGCTTGTGTGTTAAGACACATTTTCCTGCGCAGTTTGTGAAAATATCTAGAAGTACAGTGATCGAAATTAACCTAGTGACCTCGTTATTTCCCACTACCTCGGTATCAAGCGACGAAGTCTTTCGTAAAAATTATTATTATCGTTCTTGTCAATGACAAGTAAACTGTTATGTCCATCCAACAGATTGCTTCAACTACATTCGTCACCCGTCATCATACAACATACATCTATCGCCTTCCCTTTCCCTCCCTGCAAGTCATCATCATCATCATTACAGCCCTTCACAAGTCCACTGCTGAACATAGGCCTCCCCCAAGGAATGCCACAAAGCACGGTCCTGAGCCACCTGCATCCATCGACTTCCTGCATACCTTACCAGGTCGTCACTCCATCTAGTGGGGGGACGCCCTACACTTCGTCCGCCGGTACGAGGCCGCCACTCGAGAATCTTTTTTTCCTCAACGGTTGTCGGTTCTTCGAGCTATATGGCCGGCCCATTGCCACTTCAGCTTACTAAACCGTTGGGCTATGTCGGTCACTCTGGTTCTACTGCGGATATCCTCATTTCTAAGTTTATCACGCAGAGAAACTCCGAGCATAGCCCTCTCCATAGCTCGCTGAGCGACCTTGAGCTTCCTCATCCGGCCAGCAGTGAGACCACGTCTCAGTACCATAGGTCATCACTGGCAACATGCACTGGTTGTACAGTCTTGTTTTCAAGTTTTGAGGTATACCTGACGAGAAGATGTGCCGTAATTTCCCGAACGCTGCCCAACCGAGTTGAATCCGTCGATTGACCTCTCGGTCGAAGTTGGACTTAGTCGGACTATTTGTCCCAGGTAAACATACTCGTCAACAACTTCGAGCTTAGTGCTCCCAAGAAATACCGGCATACGTGTGACATGGACATTATTCATGATCTTTGTTTTCTCCATGTTCAACTTAAGACCTATCCGTTGGGAAACACTATTGAGGTCATTGAACATAGTGCTTAGGTCCTCCAGCGATTCTGCCATAAGGACTATATCGTCGGTAAATCGAAGGTGAGTGATGTACTCGCTATTGATGTTAATACCGTATCCTTTCCAGTCCAGAAGGTTGAAAACGTCTTCCAATGCAGCGGTGAAGAGTTTCGGGGATATCATGTCACCCTGTCTTACATCTCTCTGCAGTTGGATAGGTTTCTTACTTTGATTCTGTACTCGGATAACCATCGTAGCTCTACTGTACAAACAAACCAACACTTCGCTGAAGGGACTGCAGCAAATTTCGACGGAATCAAAGGCTTTCTCATAGTCCACATACGCCTGACATAGTGGCAAATTGTACGCCTCGGATCTCTGTACAATTTGCCGTTATGTATGTGGTCTATGGTGCTAAAGCCTTTTCGGATACTGGCTTGTTCGGGAGGCTGGAAGTCGTCAAGACTGCGCGCGAGACGATTCGTAATGACTCTCGAAAACAGCACGTAGACGCGGCTCAGAAGGGAATTCGGTCTGTAGTTCTTCAAGAGAGCGTTGTCACCTTTCTTGAAGAATAAGACCACCGCACTTATGCTCCACGCCTCCGGTGTAGTGTCACCGTGGAGCACGGAATTAAAGAGCTTCTGAAGGACTTCAAGTACCGGTTTCCCACCCGCTTTCAGAAGCTCCGCTGTAATTCCATCCTCGCCTGAGGCCTTGCCGTTTTTAAGGTGCTGGAGAGCCATTCTAATCTCGCTCAGACTGACGTCCGGGATATCATCGGAATAGTGTCGGATAAGACTCGCTCTTGGATCGTTACTCACACTTACGTGTGGCTCCAACGATGATGTGTACAGCTGCCCATAGAACCTCTCAATCTCACTCAAAATCTCAGGTGTCCCGGAAACGATGCTACCACACTCGGTCTTCAGAGTCCCGCCGGATGCATTTGGAGATCTGTCTGTTCAGTTGTCTGTATGCTGTCAAATCTACTGAAGACTGCAACTTCATATCCCGTCTAACAGCCATGAGATTAAGAGTGTGATCGGAAAGTTTTTGTGTTCTTCTGCAAGTCGCACCGAGTAATTACTCCTTATAGTGGGAGGCCGTCCTATTGCACTCGCTGAAAGCAAATGCTTCACGAAAAGCCTTCTTCACCATAGTGAATTTATAAAACCATTAATGAAACGCCACATTAATAGATCCTATCCAGGCAAAACCGAGGTGGGTCGCGAGTTAAAAACAAAAAAAAAGTTAAACCACAGATTAGTATGCTGCGCACCGTGTTCGACTCCGTAAGCAAACGCAAATATTTGTATATCAATTAAAGTACCTAGGTAAAAAGGTAATAAATAAATCCTTATTTGTACCAGTTAACTTTAAGACACGCATAGGACTTAAAGTATATTTTTTTATTTCGAGTCTGAAGGAGATTGTGTTCCATCATGCCGACAAAGCTACGCTCAATCGTTATTTCTTTCTAAGCTCGGATTGCCACACTGCGTTACTCTATCTTTGGTGGTCAGGGACAGATCACGGAGAGAGCGTATTAGGCGCATAGTTGTTTTAATGTAAACATTATGTCCATATTTAAAATCAGTTTAAATAAAACAAATAAATAATTTTGAAAATTTACTCAGCATCGATAAAACAACAACGAAATTTGCGTAATTTGCATTCTTTTAATTTTGAAGATTATATGACTAGATAAAAAATATAACCTTTTGTAACAGATTAAAAATAAATAAGCGTACAAAGCATTATTTATTGTTCCTTCAAAATTACCATTTGGAATTTTTTTTAAATTGCGATAGTTTATCTTGTTGTGGTATTGAACTGGGCGTAGTATTCATCACTAGGCATGTTATTATACACCACTTCCTTGAAGTACTTCTCCTTTTCCTTTTGCTGCATTGCTAACAGTTGGTTTTCCTCCATAAGTTGTTTGGCCATCTCCCTGAAATTTTGTAATGTAATTCATGGCTTTAAATATGTAATAAGAATACATTACAGTTAAGTACATTCGTCTTATTCATTAACCCGTGAAACTCCCCTAATGGCCATGTACTTCTACTGTTCGGCAAATATGCCATAATCACCACGCTTTTGGGAAGCATATTAGTGACTATAGCACCAGATATTTTACACAGCCTTCGACTCTGCCTGCCGTCGCTTATTTAGGTATTTTACGTAAAAGGATGTAGTGGCGGTGTAAGAATATCCACTATAAGTAGTGGCACGAAAGTCTAGCTTTGACCGTTATTGCCCATAAGTCGCGCTGATTGGCTTATTCCGCATAAGTCGCGCTGGTTGGCTCGTGCGTATCGTTCTCACGCGCTGATTGGCTCTCCAGTTACATTCGTGCAATTCAATTCGTGTGCGTCCCCTCTACGTTTCGTTCAGCGCTAGACTTACGTACCGCGACTTGTACCCCATACCGTCCCGTGGGTGTCGTAAGGAGCGACAGAGGAAAACAGAAACAGGAGATGTGCAGAAAATGGGCAGTAGCATCTTCCTGATAACATCTCAAAATAACCAAAAAAACTGCGTGTGCTAACCCGCCTGCGTCTCCTATGGGGCAATTTATGGGTGAGGCATATGTTAAGCAGTGGACTTTTATAGGCTCCAATGGATGGATGAATGAATGGATGTAAATGCGATGGTAGTACCGTGATCTGTCGGAAAACATGAAGTCTTTCAGGCATTTCTCACATCCGATTCTCATATAAATAAAGTAGAAATACCTGTAGCTATCGACTACTTGTAATTTAAAAAATTTCCACACTTTTCTCATCATTATAATCATCATCATCATCACAGCCTATCGAAAGTCCACTGCTAAATATGGGCCTTCCCCATAGATTGTCTCGTATATTTGCCATAGTTGCCAAGCTTGGCAGACGGGCTGGCAAATGTAGTTTCTTATTATTGAAGTTGTTATCAGGAAGGTGCTGATGCCAATCTCGTTTCAGTTTCCGTCTGCCACCTTTTACGACACCCACGGGATGTTATGAGGAAGTGGATATTCTTAGACCGCAATGAAACTTCTGTTTAATTGGAAACAATCCGATATGAAATGAAAGCACATTTCATCTACTTTTGTTTAGGTTAGGAGATAACTTTGTTAGATTTTAGGGTTCCGTATCCAAAGGGTAACCAACGGGACCCTAAACTAAGATACTAAGACCCCGCTGTCCGTCCGTCCGTCTGTGGGCTGTATCTCATGATCCGTAATAGGTAGACAATTGAAATTTTCACAGAATGTTATTTCTACTGCACTATCACAACAAATAATATAAATAAATTAAAAATTAAAGGGGGCTTCTCTACTAGAAACCTGTGTGTTTCGTACTAACGGAACCCTTCATGCACGAGTCCAACTCGCACTTGGCCGGTTTTATTATTTCTATCTCTTTATCTAATAAAGCTATAGGTAGAGATTGACTGCTTCGTATGGTATAGTTATCGTAAACGCGGTTGCTTATTATGAGATTCCAGGTTCGAATCGTTCGATCAGGTGACAATCTGTAATGGGGTTTTTCCATCAAGAAATTCTCAGTAGCAGCCCGGAAAAGAAGTTGGCGATGTTTTATGCCGGTGCCTCGGAAAGCACGTTAAAATTGTTGACCCAGCGCCTGATCTCCCTCCGGTCGTGTCGGATAACCATCCCACCGGATTATGACATTGAGGGAATAGAGAGTGCACCTGTGTTTGCCCATACACTGTAGTCCTGTCCTACGCCGAGGATATTATTAAACCTATAGGATGTTGAAAGAACTTAGAGAGATTTTCCATAGAATATCCTACGCACGAAAAAACCACTGACTTAAGATTTTTCCAAAGAACTTCGGTTGCTACAAGCGCCAAAAACATGTCCCACACCTGCATGTCCGTAAAACTTAAAATATTTTGAGGACATGTGAGGTCCGCCAACACCTAATATAACAAACAGTAGGGCGAATTCGTCTCTGCTCATAAAAACCTTTCCGGATTCAAAGCAGACCTATATTATGCTATGAAACTTTTATAGTCTAAGTTAGACATGGGACGAGTACTCGATTTGGATTCGGTACTCGGCGGATTCGGCCTTTTTTTTTAGGGTTCGGCCGAGCACCGAGTACTCGGCCTTAATTATATTCCAGAGAAAAATAAAGACAAAGAGCCAGTTTTTATCATTATTATTATATTAGACACATTAAAACATCAGGAACATGAGAAGCAGCAGAAATATTAAGAACGTACATAAGAATCTATAATAGAAATTATTATTACTAATATTTAAAATTTAAGAGAGTAAGATTGTGATGCAAAAACACTAGTTTTCGGCCCTATTTGGGTCTAGTTTGTAAAGGAAATAACCGCACGCCGCCCGCTACCGCGTTTTTTTAAAGCCGAGTATTCGGCCGAGTACTCGGCCCAATCTAGGCCGAGTATCCGGTGGCCGAGTACTCGGCGAAACACTACTCGTTCCATGTCTAGTCTAAGTATTTAAAAAAAACTGAAGTGATTAACGAACTTACTGTCTACCTGATGGTAAGTGGCTACTGCAGTCCATGGACAAGCAGACACGCTCAAACATAGAAGATTACAGATGCGATGTCACTTCTAAGGACTAAGAGAAGATAGATGAGGATATAAGCCTCACTAATCACTGTCTGTAATTCTACTTTCTATAACGGCAAAATTTCGGCAAAATTCGGCTTTCTATAACGTTCAGACCGGACCACAGAAATAGGTAAGTAGGTGGTACTACCCATCCAAATGTATCCCTAGCCAAAGTTGAATCCTATCGCAAGTAAACTCCACAGAATCTCGATGTGGAACATTTATAGGATAAGTAAATATAATTATGTTAATGATTATTATTTATTTCGTATTATACCTTCTTAATCTCCTGTCTTGAATGTCTTGGCGTGCGACCTCGTGCTGTATGGACTTTGCCAACGCCTGCCACTCCGCTTCCATTTTTTCCTCGGCTTCACGTTTCGCCTGAAAGCACAAAAAAAGTTGTTGCTCAACTCAGTCTATGACATACGTAAAATATCACAGTGCAGATTACGTGCAATATTTTCAAAACTACAAATATTAAGTATATATATATATAGTTTTTTGAGTTTTAGTAACTTCAAAAATGAACTCTAGTGATAGATTAAGTTCAATTGTAGGTGTTTGTTTCAAGGACGAATGTTATGAAGTGATGTGAACCTTGGCGAGAGCCATTTGTTCCTTTTGCGCTGCGTAGAACTTTTTCAACTCCTCTTGATTCATTCCTTTGTACATGAAACCGATGGCCCTGAAATAAAATTATATTTTTAAATGTAACGAATTGCGAATATTATTAATGTAATAATAAAAAGCACATTCTACTGTTTCTGCTTTTTAACGAAGGTGCTGACAATGGCTTGTTTTTCTCTTAGAACCTTCTTAATATATATCAGAAAGATGGAAGGTGCTACCTTCTAAAAATTGTAGAGGCGTTTGCTTTTTTTTTATAGAGCTAAGGTTTGACAAACAAGCATACAATCCACCTAATGATGAGCGAACGTTGTCATTCCTAAAGGGTCTCCGGTCCTTGTCAGTCACTGTACAAAACACAGCAGCATTATGGCGCTATTAAGCGCTGGTATTCAGTACGAGCGTGGTCCTTCCCCAGTTGAGTCGACCCATTCGTGCTGTAGCAACAATAAAGCTGAAGTGTGCTTTTACTACGTGGTGGGGCAAGGACGGGTTATCTCGGACTCGCACCGACTAAAACAACTAATGTGTTCCACCTTCGCCGCATATTGACGGGGCCACGGGAACGCTTTTACACACATCCGCGACCCTACCGGCGCCGGCCGACCAATGGCAGCCCCTCCTCGGGAGAGGACAAATCCTCCACCTTCTCCTTCTCAGGTAAGGCGCATCGGAACACGAGGAACCACGACCACGACAAGGAAACTCAAGTACTCGTAAGCATCATCCTTCCTGATCCCAGCGGCAGATCGGGTCTATGGCTCCGTCGCCAGCCTCCGACCCCACAACTACCATAAACGGTTCGGCCCCGTCAGAGTCGCGGAGGACAGCCATACACTCCTCTTACCCCGCGACTCCACCTCGGCTGCGACGTAAAGGGGAAGACTCCTCCCGCAACAATTCACCAACAGCATCTGGAGTGGGCTAGGCAAGCCTACTCAGAGCGGTCATCTCGGGCGAGCTAAGTGGGTTCCTCTTGGTTAACCGTGGGTGAAAAAGCCACGGCTAGTAAGCCCCCCGCCACGATAACCCGTTCGGAGGGGGCCAGGCTCTGCCTACCCTTCTAGGGACACGCGTGAGAGATTATGTTAAAAATAAGAATAGTTCGTTTAGGTTTTAAGGCTCCTTTACCTGTTCTTGCCTAAGGCACTTTTAGCGACGTCCGGATTTTCAGTGAGCATGTCCGATGTAAGGTTGTTGTACATTTCGGCAGTGTTGTCGGCTTCTTCTTGCTCTTTCATAATCTGTTTCAATTGCTTACGTTCCGCTGCCTATAACAATGGAAATAATACTTATTGCGTGAGTACCTTAGTTTTCACGTTTTGATCCATGAATTTGACATGTCCAATTATCTTTCTTTAGCTTCTTTAAATTGTATTTTTAAACAAAGTAACCAAAATAGCTCAACGGGTTAGTAAGCTGAAGTGGCAATGCGCCAGCCGAATAACTCCATGAAGCGACAAACGATGCAGAAGAAAGATGCTCGAGTTGTAGCCTCGAATCGATCCAAGAAATCGATGGATGTATGAGCTCTGGACAGTGCTTTGCGACATTTTTTGTAATGATATGATATGATAATGATTATGCAAAGAACCTTCAGGCTAGGTTTATTGTAAAAAAGTCAAATCAAAATAAAGGATTGTCTGAAAATTGTTATTATTATATTAAGAAATACGCACACGAGAATAGCGCCTGGGAATGAGATGGTCGTTACCAAGCTATTTCTAAAAATATTTGTACATACTACATACATAATTAATAGAATCAGGCGTCAATTTGCGTAAATTAAAGATGTTAAAAATTAATAAGATAAGATAAGATAAGATTCTTTATTAAAAAACTTATATAGGTTACAAACAAAATGTTGCACTGATTCCTAAAATAGGATTAATCCTGTATCTTAGGATATAATGAACTATGAACCGCGTAATAATATAAAACGATGTGTCCTACCTTGTTTGAAGAGCACCTCCTGCCTTCCCTCAATTGCGTGCACTATCCTTGTCTCCAGTCTCTACTAATCCCAGCACTGTTACTCCCAACACTAGGAAAGATACACCTTCCTCGATAATACAACTCGTGTTACGCCTCTTAATGAGGCATCCTTGGGTGATAGTTTTCCAGTTTCTGTGGTGTTGAGATAAGTGAAGACGGGATAGTGCACGCAATTGAGGGAGGGGAGCATTTTATTTTATTACACGGACCTTAGGTAATATATTTTTTTAAATGTTTTACAATTTTAATAATACATAATTGTAAACTATTCAAAAAAAACTGCTGGGTTTCTTGCTTATTCTTTCTTGGACGTAAGTAATAATAATTATAATCTATATCTAATATATAAAAATTAAGTTTTGTTTGTTCGTATTTTATGCGCTGCCATACCGTTCATCAGATTGCGGTAAAACTTTGTCAACATATTGTTAAAACTTTGTACATTGTTATTGGCATAGTACAATTAACTTACAATAGGGGGCGCGCGTATCGTACCGACAAATTTATTTAAAAGTCATATGTCATTAACTTTCAATGAATGTATTATCTTTCCTAATTAAACAATATAAATCTTCCAAATTTAAAACGATATTTCCACAATTATTTCTTAGGCGGCTGCTACGCGCCGGGTACCAGCTAGTTGAAAATAAAATATTCAATATCTAAGTATACATACCTCTTTTGATTTTGATTTTCATATAATATGTGAAGTTAGTAGTATAATATACCCGTAATATAGTAGTCAAACCCTGGCTTATAATAGTAAAAATAAGATTAAGCTGCATTTACTAAAAAAAAACTGTTTAAAACTAATAAAATTTATTATTTAAGCAAAAACTTCTACGTACACTATAAGAAATGCAAAACTAGACACAAGAGAGAATGGTGAGCTTAAAGTAGGGAAATTTGGAATAGGTCAACGGAACCCAAGGGGCCAGCAGCTGGCCGACTTCGTGGAGAAAGAGGGACTCTTTATGATGAACTCTTTCTTTCAGAAGCGGCCCCACAGGAAGTGGACCTGGTCGAGCCCTGACGGTTGGACAAAAAATGAGATTGACTTCATTATGACGACCAGACGACAACTGTTCAGTGATGTCTCTGTGATCGCGAGGGTGAAAACTGGTAGCGATCACTGAATAGTTAGAGGCACACTGAACCTAAACGTTAAGTTGGAGAGGTCTCATCTAATGAGTCAACACTGCGTCCCCCTCGTGCTCTATTCCAAAGTCCCGAAACCTTTCAGCTCGAGTTACAAAACCGTTTTCAGTGCCAAGAAGACTGCAATGAAGTGGACGATATGAATGACAAGCTCGTGGAAACTGTCCATGCGGTCGGAGCTAAGTTCTGTAAGACCCGTCGCAGAAGAACACAAAAACTCTCCGATCACACTCTTAATCTCATGGCTGTTAGACGGGAGATGAAGCTACAGTCTTCATCAGATTTGACAATATACAGGCAACTGAACAGACAGATCTCCAAATGCATGCGACGGGACTTACGCATAGTGTTGCCCAAAATCGGTCTTGGTCTTGCAGTCTTGGTCTTGTTCTTGCATTTTTGCAAGACCAAGACCAAGAACAAGACCGCCTCTTTTTAGCAAGACCAAGACCAAGACTGACCGTGCAAGATTTGCGCAAGAACAAGACTAAGCTTGCGAGACTCTTGCGTCTTGCAGTTAGGACTAAGTGTCGTTTCAGGGAGTATAGGAGTTTGGGTATACGCTTAGGGACTCTATGAGACGCAAAAAAATATAATTAAAAAAAATTGGAAAATTGGACTTATGCGCATTACGAACAATACCATAAATATACATAGCCAATGAAAATATTCATTAAAAGAAAAAAGAGTGCATCCCTAATTTTGACCATCGGCACTTTGATAGTGCGCGGCGTCTTGTTGTCGGCGTCATCAAAGGTCGGATACTGACCTGTCAAAGAAATTGTGCAGCTATTTGAATGTACAAGGTCAAGATACACGTGCCGGCGGCTACTATTGATATCGCATACAATCGTCGCCGCCGCGCCTCACGCACTACATATGACACTGTTTGATTGCCGCCACAGAGTACATGTTTCAAAGAATAAAATAAGTTTCCGGGTGCTCAGCATGGACACGAATACATTATCCTGATCTCGCAAGAAATATTGTAATTAGATAATAGGTAGGTATCATAATAATTTATTCTAGTAACTAATTATTAGAAAATTAACTATATGGATTTATAATAATTACTTACTATTATTGTTATTATTATTACCTAAAAGATAAACATGTTCAGTAAGTTCACTGCAAATCTCGACTTTTGCAAGTGTGTGTTTTTAAAACACAGAGTGCTCGAATATGTCGTCACACATTTGATAAATATGGACACCATAGCACTTTTAAAACACTTGAAATGTGTAAAACTGGATCTGGATCTTGTCTTCAAGGCTTAGTTATTAAGATGTTGAAGGGGTACCTAGGTAAACCCAGAGCCGTCATCTCGGAAAACATTTTAGACTGTTGGAGGACGCATGAGACAAAATATCCGATTTTATCGAAGATGGCCCGTGATTTTCTTTTAATACCTGCAACTTCAGTACCTGCTGAGAGATTATTTTCTAAAGCATCTTTAGTAATTAGAAAACATAGAAATAGGTTAAGTGATGAGTCAGCCAGATGGTTACTTTGTATTAATGCTTTGTCAAAAGAATAAATATAAAGTAACAGTAATGTCAAAGCTGTTGTGTACTGTTATGTAATTTAATTTGTATTGTATTTAATTTTTTATTTAAATAAATGGTATATTGTATAACTCTTTTATTCCATTTCATATATGGTGAGGGTCCATCAATCTCTTTCTAGAGAGATAATGTTATTTAAAATACAGTGTAGTTATTGCCATTAATTTGTTTTTATATGTATGTTTAACCGTGTTTTAGCACATGTAAGCTTATTAAATATAAACGTTTATTAAGAAACTGACGCCCGTGGGCGTGGGACACTCAGTTAGTTGGAGCATCGGCACGGATCGCTTAGGTCGTGGGTTCAAACCCCACCCGTTGTCAGTTGATTTTTCGAATTTCTCATTAAATGTTTAGACATTTATTAATATGGTTGGTCTTTACTATGGCTATGTTAATTCAAGCTCAATATGTACCTACTCTGTTAAGTTGTTCTAAGATCTAAAGTACGTTTAATAAATAGTAATAGGCTAATAGGTCATTGCGAGACTTGCGAGACTCTTGCTGCAAGACCAAGACCAAGACCAAGACTCGGAGCGCAATACCAAGACCAAGACCAAGACCAGGTGTATTGGCGCAAGACCTTGCTAAGTCTCGTCTTGTTCTTGCATTTGGGCAACACTACTTACGCTAAATACAGCTTGTATTGAAGAAGCAATCGAGCGGAACCAAGGCTCCAAAGTCTTTGTCAGAGATCTGTCTGCCAGAAAGAGAAAACTGTCAAAGCTGAAGACCGAATGTGGTAGCATCGTTTCCGCTACACCTGAGATTTTGAGTGAGATTGAGAGGTTCTATGGGCAGCTGTACACGTCGTCGTTGGAGCCACACGCAAGTGTGACTAATGATCCAAGAGCGAGTCTAATCCGACACTATTCCGATGATATCCCAGACGTCAGTCTGAGCGAGATTAGAATGGCTCTCCAGCGCCTTAAAAACGGCAGGGCCTCAGGTGAGACTTACAGCGGAGCTTTTGAAAGCGGGTGGAAAACCGGTACTTGAAATCCTTCAGAAGCTCTTTAATTCCGTCCTCCATGATGGCACTACTTCGGAGGCGTGGAGCAGAAGTGCAGTGGTCTTGTTCTTCAAGAAAGGCGACAACGCTCTCTTGAAGAACTATAGACCGATTTCCCTTCTGAGCCGCGTCTACGTGCTGTTTTTGAGAGTCATTACGAATCGTCTCGCACGCAGACTTGACGACTTCCAGCCTCCCGAACAAGCCAGTTTCCGAAAAGGCTTTAGGCTTTAGTAACATAGACCACATACACACCCTCCGGAAAATTGTACAAAAGACAGTCCTCTATAATATACTCCTGTATAATCTGCCACTTTGCCTTGCGTATGTGGACTATGAAAGAAAGCCTTTAATTCCGTCAAAATTTGGGCGGTGTCGCAGTCCCTTCAGCGGTGCCAATTGACTGTCGGTATATATAAGTGCTGAAGTGTTTGTACAGTAGGGCTACGATGGCTATCCGAGTACAGAATCAAAGTACGAAACTTATCCAACTGCAGAGAGGTGTAAGACAGGGTGACGTTATATCCCCGAAACTCTTTAACGCGTAGAGACGTAGACGTTAGAGACGTTTTCAAGCTACTGGACTGGAAAGGATTCTCAATGGCGAGTACATCACTCTCCTTCGATTGGCCGACGATACAGTCCTTATGGCAGACTCGCTGGAGGACCTAAGCACTATGCACAATAACATCAATAGTGTCTCCCAACGGATAGGTATTAAGATGAACATGGACAAAACAAAAATCATGTTTAACGTCCATGTCACACCTATGCCGGTTGGTGTTGGGAGCACTAAGTACGAAGTTGTTGACGGTATGTTTACCTGGGACAAATAGTTCGACTAGGTAAGTCCAACTTGTGAGGGCCCTGGCGGAGGAGACAGTATCCCGGGGTGGGGTGGTGCTGGCGGTGTCCTTAGACATCTCCAACGCTTTCAACACCCTACCCTGGAGTTGCATTCGGGAGGCGCTGAATTACCATCGCGTGCCTCCCTACCTCCGCCGCACAATAGGGGCTTACCTTGAGGAGAGATGCGTTACCTATTGGGGACGTGACGGCGCTGGTCGGCGCGTCATGTCGTGCGGTGTTCCGCAGGGATCGGTCTTGGGACCGCTCCTGTGGAACATCGGCTACGACTGGGTGCTGAGAGGTGAACTCCCGTCGGGCGCCGACTTGACGTGTTATGCGGACGACACACTCGTCACTACCCGGTGGAGTTCGTACAGGGAAGCAGCGTTGGTTGCCACGGCTGCGGTGTCACAAGTGGTGAACCGCATCCGGTGCCTGGGCTTGGAGGTGGCCCTAAGTAAGTCGGAGGCCATGGTGTTCCATGGCCCTCGACGCGCGCCGCCGCCGGGTTCACACATCGTGGTCAGCGGGGCCCGGATAGCTGTCGAGTCCACCATGAAGTATCTGGGATTGGTGCTCGACAGCCGATGGGAATTCGGACCCCACTTCCGGCGGCTGGCGCCCAAGCTGATGGGTGCAGCGGGCGCGCTATCAACGTTGCTTCCCAACTTGGGGGGCCCGAGCGCCGCCTGTAGGCGGTTGTACGTGGGAATCGTGCGGTCCATGGCCCTGTATGGGGCCCCTGTGTGGGCGATGGACATGACGGCCAGCACTCTCGCCATTCTGCGTAAACCGCAGAGGGCGATGGCCGTCAGAGTCTTCCGCGGGTATCGCACGATTTCCTACGAGGCGGCTTGCGTCCTGGCCGGATCCCCGCCCTGGGACCTAGAGGCGAAAGTACTCGCGTCATTATATCGATGGCGCGAGGAAGAGCGGGCACGGGGCTCGAGGCCGGTGCAGCGGCAGATCGCGCTGCGCCGAGAGGAGCTCCGTCAGGTCTTGGTGGCGGAATGGCGGCAAAGGCTTCTGCGCCCTACCGCCGGCCTCGCTACCGTCGAGGCGATCCGGCCAGTACTCGACGACTGGCTCGGGAGAAGGCACGGCTCCCTGTCGTTTAGGGTGACGCAAGTGCTGTCGGGGCATGGCTGCTTCGGCAAGTACCTGCGCCGCATAGACAGGGAGCCGGACGCTCGGTGCCACCACTGCGTCCATTGCGGGGAGGACACGGCGCAACACACGCTCGCCGAGTGTGTAGCTTGGGAGGAGCAGCGCCGTGTCCTCACAAATAAAGTAGGAGGCGATCTGTCACTGCCGGCCTTAGTGCGGAAGATGGTCGGTAGCGCAGAGTCGTGGGATGCGGTGGTGTCCTTCTGCGAGGACGTGATGTCGCAGAAGGAAACTGCGGAACGGGAAAGGAAGATCTCGACTCCCTTCCCTGGCCGCAGAAGGCGCACCGGGCGCAGGAGAAGGGCGGACAACGCCCTTTTCCGGCCCCCATAAATGGGTCCAGGGGCGAGGGACTTGGGGAAGCCCCCCGCCACCCCTACTCGATGGACCCGAGGCGGATGCGCGCGCGGGTGTCGGCGCGCGCCCCTGAGGCGATACACGGGGTAGTTGAACGCCTCACTACCCCGTGCAGGAGACGAGGCCTGGACAGACCGGGCCAGCACTAGTTTGGGGCTGCGGAAGAATTTGGATTCCCGCGGCCCCATGCGCACGTGTGAGGAGACACCGGGGTGGTTTTAGCCGGTAAGAGTCCGGCACGCCCCTCCGCCTTTCCCCAGGCGGAGGTAGTCCATGAGGATTTCCCCCCGTAAAAAAAAAAAAAGGTAAGTCCAACTTCGACTGAGAGGTCAATCGACGGATTCAACTCGGCTGGGCAGCGTTCGGGAAACTACGACACATCTTCTCGTTAGACATACCTCAAAACCTGAAAACGAAATTGTACAACCAGTGCGTGTTGCCAGTGATGACTTACGGATCTTAGACGTGGTCCTTCACTGCTGGCCGTACGAGGAAGCTCAAGGTCGCTCAGCGAGCTATGGAGAGGGCTATGCTCGGGGTTTCTCTGCGTGATAAACTTAGAAATGAGGATATCCGCAGTAGAACCGGAGTAACCGACATAGCCCAACGGATTAGTAAGCTGAAGTGGGCCGGCTATATAGCTCGAAGAACCGACAACCGATAGGGAAGAAAGGTTCTCGAGTGGCAGCCTCGTACCGGTAGGCGAAATGTAGGGCTCCTCCCCCACGAGATGGAGTGACGACCTGGTAAGACATGCAGGAAGTCGATGGATGCAGGTGGCTCAGGGCCGTGCTTTGTGGCATTCTTTTACTTTGGGGGAGGCCTATGTTCGGCAGTGAACTTATGAAAGGCTGTAATGATGATGATGACACTATTAGAAGTCTTTGAATTTAAGGAATCATTATGACAACTGCCAAAGTTAAAAAATTAAACTAAGATCTTTAACACAATAATTTAAAATTAAAGATTTTGTACAATCGACTTCAATATAAATTATTAAGAATAACTTAAAAACTATAGTTCAAACCCTGATTAAATTTATATGGGACCACATGTGAAACACCAGCTTTCAAATAATGAAAAATAATCGAAATCGGTTCACACAGAAAAAAGTTATAAGGTAACACACATAAAAAAAACATACAGCCGAATTGAGTACCTCCTCCTGTTTGAAGTCAGTAAAAAAACGGTCTCTACAGCTTTCTTTAGCAACATGTCGCGATTTGAGAATGTTCGTAAAAAATCGTAAAATGTATATTTCAGGTGTTGAGATTTAGAATTTGGCTCTAGATTAGATATTTAATAGAATAATGGTAACAAACGAGAATATAGTCCATTTGATGATAAGTGGATGCTTTGATCCATAGACAGTTACATCTATCCTCGATAAAAGTCAAAATATGGATGTGCTGTCACCTCTGAGGACAAAAATAGAATGGTTCATTACCAGTAAAAAGGGTTTCCGGTTCTATGAATTCACCCTACGCTGGTATTGTGTCAGAGTATGGCCCGTCCTCAGTTGAGTGGACCAATTCGTGCTACAACCATAATATAGCTACAACGTGGATCTACCACGTCGAACGATCGCAGATCTTATACGAATGAGAGTCATGAGCCTAGGATAAATTCATGTTTTAGCAACGTTCGAAATTACTTATAGAAGAGTGGGCAAACGAGCATGCAGCTCACCTGGTGGTAAGTGATGACCGCCGTCCGTGAAAAACTTGAAAAAATAAGTAAGCTTGTTTCTTGAAGGTCCCTAAGTCGCATCGGTCCGGAAAAATCGCAAATTCATTGTTCGTTTCAGTAGAGAGATACTCTAATGATTAAATAATGACACTGTCAGGAAAGTACACGGCATTGCAAAATGGTGTCAGCGGTCAGAGCATCAGCTTATTGAGGAGCTTTGTCATTTAGTTGTTGAATGAATCCTTGATTTGAGTTCAATGTCTGTAATATGTATAGCACAAATACAATTTTTGAGCCGCCTCGTACATTATACATTACATTATTACATATATATTACATTACTCTTGCACCTTCAATGTTTATGCCTTTCATATCGTAGCCTAATTTGATGGAAAGAAGGATCTAGTCTTTTATACTAATAAGAATGTAGTTTTTTTAATATTATAAGAGTGACTTAAGTCCACTTGATGGTAAAAGTAGCTACTGTAGACCGTTCACACCGGCAACCAATTTCTAACAAATAATACCACAGATGAATTGCCAACCCTAACGACTAAGATATAATACCTCACAAACTACAGTTATACTGGCTTTCTTACCTTTCAAACTAAAACTTGAAAGCTGGCGACAGAAACAGGTAAGAGAGTCTGATCCTAGTCAGAAAAGGAGTTCAGCTATCCCGTGAACTATTTAAATGGCCAGATTTTTCAAGAATTTGTTATTCGCATAGTTACTATCTAGTCTTTCTTTTAGCACGAATTGTTGTTGCTTATTCTGATAATAATTAGTCGGTGAAATTTGATACTTACTAATGCCTCGTTGTAACGTAAATTCGCCTGTCCCAGCCTGTACCTGCACTCCCGCTCCAGTCTGTCCAGTTCACTAGCCCTAGCGTCCCGAGACTTGATCGCCATCTGTAATTATTCATGTTCATTATTCGACTCATAATATTGCTTACGAACGTACACATCTGCTGGTTGCGCTGAAGCTTTGGCCGTGAAAGGAATAGGGAGATCAAACGCCGGAAGAGGAGCTCAGCCAGAGAAGCGGCCGACGCTCCATTTGATAGTAAGGAGCTATTCTATATATACCGTAAGTGTTTCGGAACTTTGATAGCGCGATATAGACTTTGGTTCGTTTCGCTTGTGGCGCGAAGACAGCACCGCCACAAATTAATGTACTTTGTAGTTATCGTGTAACTCTTACGAAACAAACGGGAACAAACTTATATCGTCCCGTTTATTTGTAAGAGTCAACTATGGATAATGCAAGAAAAGCTTGTCTTCAGTAAGATGGTGGTGTATCTCGTTAATCCTAGACATAAAACACCCAGACGGTCGACCATCAGCAGCGTCCAAGGTGCAAGTCGTCTGGTTCTTCGATCGTCAATTGGCCTTCCAAGCGTGACTATTAAGGCAAATCCTTCCTAAAACAGGAGAGCGCCATGTCCAGAAGTAGACTCTTAAGGCTTTAAGAAGCCTGAATGACCTAGACGAAACGGCAACCGTAGAGATTTTATCCGACATTAACACCGTCTAGCGGCTACTTTCTGTATTACATAGAAAAGTGCAAGGATAAATAGACTGCAGAGGTGACAAGTATATAAGTTATATACTGCCTATTATGCTTGCGCATCACTGAGAATTATGTCGCGATTAAGCATCTTCAATTACATTACACGGTGTGGTGATGTAGCTTCGTCCGGTAGACATCACGAGCTATCAAGTATTTAAGTACGTAGGAGTTTTTATTATATTTGTTGAATCGTATTTATTTGTGCCGTATTAGTAGCTCTGGTAAGCGCTCGCTGTAAATTTCGCCCGAGTTTGATCCCCGGCAACACCAATGAAATTTTTAATTGCAATTTTAAGTGCTGATTTGGCACGTTCTCGGCAGTGAAGGAAAACATCGTGAAGAAACCTGAATGTATGAGGAATAAGAAAAAAAATTTCGAAGACATGTGAAGTTCGCCAACACGCATCGGGGTAGCACAGCGAACATTTCCTTGCTCTAAAACCCTCTCAGAAATAACAGTCCTCTGCCCAGCAACTATCCAAGAATTTGGGCATTTCACACAAGAAGAGGCGCTAGTTCTGGTAGATTTGTGTCCAAATAAACAAACGCATTGGACCTCTATTCCGTGTTACCGACCATGTATTTTATTAAATTATAAACCAATACTTGAATACTATTCCACCTGATGGAGTGGAAATAGTATTTCACCATTTGCTTGGGAATTTTTTTGACATGGTTATCCCATTATCACTCTAAAGAAAACAGAAATTCGTATTAAAATTTCGACGTGGTTCTAACAAATTTCTCTAATTATTGAGGTTCATGTTTATTTAAATATTAAGTATTAAAACAATTGAATGTAAAATTATATTATATAATAAATTTTTTGACCTTTGAATCTTGGAGCATGCAGGTTAATTCCTCCAGGCAAATTTCGGTCACGGCGGCCAGTCTCAAAGAAGACTAGTTATCTGCCCAGGACAGGATTGTAGTGTGCAAGTGTATTCGCAAGCACAAGTGTACTCTCTGATTCCATACTCATTTTGTCTAATGAGACGGTAATCTGACGGAAACCGGAGAGAAATCAAGCGCAGTACCAACAGTTTTACATGCTTTCCGGGACACGGAAGTTAAACACATTCAATTGGCGAGCTTGACAAATCGTGGCAGAAATACAATAATAGAGAAGACACTATTAGAGTCTTATGGACTTAAATAATTTGAACAGAAAAAGCGTTAAACCAAATAAATGTACATTTCTTCTATTAGTCAACTGATCGCATTAGCGCGGAGGAAACCAGTGATTTACTATGAATGATTTATTTCAATGAATTGAGGAAACGTCACGGTTCACTTCATATTCAAATGAGAGGAAGGTGTCCGTTAAGACAGCTTCCAACACCCACAGCGTCCGGCGTGCGGAATCAATTTCACATCCATGTCTCAATCAATATGGCAATTTGAGTAGTACTCGTAACTTACGTTACTACGCGACTCTACCTACGAAAATTCAATAGTGAATTCGGATGCAATAATGTAAAAAAGAAAATCCAAATATTATTATAAAGCTTAAGGTCTGATTGGGCTTTGATACTAGGGCTAACTTACAAACTGCAATTATTTGTTTTTCTTACGTAAAGGTGACAAACAAGCACACTGGCCATGTCATGGTAAGTAAAAATTGTGGTCTATAATAGTTATGCGTATCTACATCTGCCACCGATTAAGGACTGATCCTGCAGATGCCTTATTATTCTTTAACATTCCACCTTAATTCCTGAGGGTTAAGGTGGAATGTTTTGTTACTCGTAAAAAGGAGGTCCGGCTTCCTCTAGAGTTCTAGACACCATACGGAACACAGCGGTCCTATTCTGTTATTCTTTGTGAGCGTGGTTCATATCTAGGCGTGGTTTTTACCCAGTCAGGGCGATCCAGACATATTATACTCGCGCTCGCCTATCTGAAGAGCGTTATGCGCGCAAACGCGTTGTTGAAGCAATCCTGCCGCACTTTGAAGGGCGGGAGCCCCGAGCGTCTAGTGATGTAACACCTGAGGAGGATGGTCACTCGAAAGTGGTCTCGAGCACCGTGATAGCATTGCGAGGGTGCTGGGGGTAGTAAGGACTGCCCCCGGGACGTGCTTTAATAGAGCAAAGCGAGAGAGAGGCCCCGGTTGCGTTCCGGACGGAGATCCCTGTACCCCTCATATACGCTGATGGTGACCACCGTGGGCTTTTGGCAGGTAGGAGTCCGGCATAACCTTTCTGTTGCCCCCGCAGCAGAAGGTATCCATGAGGATTTCCCCACGATAAAAAAGGCTCTGTGAATGTGCGTTCATGCTTTTTTAACGGACTTCAAAAAAGGAGGACGTTCTGTATTCGACTCGTCTTTTGTATTTATTTAACACGACATCTTCGTAAAATGTGAACTGATTTTAATAATTCTTCTTGAAGTAAAAACTTCTTTACAATCTTCATGATTTGAAACTCGATAAAACGAAGGAACGACACTAAAAAGAGACAAATGTATCATACATGTATAGGATTTCGTCTGCGAGAGAATGAGATAGAATATTATATTAAATTATCGTGATTAGGTCATCTTGCGTCTATTTTACGTAGGTACCACCATGAGAGTTAAACAATTTTGTTCGATAAAATGACTTTACCTATAGAGTGGTGGTAGAGCCACGCAGCAGTTTCTGCTGTTGCATGTATGGGCCGGCTCGAGCCGGGTTGGTACCACGACCTCACAGAATACCGGCGTGAAGTAGAAGCTTTGCTTCTGCGTTTCGTCTGGTGAGTGCAGGTGGCCGGAGGCCCAATTCCCCCCCCCCCCCCCCCCCCCCCCATCAACATGGTAGCGGAATTACACGAAGAACTACCCCAGGAGGGTACCAGCACCCCTGGAGAATCCCTCGCTGAGCATCCACGACCATGTTCACCGCTCAGACCCATCCAACTATAGGCCTATCGCGATCACCTCCTTGTTCTCCAAAATAATGGAATCCATTATTAACTGCCAGCTCATCCGGTACCTTGAGGATCACCAGCTGATTAGTGACCGCCAATACGGTTTTCGTCGGGGTCGATCAGCTGGTGATCTTCTGGTCTACCTGACCCATAGATGGGCGGAGGCAGTAGAGTCCAAGGGGGAGGCGTTGGCCGTTAGTCTGGACATTGCGAAGGCCTTCGATCGGGTTTGGCACAAAGCGCTTCTTTCGAAGCTCCCTTCCTATTGGCTTCCCGAGAAATTGTGCAATTGGATCACCAGCTTCCTTGCAGATCGGAGCATAAAGGTCGTTGTAGACGGTGCATGCTCTGACTACAAACCTATTAACGCTGGTGTTCCACAAGGCTGTGTGCTATCACCAACGCTGTTTCTTCTGCATATCAATGATATGTTGCTAACTGGTAACATTCATTGCTATGCGGATGACAGCACTGGTGATGCTCTATACACCGGCCGTGCCAATATTTCTCGGGAAAACGTCGCTGAGTACCGGAACAAACTTGTGTCTGAAGTCGAGTCTTTGCTGAACAAAGTCTCGGATTGGGGGCGACTAAATCTAGTCCAATTTAATCCTCAGAAGACACAAGTTTGCGCGTTTACCGCTAAAAAGAACCCCTTTGTCGTATCTCCTCAGTTTCAAGGCACTCCCCTTCTTGCCTCAGCCAGTATCGGTATCCTCGGAGTCGACATATCGAGTGACGTGCAGTTTCGTGGTCACTTGGAAGGGAAGGCCAAATTGGCCTCTAAAAAGCTTGGCGTGCTCAGCAGAGCGGGACAGTATTTCATGCCGGCACACCGCCTGCTACTTTACAAGGCGCAAGTTCGGCCTCACATGGAATACTGTTCCCATCTCTGGGCAGGGGCTCCCCAGCGCCAGCTCCTTCCACTTGACCGCATCCAACGCAGAGCGGCTTGAATTGTCGACGACCGAGCCCTTTCCGATCGGCTCGATTCATTGGCACTGCGAAGAGATGTTGCATCCCTTTGCATTTTCTTTCGCATCTACCATGGGGAGTGCTCTGAGGAATTGTTCGGATTAATCCCAGCCGCCAAATTTCACGAACGCACATCGCGGCAGAACTCCCGATACCATCCACACCATCTGGATGATTGGCGGTCCACCACTGTGCGATTTAGAAGATGTTTTCTTCCTCGCACGACCTCCTTCTGGAATCGATTACCATCAGCGATTTTTCCGGACCGATACGACTTAGGGACCTTCAAGAAAAGAGCGTACTCCTTTTTAAAAGGCCGGCAACGCATCTGCGATTCCCCTGGTGTTGCAGTTGTTCATGGGCGGCGGTAGTCACTTACCATCAGGTGAGCCGCATGCTCGTTTACCCCCTCTCCTATATAAAAAAAAAAATGTTATTCCGATCCTGAGCGTGGGTGCTCAGGCTGCCCCGCGTATTCTGGGGGGGGGGGGGGGGGGGGCAAAATTCCGCTCAAAAGCATTACTGCTAGGGGTAAACTGAGCAAGAACACCAAGGCGACCCCTGCCACGCTATCCGTGAATTTCTGCAACATCAGGGGACTTCACTCTAACCTAAACGCCGTCCACTACCATCTTGAGACGGCGAAGCCGGCCTTGCTCTTTCTGACCGAGACACAGGTTTCCTCTCCGGCTGATATTTCCTATCTCTCCTACCCGGGGTACAAATTGGAGCATTCCTTTGTGCCTCGGGCTGGAGTTTGCGTGTATGTCAGAGAGGACATCTGTTCTCGACGCCTCGGCAGTCTTGAAGGTTCGGACCTGTCCATTCTTTGGCTACGCGTAGACAGCGACGACCATCCGCGCGTCTACGGGTGCCTCTATAGGTCCCATAGCGGTAATGCCGAAACAGACCGACTCATCGACCACGTCCAAATGGCTACAGATTTCTTGCTACAACAGGTCCCATCCGCAGAGATCGTGATCCTTGGCGATTTTAACGCCCACCATGCCGAATGGCTCGGTTCACGTCTAACCGATCATGCGGGGAGATCTGTTTATGACTTTGCCTTGGCATTAGGTATGACACGACTGGTTACTTCGCCTACGCGGATTCCAGATGTGGAGGATCATACATCTTCCCTGTTGGACCTTCTGCTGACCTCTCATCCGGACGGATATCAGGTTTCCGTCGATGCCCCTCTCGGCTCTTCGGACCATTGTCTGATCCGGAGTGTGGTGCCACTCACGCTCCCTTCGCGGTTGCGTTCTGCAGGTTGCCGCCGTGTTTGGCATTACAGGTCGGCGGATTGGGACGGAATGCGGTCCTTCTTTGCATCCTACCCATGGGGGCGGGTTTGCTTCTCGCCGGATGATCCCAGCGCTGTTGCTGACTCTGTCACTGATGTGGTGCTACAGGGAATGGAACTATTTATTCCATCATCTGTGGTACCCATCGGAGGCAGATCTCAGCCTTGGTTTGGTCGCTCCTGTAAGACCGCATTACGCAGTAAGCAGGAGTGTTATCAAGCCTGGGCTGCGGCTTCGGCGACTCGGGATGTAAATACCAGCACACTTAAAAAGAAGTATAACTTCGCCTCCAGGTCCTTCAAAAGAGTTATTGCCAAGGCAAAATCAGAGCACATAGGCAGAATTGGCGAGAAACTAGTTCGCCTTCCTTCGGGAACCCGTGCATTCTGGTCTCTCGCCAGGGCTGTCCAAGGGAATTTCTGTAAGCCATCACTACCATCTCTGCACAGGGAGGATGACTCACTGGCCTAGAAATTGTGCAATTGGATCACCAGCTTCCTTGCAGATCGGAGCATCAAGGTCGTTGTAGACGGTGCATGCTCTGACTACAAGCCTATTAACGCTGGTGTTCCACAAGGCTGTGTGCTATCACCAACGCTGTTTCTTCTGCATATCAATGATATGTTGCTAACTGGTAACATTCATTGCTACGCGGATGACAGCACTGGTGATGCTCTATACACCGGCCGTGCCAATATTTCTCGGGAAAACGTCGCTGAGTACCGGAACAAACTTGTGTCTGAAGTCGAGTCTTTGCTGAACAAAGTCTCGGATTGGGGGCGACTAAATCTAGTCCAATTTAATCCTCAGAAGACACAAGTTTGCGCGTTTACCGCTAAAAAGAACCCCTTTGTCGTATCTCCTCAGTTTCAAGGCACTCCCCTTTTTGCCTCAGCCAGTATCGGTATCCTCGGAGTCGACATATCGAGTGACGTGCAGTTTCGTGGTCACTTGGAAGGGAAGGCCAAATTGGCCTCTAAAAAGCTTGGCGTGCTCAGCAGAGCGGGACAGTATTTCATGCCGGCACACCGCCTGCTACTTTACAAGGCGCAAGTTCGGCCTCACATGGAATACTGTTCCCATCTCTGGGCAGGGGCTCCCCAGTGCCAGCTCCTTCCACTTGACCGCATCCAACGCAGAGCGGCTTGAATTGTCGACGACCGAGCCCTTTCCGATCGGCTCGATTCATAGGCACTGCGAAGAGATGTTGCATCCCTTTGCATTTTCTTTCGCATCTACCATGGGGAGTGCTCTGAGGAATTGTTCAGATTAATCCCAGCCGCCAAATTTCACGAACGCACATCGCGGCAGAACTCCCGATACCATCCACACCATCTGGATGATTGGCGGTCCACCACTGTGCGATTTAGAAGATGTTTTCTTCCTCGCACGACCTCCTTGTGGAATCGATTACCATCAGCGATTTTTCCGGACCGATACGACTTAGGGACTTTTAAAAGGCCGGCAACGCATCTGCGATTCCCCTGGTGTTGCAGTTGTTCATGGGCGGCGGTAGTCACTTACCATCAGGTGAGCCGCATGCTCGTTTGCCCCCTCTCCTATAAAAAAAAAATGAAGAAGATGGCGTTATTACAATTTTAATTGAAAGAAAATATTCTTTTGATTTAATACATTATAATTTCGGCTCTACATGTCTAAAAATAATGATTTTCGCATTTATTTACTATAAAATTAAACTTTTATCTTACATTATATACCGCACTTGTGGTTGAAAATTGTCATATTAAGTAAATAATATGCCGTAAAATAAATCAAACGTCTTCAAAAAGGAGGAGAGGTTTACAATTCGTCGGAATCTTTTTTTATGTACGTACACCGATTACGACGAACCTGCCTGCGAAGACGCCTGAATCGATTTGGTAAATTCTTCTTTAGGGTTCCGTACCTCAAAAGGAAAAAACTTAACCCTTATAGGATCACTTTGTTGTTCGTCTGCCTGTCTGTCTGTCTGTCAAGACCCTTTTTCTCAGAAACGCGTGGAGGTATCAAGATGAAATATCAAATACTCAAGTCTACCGTCCCTTGGAGCTGTGAAAAAATCAAACTTCTAAGCCAACGCAATCAAAAGATACAGCTGTTTATGCCCCAAATTTTCGACATTCGCAAGGCAATCAAAACCTACAGGGTACTTCCCGTGAATTCAGAATCCTAAAATTTGGTACGAAGCAACATATTATAGCACAGATAAAGGAAAAATTGCGAAAAACATAAATTTTTAGTTACATCATAATATAATAAAAATATTTTTAATAACTTTAAACTCATATACCAACGGATTTGTTCGGAACCCTCCGTGCGTGAGTCCGAATCGCACTTGGCCGGTTTTTTTGTTTCAAAGTATAAGGTATACTTCCCAAATGGTTTCATTTAAATTTTATCGAAATCATTCGAGCGGTTTTTAAAAAATCAACAATAAATTATATTTATATTGAAGTCGGTTGTATATTTTGTTTTTATTTGAAGTTTTCCCTTCTATGCGAGTGAACCGCACACATGTATTTTATTTTTTTATTCATTAGGTCATACTCTAGGATTGGTCCTTTATTAATTTGAAGAAAAGCTACCAGTAAGAGTGAAAAATTATTAATGTTACTACTTAGACGATATTATAACTGTTGCCTTGAGCTTGTGATATTCCATAATCCATATAAAAGGATAATTTCTGTTTGACTATTAATAAAAAGTATAGTTCGACTTAACTGGACCTTAAAAACTGGAAATAAAAAGAATAAAATGATTTTCATATAATAACCTCTAAAGTCGGAGCTATAATATTCCTATTAACTGTCATATAACCTACTTTGGAAGTTCTTTTTGTTTTTGAAGTCGGCTTTTACTTGCTAAAAGTTAATTCTTTGGCAGTTTACTTAGATACGCACTATTTGTAATTAATGAATATTACCATATAAGCTTCTTCTGCTTTTCGGCGTTCCTCTTCTGCAGCTTTTCGCTCCTGGACTTGCTGCTCCAGCCAAGCATTCTTTTGTTCTGCCATTATCTTCCTGCGCTCTTCATAGTTTAAATCTTCGCCTTCGAACCTTTGAATATTAATATTACATATTAGATTTTTTTATAAGATAAGGGTGACAAACGAGCGCACAGTCCACCTGATGGTAAGTGGTTGCTGTAGCCCATAAACATCTAGATCTATCCTCGATTACGAATCAAAATGCAGATGCATTATCACCCGTGACGACTACGATGGAATTCCAGAAAAAAGGGTTTACGCTAGTATTCTGTAAGAGCGTGGTCCTTCCCCGGTCGAGCCGACTCGTTCGTGCTACAAATATACCAGTAGTACAGCTGCAGCATGAATCTACCACGTTAAAAGTAATTTGCATTAGGTTTAGGTTTGGGACTCCCAAACCTAAACCTAATGCAAATTACTTTTAAACGTATAATTATTTTTGACTCAAAACAATAACTACTCGTATTTTTTAAGGTTTGTGGTTTTTAACGATTTGCTTGTTAATAAAATAAGGCAAATTAAGGTAGAAATATATACAAAAATGATTTTAAAAGAGATTTTTAATTTAAACGGAGTTATTTTTTATATAGAAGCGGAATGAAAATGCATGTGGCTCAACTGATGATAAGATACCATCAATGTAAACATTCGATACGCCGGAAAAATTACATACCTTTTAGTAAGAGTACTTAAGCACTTTGCTTGAAGATCCCTTAGTCCCCTATCGCTGCAGAAAAAAAAACTGATGGCGACAGTAAACTCCACAAGAAAATGATGACTTGTAAGTTCCTGTCAAATTTGTTTTATTCAGTTTGAGTAATTAGCCAAATATCTTTTAATCGTATTGTGTATTTTTTTTTGTTATTTGTATTATTTATTGCATATTTTTCTTATATATGGGGAAGCAATTTGTTGTTTTTAGTTTTTATTGTTGTTTAACTAGTTGTTAAATATACAAAAAAGTAACGAAACATTCGTCAATAAAGCGCTATACTGTCTCCCTCTCTATCTCCCTCCCAGCTTGTATAAAATGATATAAATACTCACTTCTGAGCGCTAGACAGGCCAACCGGTTGGTCATCAGAGGCGCGAGGTGGCAATTGCTTCTTTAGCACTTCCGGGTCATTTAGATCATACTCGCGTCGATCTTCTGGACGTTGATATCTCTGTCTGTATTCGTTGATCTCTAATTCAATGCGGCGACGCTCCTGACAACAGCTTATTTTAAATTGCGAGGTAGAGTCAAGTTAAAATATTTATTATATGCAATCATGGACGTAAAAAATATAGACGTAATGTACACTGAAAATGTGTGAAGCACTCTAGGTTCTATAATTTTGTTCGTTATACACGAGATACACACACACACAAATAAATTAAGGTCCGACAATTGGTGCTAGAGGGGGCGGGTCGACTCTACCACTCACGCACACTGCATGACATTTGTATACGTGTACCTCGCGTGTGATAAATAAAATTGTAGGACCACAAGTCCTCATTTTTTTACATATGTCCACGTACATAATGATGATGATGAGTAGAGTTAAAGATCCGAGTCGTCTAGTATTGCGGTTGCCAATCTACTTGCTAAAAGTAGCTGTAGGGGCAAATCTTGTCACTTATAGGAGAGGCCACACGCACTGCAGCAGCGCGGTGGACTTACCCCATAACCCCCTCAGAAATGAGAGGAAGGCTGTGCCCATCAGGTGACAATGGACTGTATACGGGCTGACGTAAAGAAAGATATTGATAGCAAGTTGTTTTCGTGGTCGAATCATACAATAAAAGACTCCATTCTACACCATGAAAATATTAAAATGAAAAATGTAAAAAAATTGACGGAAAACAAAAGGCGGCCATATTGATATACAGTAATTTCTTCCAGGCAACCTAAAAACCTTTACACGGTTTTAGAAGAGTAACCAACATAGTGCAACGGATCAGTAAGTAGAAGTGGTAATGGGCCAACTATATAACTCGAAGAACAGGCACCAATGGAGAAGAAAGGTTATCTAAATGCAGCCGCGGACAGGTAAGTAAAGTGTTGGGCTGCACCCCATTACATGGTGTGATGATCTGATAAAGGATGCAGGTGGCCCTTGCTCTATGATATTCTTTGGGAAGGACTTTGTTCAACAGTGGGCTTCCGATATGCTATAATGATGATGACGATGATCAATCAAAAAAAGAATTAAATAAAATTGAGAGAAAAAATAATGGGTAGAGTGCACTATAAAATCATCCTGAAAGATATCATTTTCCATCGTAGTTAATATATACGTGGTCTACACGTGGTAGAGCCATGCTACAGCTATATTAGTAGTATATAGTTGTAGCACAAATTGGTCGGCTCGACCGGGGAAGGAATACGCTCTCACAGAGTACCAGCGTAAAATAGCAGCTTAACACTGCTGTGTTCATATGGTGAGTGTAGAGAACCGGAGACCCTTTTCACTGGAAAAGAGGCATTCCATCTTAGTCCGCACGGGTGACAACGCATCTGCATTCTGATTCTTTATTGAGGATAGATGTAGATGTCTATGGGTCACAACAACCTTTTACCATCGGGTGAACTGTGTGCTCGTTTGTCACCCTGTCTTATAAAAAAAATACACAGAACTATTTTGTAGGGTGTGTACCTCTCGTTCCCGTGCTTCTAGAACGACGGCCAGGTTGCTGTCCTTGATCATCTGCTGAGCGAACGCGAGGTTCTTACGCTGCTGCTCATTGATCTCGGCTCGTTTCTCTTCTATTTGACGTTCCAGAAATGGTACGTCTACCTGGAATGAATATCATAACATTTACTGTGAAACCGATTATTTATAAGCCGGCCGATGGATGCTCCTTAGATCTACGAGTAAGTTACGTATATATATATATTTATAGGATAGGGTGACAAACGAGCACACAGTCCACCTGATGGTAAGTAGTTGCTGTGGCCCATAGACATCTACATCTATCTTCGTTTGCGAATCAAAATGCAGATGCATTGTCACCCCCGACGACTAAGATGGAATGCCTCTTTGCCAGTAAAATGGGTCTCCGGTTCTCTACACTCACCATACGAAACACAGCAGTGTTAAGCTGCTATTTTACGTTGGTATTCTGTGAGCGCGTGGTCCTACCCCGTCGTCGACTTAGGAACCTTCAAAAAAAAAGAGCTTATACCTTTCTAAAAGGCCGGCAACGCATCTGCAATTCCCCTGGTGTTGCGGTTGTTCATGGCCGGCGGTAGTCACTTACCATCAGGTGAGCCGCATGCTCGTTTGCCCCCTCTTCTATAAAAAAGGTGGTGGGATTCTTTTTCTGCCCAGGAGTCCGCTGAGTGGGTGCCGTCCTTTTACCTTTTCTGTAAGGTCTTATGTCACATCAATTTTAGAAAAACATTTATATTTACCATGTTGATCAGGTGAGTGACTGAGCGAAAAGTCGCCATCTGAAGCTGAATAAATGTTCAAAAGTCTTGTCTAGTCTTAAACTTTTAAAGTATTTTATTTATGTGTCATGACGGTTTGCATGTTGTATGCATTATTTATGAAAGGATTGTAAAGAAATGTTGGCGGTTTACGGTAAAGTCGTAAAACACCGCAGTGGTGAATCGTACCCGTGCGAAGCTAGAGACAATCGCTAGTTAAGAATAATCAATAAAAAGCTAGTATCTATAGTTAGTGTGGAGAACTCGGTCGCTTGAAGAAAATGAAGAAGTCTTTAAAATTTAGACTGAAGTACCTAGAGAAAAAGATGATTGATCTTGATAATGATTTCTTATATTTACGCGAACACTACACATTTAAATAAAACTAATTTTACGGATTTAATCGCGTATAATAACTTATTTTATATTCCCGACGTTTCGAGCATTAGATTTGATAGACCACAAATCCTCGCTAAAGAACACCGATTCCTTCCAAGGATGATTCGCGAAGCTATTGAAATTAAAAAACATCCTAATTTCAATAGAGAAGATGGCTGGGTGCTACCATCTGCTTGAGATCCCATAATTAATAAAATTAAATCACAACCCAAGCATACAACTGTAAGACTTTAAGATACTGTAAGTTCATACTGCGTAGATCGGAACAAAAATTAATAATTTTTAATCTGGAGGTAGCCGTGGTATGACATTAGGACGTCATACACCTTAGTCCCCCCCGTGACCATGGGTGCTGTAAAGTGCTCAAAACGTCGGGAATATAAAATAAGTTAATATACGCGATAGAATCCGTAAAATTAGTTCTATTTAGATTGATCTTGATATTAACAAGAATTAGACTGAAAATATTGCATTTGCTGAATGTGTTTCACAATCTTTATATCCGATCTAAAGATAGAAATAGGTAACATTTAGTTTTAATATTATTAGAAGTATAGTAGAGCCATGGTAGCACAGGGGCTAAGTATTCGCTGTAATTTTCACAGTACGCAAGCAACCCGGGTTTGATCCCCGCCGGCACCTATGAAATCGTTAATTGCAATTTTAAGTGATAATTTACAACGTGTTTGGCGGTGAAGGAAAACATCGTGATGAAACCTGCATATGTGGGAAATAAGAAAAAATATTTCGAAGACATGTGAAATTCGCCAACCCGCATTGGAGCAGCGCGGCGGATATTTCCTTGTCCTAAAACCTTCTTAGAAATGAGAGGAGGCCTGTGACCAGCAGTGGGACGTGTATAGGCTGTAACTTTAACTTGTTTAGTTCTACGATCAAAAATGTATGATATTAACATTGATAGAAACAAAAAAAAAACTTTCATCAGACATTGAATGTAAGGTGGCAGCGTTAGAATATCCAATATACTACTCTATATCGTACCGGGTGTTTCTTAAGAGACGACAGAGCGAAACAAACCAGGAGAAAAGAGTGCAGCAGCGTCTTTCTAACAATAACTAAAAAAAAACACTGCGGTTCCCAACCCGCCTGCAGCCTACTATGGCAAATACGGGGTGTATTCCCCCTATGAGCAATCTATGGGGAAGGCCTATGTTAAGCAGTAAACTTTTCATAGGCTGTTGCAGAAACAGTAACAGAAACAAAACAGAGAAGATACTAAAATAAAAGTGGACTAAAAATCTATGTCTCACTGATGCATATGGGTACCGTACTTAACCGCAAAAGTGAACTAAAACATCTTTTTGTTTTGTATAATAAAGGTGACAAACGAGCACACTGTCCACCTGAAGGTAAGTGGTTTCTGTGGCCCATAGACATCTACATCTATCTTCGTTTGCGAATTAAAATGCAGATGCGTGTCAGCCGCGAGGACTACGATAGCATGCCTATTTTCCAGTAAAATAGTTCTCCGGTTGTCTACAATCATCATACGGAACACAGCAGCATTAAGCTGCTATTTAACGCTGGTATGTAGAAAGAATGAACGAGGAAAGAGTGACAAAGCAAATTTATGTTGCAGAAGTAAACGGCAGGGTCGGGAAGGGACGCCCTAGACGAAGGTTTATCGACCAAATCGGCGATACATTAAAAATGGGCCAGATTAGGAGTACCCTTAACCGACGAGCGTGTATGCGTAGATATATGGATGTAAAGGAGGCGAGAGAGGTGTGTAAGGATCGCGCCAAATGGAAGTCCGTAGTCTCTGCCTACCCCTTTGGGTGACAGGCGTGAGTGTTTTATGTTATGTTATGTTATGTTTATTAACGCTGGTGTTCTGTGAGAGCGTGGTCCTTCCCCGGTCGAGCCGACCCATTCGTGCTAGAACTAGCTGCTACAGCTGCAGTATGGCTCTACCACGTTAAGAATCTATCTTTCACTGGCGCACTATTATTTTGTTGTGGCCAGTGCTATCATTTAAAGCACGTTCAGTATCATACGTATATTTACGGTCACAGTTTCTCATTTCCGTTTTCTTATTCTGCATGGGTAATTCTATGTTTGTAGTGCACGTACTCCAATTTTCGATTATTTAATGTTCTGGTGGACAATATCTTTATATCAATGATGACAAAACTCTTTTCCTGCCTAGATTTATGTTGTGAGGCGTTTCATCTTCATCCTCAGACGTGGTCCTACTTTGAAGCTGGTTGCAGGTGTCCATGGATTGCAGTAGCCTTTTAGCATCGGTTGGACTGTCAGTTCATTTTTTTATGGGATAAGGGTGACATACGAGCACACAGTCCACCTGATGGTAAGTGGTTGCTGCGGCCCATAGACATCTACATCTACATCTATCCTCTATTACAAATCAAAATGCAGATGCGTTGTCACCCGTGAGGACTAAGATGGAATGCCTCATTTTTAGTAAAAAGGGTCTCCGGTTCTCTACACTCACCATACGAAACACAGCAGCGTTAAGCTGCTATTTTACGCTGGTATTCTGTGAGAGCGTGGTCCTTCCCCAGTTAGCCGACCCATTCGTGCTACAACTATACTACTAATATACTCGTAGCTGCAGCATGGCTCTACCACGTAAAAAATAAAGAAAATAGATATTAAAAGATTGTCCACCAAAAGGATACGAATATAAGACTTGTACCGGTGGTATTGCAGTGCGAGAGTATCGGCTATGCATTCACCGTCAAATCTGTGTCATGTATGAATGTTAATTTTTAAAGGCTGGCAATTAATGTTAATTTAAAAGCGGGAAAATAATGGTGATTCATAATGGCGGCGTATGAGAACCCATCACCCCATCTTGTTAAGTGGGTGTCGTAAAAGATGACTAGGAAATGCAAAATGCTCTTATGGTTTCCTATAGATCTAAAATAACTAGATCGGCGACTGAGAGCGTCAAAGATGCGAGACCACTGATATTACGGTTATCAATCCGCCTGTGACGCGTGACGAATAAGGTAAATCCTTTCCACAAGGGAAAAGGCAATGATTTCAAAAGCAAAAAAAATATAAGCAAAAGTAGCGCCATCTGTTATAACATATACGAACTACACGAGTGCCGCATTGCATTGGTTGACGATGTAACCAGGGTTGGATTACGTAGTATAATTATACTCCTGTACCATTATTTCATACTGTGTAGTATCCTAAACTGTCAGATTAGGGCCAGCGCACTGGTGCCATTTAGTAGCGCGGTCCAAATGGTCCTTACGCTAGTAAATAGTCAATGGGGAAAGGCCCATGACAGTACACTTTTACGAGGTGCTGAAAGGAAGAAGTAGAAAACTACATTATGTACCGTTCTCCACAGTTTTTATCAAAATATTAGAGTCAGTGTTAATCATTGAACATTTTAAATTTTATTACAAAATTAAACATTTAAATTTAATTTAAAAAATTCACTAATAATTTAAAATTCAAATTTTTGTACAACTGACTTCATTATATTTTTGAGTTATTAAGAATAACTCAAAAATTATTGGTCATACCCTGATCAAATTGGACCACATGTGAAGTACCAGCTTTCAAATAAGAAAAGAATCATCGAAATCGGTTCACCCAGTAAAAAGTTATGAGGTAACACACATAAAAAAACATACAGTCGAATTGAGTACCGTCTCCTTTTTGAAGTCGATAGAAAAAAATAACATAAGACTATATTCTATACTTAGCATAACGATGCAGTATTTCGTATCGTGAGTGAGGAGAACCGGAGACCCTTTTTGCTGGTAGCGAGGAATTCCTTCTTTACCGTGTAGTGATGTAAGAATATCCACTACCCTATATAGTCACGTGGGTGGGGTAAGAGGCGACAGAGGGAAGCAAACCAGGAGATGGGCATCAACGTCTTTCTAATTACAACTAAAAATAAAATAAATACCTACTAGGCAATTTATGGGGGCGGCATATGTTCACCAATGAACTTATATCGGATATCGAGGGTTAGACGTGAATGTTTATGGGGTCTGTGCATCCATTTACTATTAGGTATACTGTATACCCCTTTGACACCCTTACTTTAGTAAATAAAAAAAAACATGGAACAGTAACATACACCAATTTTCCGGTTTCTGGCATTGAAAATTCTTGACCTTCTTTCCAGTTCACACTGCCTTCGCCTTTCTCTATTCTGTGCTTCTTTTCTATCCTGTTCATTTGCGATCTGCAGTTTCAACATTTTTATAAAATTGTTTCCAAAATCAGCTGGAGATGTACATAAAATTAAAATGGTTATAATGACTAAACAAAAGCTGTTGCCGTAGCAACCAAAGAGTATTTAATCTATGATTCCTTGGATTTATCACTACGTTTTGTTTGGTTTATTTTTTGTTTCTTTTATTTTTTGTTTCTTTGGTTTTAGTATCTAGTGCACGTGTGTATTAGTAATCTATGAAAGAATGGTAACCTCAGAATTGTTATTACACTCAGCATATGACACCGTTCTGATTCAACCTTTATTTAATTACATGACTTATATTCTCAGTGTTTATGTTTTTTTTTATAGAATAAGGGTGACGATGGAACGAGCACAAAGTCCACCTGATGTAAGTAGATGCTGTGGCCCATAGACATCTACATTTATCCTCAATTAAGAATCAAAGTGCAGATGCGTTGTCGCCCCTGAGGACTGAGATGGAATGGAATGCCCCGTTTTCGGTTCCGGCCACGCATTGTAGGTTGGTTGGTAATGGTAGTTTTTTAATATTTTTAGTTGTTAACAGAAATATGTTGCTCATCTCCTGTTTTAGTAACCTTCTGTCGCCTCTTACCACCCCCACGCATTTGTATACATATATATTGTGTGTATTATCTATGCTTATATATACGCTTGACCTGTATTTATGTATGTATGAATGTAATGGAATTTTGTCACCAACTTCCAGACGTCTAAAAATTAGAAATTTCGCAGACGCATTTAAAATCTATTGACAATGCAATACCTTCATAACTATTATTATTATAGGTTATAGTCTCACTAGGATCATCACATCATCATCATGATCAATGCTTGTTGTTTAAGTTTTCTAAAGTTGTAATATCATTTTATAAATATGTACCTTTATAATTTTTCATATAAATCCTATAATATATGTTAAATAATAACTTTATGTATCAAAGTTCTTCAGATTGCGTAGTTTACGTACGTTCATCGTCTCGTTGTCTCTACCAGGCTGTCAGTCTACCATCAGTTCACAGCTGAGTTTATAGTGTAAGGGTGAAGGATAATCTACAAACTTTCAATCAATAAACAAGGCTCTGGCGTCCGACTGATGGTGGAACATCCTACCAAATCGCTGAATCCAAACCCATTGACTGGCAATATGGAGCAGCATTTCTAATGCGGAAAATATCGACTCTTCATCTATTAACCCAATGTTAGGAGTATGGGTAGCTCTTTTAAAAAATGCACGCCTAGTAACACACTCTCTATAAGGCCTATGCCCATGCAAAGTAGTAGATTTTGACGGCTCAATGCTCGGTGCAATCGGTGTTTGTAAACTGTCTCCACGATACAGGAGAAAATCCTCGTGTAGCGGTAAAGTTTTTAAAAAAAATTAAAAAGCTACGGAATAACGACATAAGGTGATGTGGGGTAATAACTGGCACTATGCATCTCACGCATTTTACTAGTCGACATTGGTTTTCATATTGTAGTTTAATTCATGACGCAGTATTTTTGCTCGTATATGTCAACGCCACAAGGATATTTTTTAAGACCGAATTTCGGCCAGTCTCAACGGAGACATTCGGTTAGAATCTACTAGTCAGTCTGTGACGGAGACTTAGACATTTGCGCAGGGCAGATTAATATTTCACGAGTGTGTGCGCAAGCATGCACTATTCATCGCTTCATTCTCATAGTCCGATGCGAATGCAATCCGACACCACCAGAGCGATAAGGCGCAGGACTAATGGTCGTATGTGCCTTCCGAAGCACTAGGATAAAACACCGACAACTACTAAGAATTTCTGAAACAAAAGCCCTTTGACAAATCCTCGACTCGTGATTCGAACCCGGGACTACATGATCTGCAGGCATCATTACGACAGCTAGACCAACGAGGCAGTCTTTTTCTATTTATTAGAATGATAAACAAATAATTTTAAATAAAAGCTTTTACAAAAATTTACTTCGCAAATATCCGCGTTATAAAATAAAATGATGTGTCTTACCTAGTATGAAGTAGCACCTCCCGCCCTCCCTCAATTGCGTGCACTATCCCCGTCACCACTAATCCCAGCACCGCTACTTCCAACACCACTACACTAGGCAAGACACACCACTGACGATAATACGACACGTGTTTCGCCTCTACACGAGGCATCCTCAGGTGATATAGACTCTACGGTGGCTAACCGTTAGCGGTTAGCCACCGTCAAGCGTCGAATCGTCTCGCGCGCAGACTTGACGACTTCTAGCCTCCCGAACAAGCCGGTTTCCGAAAAGGCTTTAGCACCATAGACCACATACATACCCTTTGGCAAATTGTACAAAAGTCAGAGGAGTACAATTTGCCACTATGTCTGGCGTATGTGGACTATGAGAAAGCCTTTGATTCCGTCGAAATTTGGGCGGTGCTGCAGTCCCTTCAGCGGTGCCAGGTGGACTGTCGGTATATCGAAGTATTGAAGTGCTTGTACAGTAGGACTACGATGGCTATCCGAGTACAGAACCAGAGTACGAAACCTATCCAATTGCAGAGAGGTGTAAGAGAGGGTGACGTCATATCCCCGAAACTCTTCACCGCTGCATTGGAAGACGTTTTCAAGCTTCTGGACTGGAAAAGATACAGTATCAACATCAATGGCGAGTACATCACTCACCTTCGATTTGCCGACAATATAGTCCTTATGGCAGAATCGCTGGAGGACCTAAGCACTATGCTCAATGACCTCAATAGTGTTTCCCAACGGATAGGTCTTAAGATGAATATGGACAAAACAAAGATCATGTTTAATGTCCATGTCACACCTATGCCGGTAGTTTTTGGGAGCACTAAGCTCGAAGTTGTTGACGAGTATGTTTACCTGGGACAAATAAACTCAGAAATGAGGATATCCGCAGTAGAACCAGAGTGACCGACATAGCCCAACGGATTAGTAAGCTGCAGTGGCAATGGGCCGGCCATATAGCTCGAAGAACCGACAACCGATGGGGAAGAAAGGTTCTCGAGTGGCAGCCTCGTACCGGCAGGCGAAGTGTAGGGCGTCCCCCCACTAGATGGAGTGACGACCTGGTAAGATATGCAGGAAGTCGATGGATGCAGGTGGCTCAGGACCGTGCTTTGTGGCATTCCTTGGGAGAGGTCTATGTTCAGCAGTGGACTTGTGAAGGCCTGTAATGATGACGATGATGATTCGGTCTTCACTCATTCGCTCAACGTGCCCAAACCATCGAAGCACGCTCTTATCAATTTTTGTGATAAGGTCATCTATCAAACCTGCCATATTGCGAATCTCTTCGTTTCGCTTTCGGTCGGCCATGGTAACGCCGCACATTTTACGAAGAGATCGCATCTCCTCTGCATTCAACTTACTTTTATGCTTCTTCTGGCATACCCAGGTTTCGCTGCCATATAACAAAGTCGGTACCAACACTGCGTTATGTATTGCAAGGCGTGCACTCTGCACTACGCCTTGCCTTTTGACTAACGCAGTCAGGGCACCATTGACTTTGTTCCCGGCAGCGACACGCCTGTCCACATCTAAATTACATCTTCCATCCCGGCTGAAAGCACACCCCAAGTATACAATTTCATTTACCTGTTCTAGACATTCCTGATTTACCCATATTTCACACTTCGTTCTCTCTTCGTCCCTTTCAAATACCAGAACCTTTGTTTTATTAGCATTCAAACGGAGACCTTTAATTTCACATTCCTCTTTCATACACGTGACTAATGCCTGCAGTTCTGCCTCTGATGGTGAAATAAGCACTGCATCATCAGCATACAGCAGACAATTTACTTTAATGTTACCCAATTTCACACCCAAACAGCTATCTTTCAGCTTCTGTAAACAGCTGTCGAGATACAGTATGAATTACCTATTTACCTTATTTACAAAAAACTAGACCGGTTATGGGTAGTGGTGAACATACTTGTAATTTTCGTCTGCTCGGATTTGTGATGCACTTACGATCGTTAACTTAGCCTTGTTTTGTTTAAAGATCATTGATTTACTTGGTTATCGGTCCGTTCTTTTTATATTTTATAAATTACATTTGTTTGTTTGTTTAGAAATTTTAATTTCTTATTGTATCATTGGTTATAAAAGCATACCTTGCGGAGTAGAACGCCTTGGTAGAGACCTTGCTCTACCAAGCTTATTCGAATCCGAAGTTTTAAATCCGTGTGTGATTTGAATCTTTTTCATTTAGATTAATAAATAAGTATTTAAAACATTATTTGAAACTAATAAAAACATCTGTTAATTTATTTGTTTTGTATCAGTTTTAATTTAGGATCTTTGATAGTAAAGAAAATAGGGCTGTCCCATCGTCCCTTACAATAGTTACAGAGAACTGATAAAATTAATTATTAGATTTACAAGTGAATAGTTAACTCAGAAAACGTGCAAAATATTAGACTGATGTTGTGGGATAATGGTTGAGAAAAAATATTATACAACATTCTAACGTTTCTGGATATTTAGGGAACTGAAAAATACTCTCCATGTGGCCTCCTATATATAAAACTTACAAATTTTATTGTAGCAAAATCGTAACGTCTTGTTAATACCATTTAGATAGTAAATTTAATAAAATGGCAACACTGTAGAATGCGGCAACGTGCGTCGCGACGCCGATGCCTTATTGCATAAAGTAGTATACGGTCGGAGCGCCAGTGAGGCAGTGAGTCTCCAGTATTATATATTAGTCTATGGCAGTGAGTACTGAGTAGTGAGTAGCGATTGTGGTACGCTTCACTCGTCCGGCAAGTTGACCTTGTATCGACGTGTTTTTAGATCGCGTGATCCCGCGTTAAAAAAATTCAAAACATTTTTTTAGTCATCAGACATTTGCTCGCTGATTCATATTCATAAATTATCGGAAATTAATAATAGTGTTTCGTAACATTAGTGCTATTATCTGGTATTATATTTTTGTGATGTGATTGTAATATGACAAGTGTTTTAAAAAAATCAAGAGGTACAAAAGGAAAATCAGAATCCATGCAAGAAGATTTGCCTTCGAGATGGGGGAACGTGTCCAGTGGGCACAAGTCCGAAGATGGTGCAAAGCTGATGAAGTACATCGATGATAATATCATTGGAAAAGGAAATTCTTTTTGCGGTCCTTTCGGACGGAGAAAAGGTGAGCATAATATTAAGTTTATATTTATTAAAAAGCTTGAACTATTATAATATAATGTTAATTACAAGACCAAAATATTTTGGCATTTGATTAATTTTGGCAAGCATTATTATTTACGAATCTGAATTAATGTCTCGGCGAATTTCGCAAGCTATATAAATAAACATATGTATATTTAAAATTATCTTTGTTAGTTTCAAGGTTCCGTCCGTTAAAGACGTTAATAAAATTTATTTGAAATTTATAAAGACCAATCTATACTATACTACTAAAGAACAGAGTTATTAAAACCAACCTATACACATGTTTAGCCACCCGCGTGTATCTAATTGTAGTTGTCATTTGTTTTTCGCAGCATATTACTAGCACTATAGTCCACTGCTGGACATAAGCCTCCTCTAAATTATAATATGTCATAAACATCACATTTTGATGGAGGAATAGAAAATAGTATTGCGCGTCTTAAATTTTTGATGCATGTCTGCCCCTTATCAGATGTGAGTTGACTTCACATTTATAAAAGTGCTTTAGTGTCGTCTGTTAGTCACCCTGCTTTAGTTATAGCTTCTAATTCCCATCCGTCATTATGATGTTTTGGTCTCATAACCGTTTATATTACTATTTATAAATTTACGTGATGAAACTTCCATTCTAACAATTCTGCTACATAATCTTTTACGATATTAAGAAACTCTACACGGATGTTAAGAACGATTAAATTTAAATTTTTCCAAGGAAATGCGTACCGAGTAGATATGTGAAGTTATTGATATTTTTGCTTATAATTTTGTATTAAATTTTGTAATTCTGAATCTGATTATGTTCTGTAGCTCCTGGGGCTTTTTACTTTGGTACATTAATTTTACTTATTTTTCTATTATGTATAGCAACACTCACAAAAAGTATATTTCCTGTATATTAAAAATGTAACATTGATTCTATCATAAATTAGTAAATAGATTGTAATCATGATCAGTGTGGTTGGTGTAGTTTTGACAATAATTCTGCTTGCATCTAGTTTAAATAGTTGTTTAACAGTAAAAAAATCAGCCAAACATGGAACTATTATTTGCAGACCATACAAATACTTATCTCTTGCAGGAAACAAACCCACTTGTTTTATTAGCTTAAATTTTAAGTTACGCGTCGTTTGATGTTCCTTAGTTAAGTAAAAATAGTAAGAAAATTAAAAATCTGCATAGATTTTCTATAAGGTACGTTATAGACACGTGGTCTTCGTGATTTTTTGAACGTTTGTCTATTTGTCAGGCGTATTTGTGTCTCACGAACAGCGCGAAAATAGACATTTAAGCGTGCGCTCGCTTCGTCCTTGAATTCGATTTGGCACAATCGATTACGTCCGTATATCGGTAGAAAAATATGGCGATATTGTTTTGTTATATTATTCGTATTATTTAGCTTTTTTATTTTCCTAGTATCGCTGGTGGCCTAAATTATAATTGGTGGCCAATGTATAATTAGTCAAATTAGTACACAGTATACAGCCATGACCGCGATCAAAATGCTTACACACATCATCAAATATAATACACACATATTTTTTTAGTGCACATATGTTAGTACACTTCGAATGGTTTAAGTTTCATTATTCTTATTTTATAATAAATACTAAAAAATGTATGGTAGTATGTATTCTCATGATTTAGAGAGATATAACGGTGGTTATATAGCTTTAAGCGATTTCTACCTGACAAACCAAAAGTAAAAGGACATTATAATATTATATTTTGACTGATAGGTGTAAAGTGCAATATAAAATAAACTGAAAAAAGCTAGATCTAGGTAAAGTTATAAAGAATATGATAGGAGAAGAAAAAGAATGAGCTAAGCAGGTTTTGTCCAAAACTTTGCTTTTAACATTGATTTTAAATAAAACAGGCTAAATAGAAAACTTTCTTAAAAATTTTATGATTTTTTTTACTAAAATATATTAACCGCAATCGGTAAGTAATGTTTTTTTTTAATTTGTAAAAAGATTTTGAAATTCACTTATTTATAAAGGAATTTAATTAATATTTTTCAAAAGCTGATCCTCTGAACCAGCACAGAGTCCATCTAATGGTAAGTGAAAGCTGTGGCCCATAGAAATCAAGTACCAAAATGATCAGATGTATTGCCACCCCTGTGGACTGAGGTGGAATGCCTCGTTTCATTACATTTATCCTCAATCAAGTATCGAAATGATCAAATGTGTTGCCACCCCTGAGGACTGAGATGGGATGCCTCGTTTCCAGTTAAAAGGATGTCTGGTTCTCTACACTTACCATACGAAAATGGTATACTGTGAGAACGTGGGGAGTGGAGTTTTGATAGACTGTCACGAATGAATGATTAAAAATATATTTTAGATAGGACTCTTGTAGAAAACCTACCAGATGTCGTTGCGGATACATTTACCAGATGTCGTTACGAATTATTACTTTATTTTGTTCTCTATGATAATTTATAACTATATTTTATTATGCTGTTTGTGTTGTGACTCTACGATGTTACAAAAACAACCTATATAAACAAACAACCTTCTTTATGTAAAATATAAAACACTGCTTGTAAAATTATTCACTTGAAAGTAATTTATTACATAGAGGAACCTACAATATATTATTTAGTTTATTAGGAATGGGTTATATTTGTTACTAGAGGAATAATAGTGACATTTTCAATAAACATAAATTCTGCATGTGCTAAGTTATGTTAGCAAATTTGCTGTACAAACACAAATAGTGGAAAAATACTATGCAATGAACTCGAAACGGGACCGTTTCGCTTTATTTTTTCCTCTTAAAATTTCGAGGAAAGCATGGGTGAAAGGCAGTATGTACACACCCGTCAAAAGGAAAGAGAAGAAAGACCCATAACAAGTTTTGAAGGACGCCCGGAGGGAACAAAAAGCGATTCATATAAGTAATGATTTTTGCTTTTCAAGTTTTTATTCTCGTGTCATATATTTTGAATCTTGTACGTCGTAAGTTTTTGTGAGTAGTAAGCATTACTTGAAAAAAAAGTTTGTTTCAATTTTGATTTTGAAATAGAAATACAAAATACATACTTATGAACAAATCCAAATAATCTTGATTGGTTTAATATGACATATATTAAAAAAAAAAACTAGTGCGTAGATCGGAACAAAAATTAATAAATTTTATCTGGAGCTAGCAGTGGTTAACTATGACAAACCTCAGTCCCCCCGTGACCATGGGTGCTGTAAAACACCCGAAACGTAGGGAATTAAAAAGTTAAGTTAGTTCCGTAAAAACTTGTTTTGTGTGTGTATGTGTAGTGTTCGCGTAAATATGAGAAATCATTACATAAAAAAAAAAAACTAGCTAGCAAAGCGTAGTGACCCCAAAATTATTCTTGGCCTCCTCTTTGAAAAACGCATTCTTTTGATAAATTCAATCTACTTGTAGCTATTTGTATCAGATCATCTTCACCATATACTCTCAAATGGTGAACATAGTACAATTTGAGGCTAAATTGAATTTGCCTTACTCACAAAAATGACGCGGGATTTGCTATTTCTCGTTCCGCTTGACAATTCCAGATTATCAAATGTTTGTTCCATACCGCAGAGACTACTTCCTACATCATTCTTCTATCTTTTCGATTCTACTCGTACATCTGATGATTTTACAAAACTTCTCATAACATCTTTTCGAATTTCAGGACTCTCATTTTTATTTACTTTTGCCAACACTTTACGACGTAAGTTATGTGTAAGGGTTTCTCGTATTTCACAATTCATGTTGTGTAATATAGAACTTGATTGTTAATAATCCTGGTAAACACCGGTATTCATATTAACACTAAAACGAGGTAAGCTCGAAGGAAGTAAGTTTCGCATTACAATATAAACACTTGCATAATAGTTGTGTGCACTGCTTAGAGTTTGAACGCAAATAATACTTACATACATACGTAAATACTGCTGCGATGAAGAACGAAATGTTTGTATGATTATGCATTTCAGAATTTTACTTTTATATTCACACAACACTTGTAGGAACACGTTTAGTTTCTACAGAGAGGTAAGATCTTGTGGGATTATTGTAAACACTAGATTCATTATTTCATTAATCATAAACAACTTTTGTGCAATATTCATTTGGAAATAAGCATAATATACGCAGAACTCATTCGACACAGTACCACGATACTGTAACTTTATAGAACTGGTAGTAACAATGCAAATAAAAAATATATTTGATAATTTTGACAACTTGATGAGATTCGTCAATAGCGCAGCCAACCGTTCGCCAGTATTCGCCGAGTGCAGTCTCAGCACACCTATCATGAGTTTCGGCGATTTTCTTTGATTCGTGCTTCAAAACCGACGAAACACGACGGATAACGGTTAAATAATGCCAAATATTGGCAAATATCGGTGATTAATGGTAAATTGAGGGCGTATTAAGCTTGGAACTATCGGTAGAGGAACTACGATTTTTCATGCGATACTGCAGTTTTGTGCGGATTCGTCACGGAGGCAGTAAACTTGGCGGGTTACAAGTCGGACAGACGCAAAGCAAGTTATTTGCAATTTTATTTAATTTTTTTCTTCTTTAAAAAAAATTACCCCCACACTAGAATTTTTTCCTGTATCGTGGAGGCAGTTTTCAAACATAAATTGCACGAGGACAAACATACAGACCATGGTATATTGCCAGTAAAGTCCCCAAGTCGGCATGCTGACTGCGGCTTTTGCGATTCAATAGTCTATAGTCTAGTTGCCCACTGGATCAGCGGCAGCCGCAAACAACAGCACGCGCGGCTAATATAAATCGCGTCGTGAAACTGCTATAGTTATACATTACATAGTATACCTATATTTTTAAACTACTACGCCTGTCGCGGTCGTGCTACTGGTGAAATGATTTCTTAGTAGGGGACATCCACATTCGTGTTTGTCTCTATTCGTCGAATATACGCATTAGTTTGGAGGACCCTTTACAAACTCGTATAATCAAAGAGTATATCAT